CCACAGCAGCCATCAACTCCCCCAAGAGAGCAGGAACGCTCTCCTGTTCCGTCTGGAGACAGCGCAGCGACGACCGAATTTGCTGCCCAGAGTCAGTATCGAAACTACCCCGAGTCCCAAGGGGAAGGGGGTCTACTCACGGCCAGCCCCAACTCGAGGGCAGCCCGAGTGGCGCGTGCCTTCTCGTAGAGGTCACGCTCCGCCTTGGAGCGGAACTTGGGCACGCTCTGGGCGGCCAGGAGGGCCACCCGATTGGCCTCGGTGGTGGCGGCGACAACGTCGGCGGGAATGAGGGGGGTGGCCTCTTCGGCGGCCAGGAGGGCCACGAACTCTTCCCCGAGGAACCAGGGCAGCTTTCACCAAAGTCAGCAACTGCCAACCAAACCAAACACCGAACCCCACAAGAAAACCTACCGGGACGCAAGGCGAGTGCTGCGCGGTGCAGTACCCACACTTCGAGCTGGTCGGGGACCAGACACAGTCATGGGACTGAATCCCACGGGCTTTGGCCCGAAGGCAGCGCAGACAGAGCACGCGGAAGGCAACTGTAAGGGCCCCGGAGGGGGTGGGAACCGGCATCTTCAATATTTTTTTTGGAATCTGGATTCCGTCAGCCAAGCCCAAGTTATCACCATTGCGCCAACGCGCTCCCATCACCTACTTGTTCGTGCAGATTGTGGATATACTATACAATCAGTTAGTAGACGATCAAGAAACGGACGGGGAGTGGCCACTTACTGGTCTCAGAGGGCGGTTTGTGGGCGTTGTTGTTGTGAAGTAAAGAATAAAAAACGAGAAAGTGGGCGAAGCTCTGAACTCAGATTTGGCTTACAACAATGACACCCGAATCGGGTTAGCGCAGCCACCCTCCTTGTGCGATGGGAAACTTTCGACGCGTACCTGTAGCGGATATCTCCCGGTGCTCATTCGGACCATCACCACTAAGCCAGAGATCGAACAAAGAAATCAAAAAGTAGTCGCATACCAGACAGAGCTGATACGGTATTACTGCTCCAGGACTATTTTTCCATCTCCCATCACATCAGACCAATGCAGTTGTCACTAATGTGGCCACGCGCGCATACCCTACGACAAAGAACGCCTAAGCTCACTGACGCTACCCGGATGGGTTCCAGACTATAGGCGGGCGGCGTGCTTTGCGGACAAAGCACTCTCTTAAGATGGGGGGTAGTGTAAGGATGCCTCCTTACCTAGATACTTGAAGAACCTGTCTCAGAACTGTTACGGTCACTACAAGCATGAAATCTGATTCAGTGTGGTTAACCAGTAGAGGAGCACATAACAAGTTACACTATAGTGGGGGATGGTAAGGGTGTAGGGTTCAGGGTCGATGCTGACCTGTTGTGGTGGAAGGATCAGGGCTAGGGTTGGAGTAACCGAGTCGGGCCCGTTTCGGGTACTCAAGGAAACAGACTCAACGGGGTTCCTCCTTCATCTTTTTTGTATCCTTCGTAGTAGACCTATAGGATAGCATCCGTTTAGCCTCCGACTCGCACTCTCATATGCTATTACTGTGAGCTGGGTGCCCTGTGTCCTTACACGTAGAGCCCGGCGTTGCTCAATAGTTATTGAAAATCGTTTCGTCATTTCAAGGTCTGAATAGGAACACCATAGCACGGATAAAGCGATATTCAGGAAGGGAGCTGCGATATCGTGATAATCGGTAATTGTATGGTGGTGTTGTCAGGACCAGGAAAAATATCGCAATAATGAAGTTATCGCTTAATCGAGAATCGTTATAACGGTGCTTTACGGTACTAACTTCGTTATAGGGTTAGTTCCGTACAATCCAAATACTGTCCTTTCGCACCTTGATCTCCGACTAAAAACACCAACCCCACCACCTGTTGAAAAGGAGACTTGGACCTCAAAGACACCCCAGAATGCTACTGAAGTTGAATTCCAAATAACACACCTTAAGAATCGAATCGTACGACATCAGAATAGCTCTCCAAGTTCAATAAATGAGGCATTTGACCAGCTTGCTAAAGGAGCTCAAATAATGGCCCATTCATTTACACTCCTTAAAGCTGAAGTCAAGGCGCTACAGCAGGCGAATGCGCTCAAAAAGCGAAGGGCAAACAAGCGAAGGGCAAACAAGCGAAGGAAGCATATTCAATTAGGTGGAAGCTTGACAATTGAGGAAGGTGATGAGCTCGTACGGAGTACTCAAACTCAGGAGGAGGAGGGTGGTGATGCCACACAGGGTCAGCGCAGGAAAGGAAAACCACGACGATGTGGCACATGTAATCAAGTTGGACATAATGCTCGTACGTGCAAAGAGGTATTAGATCCAATTACTGTAGATAGCGAGAGTGTTTTAAAGGGTTGTTGTTATAATATACCTACGAAGTTGTATTTTGGTGGTTATTTTGCACGGTTCGACCGGGTGCACGGTTCGATTGGGAAATACGTTATATGGAGTTTTTGCCCTTATAATAATAACTTAAGTAAGTTAATATCTAACTATACTTCTATAACTAACTTATAACGAACGTACTCACCAATTGAAACTACGGTTCTTTCAACCTCCATAACTACATCCTCGGCGATGAGAAATAATGCAGTCGCTAGTCGCTAAATTCTCTAGTTGTTTGTTATGCTTCATATATCCATTAACTTTTTATTGTCTTCGTCGTGCAAGTGGTCGATAAATCATGGAGGCTGGGCCGACCATGCTGTTGGTTCACTTAGTGGCTGCCTTTCTATTAACACAGCCTCGTTAGCAAAGCAACTTTTGTCTCTGAGATCATTATTTAACCGCATCATTGTTTTATTCTAACTCTCATTGCTAGAGCTAGAACCCAAACTTCAGATTCATGATGGCGCGGATACCGAGCCTGCCCAAGTTTTGGATCCCATGAACAAGTGGTTTATGGCAGGCATGTTCTACGGACCAAAAAATTATAGATGGTCCATAGAGAGGCAGTTCCTGTATTTGAATCCGGATTATCCTGACTCTATAGAATTCTTAGACCAATGTAAGGTTCCTACGACGTCGACCGTGTGAGATCACGGCTTAACGTCTTTGAAGGTTTTCCGCTCTTACCGGGACTTGTAAGACGTACATGCCGATTGATAGACTAAACAGCACAGAGTCAGGTGACTGTTTGAGGTCTGTAAGTTTGTTGGAGAGTAGGCCGTGGGCGCTGGGATACGGTGGTATTTGGCCCTATAATCCACTACGGCATCCCAGGATCTCCGACCGGTGCTGGAAACCACCACAGTCTCAACTGGGGTTTCAGCTCTGAAGCCACCAGAATAGGGGGCTTTTGGGGGGTCGAAGCAGAACCTCCGAAAGGCCTACAAATAGCCACGTAGGCCCATTAGATAGTGTAGTTAATCAATCGATCTTATTTTGCTATAGTAAGCTATATACTGTGTGAGAACTCCTGCCCCGTTGCGCCCGTGAGAAGTCCCGACCACTGGAGAAACCACACGATTTGTGTGTGATCCCGTACCACGGTACTTCCCGTTCCAACAAAGTTAGAGACTATTGATTATATCATCCATTTCGACCGTTCTATGCAAGGTAGAGATCGTCTGCACGATACCATCGAGGCCTGACGAGAAAATATGAAGTACATCGAACAACAGGCAGATATTTTTGCACCTGACTTTACTCAATGGGATAAACATCAAAGGAAATTGAACCATTAGCAACTAACGCTCTTGCTGCGAGTAAGAGGGTGATTGAAGAGAACCATCCGGTTGTTCCATCGTAACACCAAGATGATGATCACTAGAGTTTTGACTAGTGAGGATGTAAGTCATTAGAACTGAAAGCAGTTGCGTGAGGCTTGTCTGGATAGCGTTGAGATAGTCGGAGGCGGAGAGGTTGGGTGGAGGTTGGTGAGAGAAGGAGATGGTTTGGATTATAGCGCATGATAAATAGATCGTAAGATTGATGCTCCAAATCGTGAGGTCCTCCTAGTGATAGGTTAGGTTGGTGGAGGCACAAGCGTCTCTATTAGGGAACTCACCTGTATGTAATGTGCCATTGATTGAAGTTTAGATGACCGTTTATAGTGTTCAGGGGTCTAAAGAGGCATTGGCAGAGTCGTTGAAGGGACCATTGTGGTAGCGCTATCTTCATGATACCCCCTCCTTTTTCTCACTGGTGAATTATTAGCATTCGACATGGTATCGGCGGTTCATCTCTAAGTGTAACATACCTTGCGAGGACTGTGGAGGGGCATCTTGCTGTATCTTCCATCTCTTGTAGTCTTCTTGAGCTCGAACCACCTCGAGATGCGATCTGGTCCAATTCTGTAGCAACCTAGCTCTCACAAAGATACCTTGTATGACCTCCTTCGGTAATCTCTGGTCCAAGAAGGCTGGCCAACTACAGGACAGGAAGGAGGGAGGTCGCATGAGATCGGCCCTGGTACCTGGAGGGGCAGCGGGGAATAGTAGTTCCGAAAGTATCACGTGACGGACTCGCAGGATGATGAGAAGAATCCTAAGAGTCCAGGACTCCGAGGACTCGAGTGAGTTCCCAGGAGTCCACTAGGCACGACGCCACTATATAAGTAGATAGTATTTCCTTAGATAGGAGCTTCGTGCTCAACTCAATACAGTATTTGTTATATACTAGTAACGTGTTACTTGAAGCCTTTGTGTCTGATCCCCTGCCTCCTCTGATAAGTAAACCTTTACGCAAGAGAACCTCTGTGTCTTCTATCGTTTAGAAGTCAGCGTTACACTTGGCATGCGTTACCCGCTTTGGTTTGTTCTCGATTCTCCCGGTTGTGGCTTTCGGTATCTTTAAGTGGTATTCTGGAATGAGTGTATTGATAACGTTCCTTGGGACCGCTGTAATGGGGATTTTGCAAGTGCTTTTAGCACACGACTTGCCCAAAGCACGGGGTAGCTAAACCCGGCGCGGTAGACTAGAGATACGAAGATAATACATATACTCTTCTATATGCCACAATTTACTCACCTCTTATAAACTACAGTTCTTTGAATGATAATGAGGCTCCATAACTATATCCTCGGCGGTGAGACCCCACAGTTCAGAGTGGCGACTGCGGGGCTCTGTGCCTGGACCTTTAGCGGAGAACTTAGATGAGTAGCGATAGTGAGGCTCTATGGCCTGACGGTGAGATCGGGCATTGTTGCCACACCTTTCTCCTCGATCATAACACTAGCACACCGAGATAGTCCAGTGAGAACAAAGGACGGAAAGATAGAAAGGGGTATGCCGCACCAAGACATTGTGAGGTGGCCAGTGGCAAATTTATCATCAGTCACACATGTCGGGCCGTTGGGTTGAGGAATCGGACCTGCAGCAGGCACTCACACCGGTGGCAAAAAAATCTGTTTGGCAGCTGGATGACAGATGCTGCACATTGAAACATGATCTCACTGGGTTGGCTGCCATATTTTCCAGTCATGGTCGGGATGGTAAGGCTCTGCTTCAAAGTTCCGTCATCCCGCGAGGCTCATGTATATTCGGTGTGAGAATTCGCGCAGCACTCATCGCATTTCTATATCCTTGGAAGAAAAAAATAAAACAAAAGGCTTGGGAACTGGTCGAGATGTCTTAACGCCACGCGTTGCGTCACATAGCGTCGTCATGACCAAAAGTCCTCGTCCCATACATATCCCATCTCGCATATCCCGATGCAGAATGGCCATGCCATGCAAGGCCCGTCTCATGCTGGAGTGGAACAGTTAGTTATCTGTCGCAAGAACCATCACAAATCGCCCTCGGCCTGACTCACCACCACACCCCAACAACGCCCATAGCCACCACCAAAAGCGTCCAGCAGCCCTGGTGAACTCTCACACAAGAGGCAATTTAATGCAGCCGTGTTGCCTAGGACCATTGGTCTGCACCTGTTAGCTGGGACACCACATGTTGGCTGGCTGTTGTCGCACCCCTCTCCATCATCTGTCCCTCGAATCAGCGTCCACGCCGCACCAACCCCTTCCACTCACCGACACAGCTCCTCGTCAGCTGGCTGGATGCGTGTACGAGTCTTCTATGTGCAACCTCGTCTATCATAGTGGTTGCGTCTGCGGATAAATTGAAGAATGGGGTATGTGGCGGAAGATCTATGGGGCTGCGATGAAGGCTTCTGGTTAGTTCGATTGGTTAGTTTCCTTCTCGTTCCGGTCCGCGATATAGTATCTGGGGGGCATCAGGTGTATTGGTTGTGGCTCACCCTCACCCGTCAACTGGGCTATTTGTCCCCGCGGCGGGCCGACCACATCCTCCCTTTGGTATATCTGCAACACCATGATGGTCACTCTATTGGAGGATGCGAAGGAATCGTGGCTGAAGGCTTGGTGGCTGAAGGAGATCCGAATAGTCAATGTGATTTTATTGGAATGGGAGATGCGCTGATTGGTTTGACCTGGCTACTTCCAGGCTTACACCTTGGTCCAAACGTCTCTTTTGTGTAATTGTCATGTAAATCAACGAACCAAAGGCTGGCCTCGCCTCCTCGTCGTCGAACTCTTTGTCATGTCTTGTCCTGCTTGAGATGAGCCCAAGTTTCGCCGATCCACGAGAACATTGAACGTTAGGGATATAGTTCTTTGGGTTAAGGGGCATCACATCGTGCTGACAGATCTCTAATTCCTGATTCCTTGAGGGCAACGGCTCTAAGCCACGACACGATTGCAGTAGTTGGCCGATATCATCCTACGGTCGATGCTCTCTACTGAACCGACTGACTGCTCTGGTCCAGCTGGTCAGGGACGCTAACTCACTTACCATAGTACTGTTCATGACGGCCAGTAAGCAGCATAGCCTATATCCTCGACCGGTCTAGGGCCATTGACGCGACGGTATGCAGTAACAAATGCTATGCATAAAAGCACTAGGAGCAGCTCGATTGAATTGATGGCAACGAGTAAAAGATGTTCAACTCGATTGGCTGTAGTCTCCTGAAACTCTTCGTCCTGGGTGGTGACTGGGCAGTGCCTTGGGCTTCGCCTCGCCATCGGCGCAGTGCAAGCCTCGCTTTTCGCTTTGGAAACCACGAAACAAAGAGAATTATATTCACAAGTATCTTCGCATGTGTAACAGTACTTCACTCATGAGGCTCTCGGTGAGAGCCCACTCCCCATCCCGCATATTTTGGAGGCCGGAGTTTCACCCTGGAGCGGTTGCCTGATTTACCGGATAACTAACAACCACAACCATCCATGCTGCCTGCGCCAAATGCCACCCTCTGATTCCTTCGCGCCCGCTCAGCCTTATTGGCCCTTGCGAGTCGTGATGGCTATGTTTAATCCATGTGGATGCTTCACCTACACTTCTCGGGCGTGCCTTGTGCAGACGTGCAGCAAGTACGACAGGTCGGTCATCTTGGAAAACACATTTGAGGTTTGCGTTTCACGAGGGGGAAAAACACTTTAATATTACAACAGAGGTCCTCCCTCTTTCCAGTTTCCCAAAATCCCACATAGACTCTCCTCACGAATTATTTAATCGTGACGCTTACTTGTGGTCGCCGTATCCAGGCAAATACCCCGTGCTATCTTGAGAACCTCTCACTTCGATAGGCTGCCGGCGGAAGCCTGCCTCTCGTGCCAGACCACCAACATCTCATCACCACACCTATTTATTTCCCACAACCCCCCCTTGGAAAGCCTCACTTCAGCTGATCTGAACCGGAAATTCGTTATCAGAAATAACCGTCCATCGAGCGAGCCTCGCGTGTATACACATCCAAGTGATATAAGACCCCAAGGCTCCGTCCTTATTCAGCGAAGCCTTCTCACCTCCGCAAATCTGGATAGTGCTGGCCTTTATTCCTCCCCCGCACGCGAACTTGTATAGCCTCTGGTTCCCATCATCCACCCGCACACCGCAACAATGGCGAACCGTGCAGGCATGCCGCCGCCACCTCCTAATCATGGTTTCCAACAAGCACCACCCGGAATGGTCCATGGCGGCCCTCCCATGAATCGCCCTCAGCAAGCTCAGCAGCTACGACAACCTGTGTACCAACAGAATTTCCAGCAGGGGGCCCCCGTTCCCGCTTACCGTGCAGACACTGTTATCAATTCATCCACCCGGATCCATGACATACGGCCCGAGAAGACGGAATCCGAGTCGTTCTGCAAAAAGCAGCTCACCTCGTATGAAGTATTCACTCTTCTCCCAAGCAATGACGATGACGGCAAAGACTCCAAGGGCTCCAAAGGAAAAAAGGACTCCAAGGACAAGAAGAAAGACAACTGGTCAGGCTGGGGCGGCAAGGACGGCAAGGACGGCAAAGATAAGGACGACTCAAAGTCCAAAAAGAGAGAGCGCTGGGCGAAGGTCACAATCAACCAGGAATGCTACCCAACGGAACAGATCATCAAGACGATTCAGAAGCTCGATGCCGGCAAACTGTCCACCGCCGAGAAGAAGAGCAAGCTATTCCCAAACCAGAGCACTCAGGTCACCAACATCCTCGACGACAATATCAAGAACGAGCGCGAATTCAATTCCTTCGAGTGGGTCCTCGCCCAACTTCACCGCGAGGAGTCTACCAACTCAAAGACGGGCAAGAAGGAGACTACCTCCATGACGGTCTACCTCAAGCGCGCGCCACTCCCACACATCGACGTTATTCAGATGTACCGCGGGCGTCAAGAGCGAGTGCGCTTGCAAGCATTCCAGAGGCAGCAGCAGGAGCAGGCACAGGTATTCCAACAACAACAACAACAACAGGCGGCGATGCAGCAGCAAGAACAGCAGCAACCGCAGCAAATGGGTGGTGGACAGTACATGCCCCAGAACAACAAGGGCGTCTTCCAACAACAACAACAACAACAACATCAACAACATCAACAGAAAGGAGCACCCTGGGCCCAACCTATCAAAAACAAGAACGCCCCTGGCGGCGTTAAGATTATCCAAGAACATCGCCCCGGCACACCCCACAAGTCGCCAAAGGGAAAAGCCGCTGGTACCAAAGTCCGCATGAACGACTCGGATGACTACTCAAGTGGCAGCAACAGCGAAACGGAGTCGGACTACGATTCTGAATTCAGCCATTGTGACAGCGAGGGCACCCCACACACCAGCGCCTCCTCCCGCTCCGGCGGCCGCAAGTACCCTCGCTCCCACCGCCCGCTCCAGCGCTCCCGCGAGCGTCGCCGTAGCCACTACGACCGCGGCGATGACTTCGTCATGATCGGCCATCCCAACCGCCGCCGCAGCCTCTCATACACCCCTGACGTCCCACGACCAGACCGTCCCCTCGGTGGCGCACGCGTGGGCACCTACGGGCATCCCAGTCCGGGAATCGCTAGCCCCGGCTTCGATACGAACGCTTTCGCCATGGGTGTCGCGGCTGCTATCGCCCAGCCAGCTATCATCCAGCAGCCAGCCGCACAGTACGCAGCCCCGCCGCCGCAGCGCATGATCTCGAATGTCGAGCGTGCAGCTAACGACGACGCGCGCTTACGCGAGGCTGAGGATATTATGCGCCGGGATGTGCTGAGAGAGGTGTTGGCGCGAGATAACGCGGCGAGGATTTCGCGCCCCTATGGGCGGGACTTCCCCATCGAGGGAGGTCGTGGGTATGCGCTGCCACAGAGACGATACCTTGACGGAGATAGGGGAGAGAGGCTATATAGGGATCCGCCTATTTCGCCGTCGGTGTCGTTCATGTCGTCAGCACCGCTGTCGTTGCCTCGTGAGCCTGGCCGCAGTGGCCACTATTCACCAGAGCCGAGGAGACGCGGCACGGAGTACGATTATCCTCTCCACAGCGGGATGCGTATTCCCCTAGAGGAGGACAGGGGGTTCGACTATCCCCGGAATCCATTCCGGCCGCTGAGGGGGCCGAGGCCGTATTAGGTCTCGTCGGACGATAATCAAATTGGAAAGTGTCTGCTGATCTTCTTGGTCGATGTGTATGAGCGTGTTTTTCCTGTGCAAAATTTGCCAGTGTGTATCTGGGGGATGATTAGTATTGCGGACGCTTGCTATCTGATCCGTGTATTTATTTTCTTTGGGCTGTGGGAGCGGACGCTGGGTCTCCTTTTGTCTCAAGTATGGGCGTTTTAATGATTGTATGTAACGTTAGCAGACCATGGTCTCGCGCAAGCAAGGCGGATGGTTCGAGGAGCAGGATGCACTCCGTTGATGAAACAGTATATCATAGTACAGTAAATGAAGTATCAGCATTCATACTATAATCTGCCCATCTTACCTTGATATAATGAGGGAAACGAAGGAGAAGACGATTCAGTCGAGATGTGATAAAACCCATAATCAACAGAAGAAACAGAGAAGATTCATATAAGGTTAATATCCCTCCGCTGAAGCCTGGATGATAACCCCCCCCCCATCGCCTCATCCTCCTCTGCGTTGAGGCCCGACCCGTTTCTCAACGGCAAATCAGACAGTAGCGCTGCTGCATCCTCCCCAAAGAGGCATAAAAGAGGGTTGGCGGACGTGGAGCGCTCCAATATGAAATCCTGTGAATGCATGGAAGGGATGGGAGGCAGGGGAGCAAGGGAGGGCCGGCTCGCACCGCCGGGTTGTACAAAGGCATGGGGTTGCGATGGAACGAAGCACAACGCATAGTATATAAAAAGGCGCCCATATTAAAAGAAGAGCAATTATCTGACAGCATATAGAATCTTGAGAACCTTTGAGAAATCAAAAATAGTCATCAGCAAGTAAATAGACAAAAAGAAAATAAATATAGATACCTCCTTATCTTACAGCTGAAAGTGGTGATTTTCACATGTAGTTGTTCCGTCTGGGTAACTCTCATGGCAGCTGGCCCCGCGGATAGAAGTTGCGAAAGCGCCTGGAAAAGCCGTCAGTGGACGGGATACTGTAAGGGTGGCTGTCCCCTCTCGAGGTCATCACCCCCACTAATATTTTGGGGCCCGACAACTGGAGCAATTTGTTCAACAACCTCTCTCAACATACTGTACATTATACACCTTTTGGTAGTTTTCTTCACTTCAAAATCACCAAGTTTATCTTTAAAACTAGTCAAGATGGCTCGTCAATTCTTTGTTGGTGGTAACTTCAAGATGTAAGTTCTGCCACTCTGTGCGATACCGGAAGTGGGGGAGCTTTCTCTTTGGGTGTTGGGGACGACGAATCCCAAAGAATCCCAAAGGCGCGGGGCGGTTGAGATGGAGAAATGAGAGGTAGACACAGAGAGCTAATTACTTCTCTGCAGGAATGGCTCTGTCCAGAGCATCAAGAAGATTATCAGCGGTCTGAACGAGGCCAACCTCGACCCTAAAGTCGGTATGTACATATCGAATCGACGTCATTCATAATAGAGCTCAATGAGATGGCAATTGGATGGCTGTGTCCGAATCCGAGGGACTGCTTGCATGGATAAAGAATGTTCTCGGGGGATTGCAGCAGCTTCTGTCTGTGGAGTTGGCTGCCTCTTCCTCTCAGAGGGGTCGAGAATTCTTCCTCCCAATGCTGGCCGCGAGCGATTTACCCAGCTAGCTGGGCTGTCGCGGGCCTTTTACTATTTGCAAATCACGATGATTGCCCAAATGACAGAGCTGCCCCTTGCGAAGCTGCCTCCGTCGATCTGTCTGCCAATGCAACAGCATCTTAGGGAACCATACCTCTTTCCCTCAAAGAGCTTCTCGAGCATGAATGGCGTCTTTTCCAGCGGTTATTCTACATTGCATTCTTGTATCTAACGCAATACCACAGAGGTCGTCGTCGCCCCTCCCTCCCTCTATCTCCTTCTTGCCCGCGCCGAGCTCCGCAAGGAGGTCGAGGTCGCTGCCCAAAACGTCTTCGACAAGAACGAGGGCGCCTTCACCGGCGAGATCTCCCCCGCCCAGCTTAAGGACTCCAACATCGGCTGGACCCTTATCGGCCACTCCGAGCGCCGTGTCATCCTCAAGGAGTCCGACGAGTTCGTCGCCTCCAAGACCAAGAACGCCCTCGACCAGGGCGTCCGCGTCATTCTTTGCTGCGGCGAGTCCCTCGAGCAGCGCGAGAAGGGCGAGACCGTCTCCGTTGTCACCGCACAGCTCGGCGCCGTCGCTAAGGCTATCAGCGCTGAGCAGTGGGCTAACGTTGTTATTGCCTACGAGCCCATCTGGGCTATTGGTACCGGCAAAGTCGCCACCACCGCCCAGGCACAGGAGGTCCACACCGCTCTCCGCCAGTGGTTGTCGAAGACCATCAGTGACAAGGTCGCAGAGGAGACGAGGATCATCTACGGCGGCTCTGTCAGCGAGAAGAACTGCAAGGACCTGGCTACCCAGCCCGATATCGATGGGTTCTTGGTTGGAGGTGCTAGCTTGAAGCCAGCGTGTAAGTTTCTATCCTCCCTGAACGAAAGACGCAATCGCTGACTGTTTGTAGTTGTTGATATCGTCAACGCCCGCTTGTAAGCGGTTCGTAGGTTAACTAGGCCTATTTAGTGTGCAATGGCGGCAAGCTTTTACCCTGCAGCGTAAAAGTAGAAAGTAGAATTGAAGTTCTCATGTAGCTCAAAAGTCTGTTCAAATAAGCTGGTGATGGATCACTGTGATCATGTCGCTAATGGCTGAACGCGAACGCTCAATCCCACTAGATATAGACATGCTTGCCTTGTGAACCAATTTGTAGCATTTACACACACAATTGCTGTAGCCCATTCCCGATTGCCAGGCTGGACTGCCTTGCCTCTGCCACACCGATCAGCGTCTTGGATGTAATTCGCTCCTATTTCGATTTTATACATAGTATACAGTCTTCCCTAAACGCCCTCAATGCCCCAACTTCTGGTATTCTTCCTTTCATACAATCCCACAACCATCCACCCATACACACCCCCTAGACCGTCATTGGCCCGCTGTGGTATGGCGACCAGATACCTCTCACACTGTCGTTGATAGACTTGACAGGCTTCGTCTCGGTCTTCAGCTTCTCGCCCGACGCATCCCTCAGCAGAACAGCCTTCTGCAGAATCGACATCGGCTGTAGGTTCCTGACACAAATTGCCTTCTCGCGACCATTGATGAATGTGCCCTTGATGACCGGGTGTTTGCTCGGGCGGGGAGAGACCGTAATTTCGATGCTTGGGTTGGCGGCAGCGAAGGCGGGGAGTTGATCGCGGAGGAAGGCGCTTGGAGATATTAGTATTAAAGGCCCGTATAAAAGGAATAGAAGGAAATAGAAACATACTTCATGCCCCTTGAGCTACCAGCCCAGTCGCAGTAGTGGAAATCGAGCTTCTTGCACTGCAGGATGAAGGCGCCAACGCCATTCTACAAGCTTGTTAGCAAACATGCGGGGCCAAACAGGCGCAGACAAATCTTACCTGTCCAGAGGACAACTTCTTTAACGCTTTCGCACCCATGATGTGCGATTGACTTGTCGTGGTCTCTAAACTCGTGGTTTCCTCGGACGTTCTACAGAATCTCTAAGGGCTCCGACCACGTGACTCTGTGAAATTTCTCGCTTCGCGGCGGTCCAAGCTTGACGCGGTATGTCTGGAGCAGCCTTGACGCTTGTTACGCACCTTCAACAACTTCATCCACCCGGCTATCCGATTCCAGCAGCTCCTTTGGACGTAGAGCTTTCCATCTCTAGAACTTCCACATCATTCGTGATGACGGACAAATTACCCCCCAACCTCCTCGCGCTCTTTGCGCCCCGCCCAGGACTGCGATGGGTTCCCCCCAGCGATCATGCACCTCAGGACCGGAAGACTGCGACCATCTCAGGCCTGGCTGCATTCCTACCTGCGCTGGAGGAGTATAAAGCTACGGATAAGTATGAGCCGACGGAGAGCTGGCTGCAACGCAAGGATAGACTCAGATTGGAGAAGAGGGAGGCACAGGAGCAGCTCTTGAAGGAGGGCCCAGCCGATTGTGAGACACCCTCACAAGGCACCAATGTTGCCGTCACAATCCTACAGAAGAGTGTAAAGCTAATATTATTGCTCTAGATAAACCTCAAGAGGACCAGAATATTCGCGGTGATGCTTTCAAGACTTTGATTGTTGCGCGCCTGAGTTACGATGCGACAGAGCAGGATCTGGAGCGTGAGTTTGGGCGCTTTGGTCCCATTGAGCGTGTATGTATTCCAATTCTACAATAGCTTATGTACTGTACTAACGTCAATTTACAGATCCGGATTGTGACCGACACCCACCAAGACGAAAAGCCCAACAAGAAGAAGAAGAAGCATCGCGGCTATGCCTTCGTTGTTTTTGAGCGTGAGAAAGATATGAGAGGTAAAGCGGCCACATATACCCCCAACCCCACATTCTTGCCCAGACGATCTATAGATCTATCTTCCCTAATTTGGAGAGTCCCAAGTACCCACGGCCCTCAAGCTTGCCTACTGGGATATCCTGTTTCTTTTTCCTTTCGTTCCTTTGTTCACTCTTCCACCGATCAAGGTATATTTTTTAAGGGTAACAAAACTAACAAACGCGCTCTTGCGCATCTTAATAGCTGCTCTAGATGGATGTGACGGCATTAGAATCAAAGAACGACGCATCAAAGTCGACGTCGAACGTGGCCGCACTGTCAAGGGTTGGAAGCCACGTCGCTTCGGTGGCGGCCTTGGAGGCAGAGGTTACACAAAGGCTGTCCCACCCCGCCCTATGGGACAAGGTGGATTTGGCGGAGGACCTGGACCTGGTTTCCGTGGTGGATTCAGGGGAGGGTTTGATGGAGGCCGCGGCGGTGGTGGCTTCCGAGGTGGCAGAGGTGGTGGTGGTTTCCAGGACCGTGGACCAGGAGGCAGAGGTGGTATCGGCTATCAAGGCAGTGGATTTGGTGGCCGTGATGGTAGCAGAGGTGACCGCGACAGAGGATTTGGAGCGCCTCCACCAAACGCCCCTGCTGGACCACGACCAGGCGGCGGTGGCTACTCTCGCAATGGGTATGGCCAAGGCTCGCCGGACCGCAATGGGCCACCTGCTGCTGGTGGGTATGAACCACGCGGTGGCCGCCCTCCGTACGACGACAGGGGACCAAGTTCGGGTGGGTACAAAGGTGACAGAGGTGGTGATCGATATGGTGGTTCTAGAGGAGGCGACTACCGTGGTGGCGGCGGTAGCGGAAGCAACATGGAGCCGGTAAGACCTCGTGAGGGCGGCGGATACCGTGACAGAGACTCTGGACGCGGCGACCCACGAGACCGCGATCCAAGAGATCGGGACCCACGCGACATGGGCCGTGAACCCAGAGACGGAGGATATGGTGGACGCCCACGCGAGGAGGATATATCGAGGAAGCGCATGTACGATGACGGAAATAACGGCTACATCGAAGACCCGCGAAAGCTCCGACGGTACTAAACAAGCAAGCTTCTTTGACAGCAGGTGGCTTGGGTGGGTACGGGTTTGAACCTTTCAGCTTTTTCTTCCCTCTTGCAACAGGGGTAAGCAACACTACAGCTACAGGTGCACGTTTGCGACTTTCAGTATCAAGGAGGTATGAAGGTAGTATTTGCTGCTCTGCCTGACCACGCATACATCGCCCGAGTTCGAATCAAGCTTCTAGGCTCATGAAACGGTCGATGCTTCATTTAGTAACTCGGATCCCTACAACTACTACGTCTGCCTTCTACTTGGCAATTTTCTTGCAACAGCTTCTTTCAAAATAATCGTTTCTTCGACTTCAAGAAACTTGGGTAACCCGACCCTCCCCTGACCTGGACCAATTACGGAAAACCTTCTACGCCTTCTGCCACTTTCTGGCCAGAACCTTATCGCCTTTGTCCTGGATTGCAATCCTAATTTGAACTTTCGTCTATGTCGTTTACTTTTTAGTACTTTTTGTTTTTTCCCGCCTTGTGCTCGTGTTGGCGGTGAGTATGGGATGATGGGTGGTGGGTTGGGGGTCCAACATCTAATCTTAGGTTCCTCAAGCGGGTTTGTACTTGTACGATAGTCTCGCGATACTATGTTGTTAAGAGCATAAGTGTATGGCGAGAGGCCAGGAGGAGTTCGCCGGTGGGTAGGCTAGTATAAAAGCGATTCAGATGAGATTTGCAACGTTTTAACGTAGTGATATTTGCAGTAGTCCTTATCCAAGTCAGCGGACACACATGACCGCATCCTCCCCAAACACATCTACCACTCCTCCCTGTCGTAAAATCATACCCCCAACCCATTTCCTCCCCCCTTCCACGCTCTGAGACCCAAACTTAACTACCGCACACCCCCGCACCTTCGCCGCAGACCAGAGCACCCCATCCTCCTTCTCCTGCGCTAGCCGCCGCGCTCTCCACGCCTCCTCATCCGACACCTCCATCTTCCCATCCAGCTCCACCGCCTCCTTTGACCTAAAGTCCCTTGCCCCAATCCGCGGCTGTGCACTAAACTCAGCGAGGAAAAAGGCTGATACCGGCGCCATTAGCGGGCCCGCCAGGATGAGCGTGCCGAACACGGAAAGCGCGTGCATTTTGTCTTTCAGCGGCAGCGCGGCCGTGCTATCATCGGGAGTGAGTGCGTCGCCATCTAAAATGAGGTTATCGCGCAGTAGTAGCCGGGGCCGGGCCTTGTCCTCATCTTCATCGTCGGCCGCGGCGCGCCAGACCTCGTTCCGGCCGGACCAGGAGGTGAAATCCCAGTTCTCGTTGCGAGAGGTGCGACCGGCCGTCACCCAGTCAAGGAGGCAGAGAGTTGCGGTTGGATGGAGGGTGAAGATCTGGGATTGGACGTAGACGGAGTCGGTGAAGGGCTGGACGGGGTCGGGGAGGAGGCAGAGGGCGGAGGAGGCATGGAGGGTGACGGAGAGGGTTTGAGAGGATTGGAGGGTGGGGGTGGCGGATTTGAAGACTTTAGTGTGGCCTTGTGTGGCGATGGTGAGTTTGGCGGAGGGGTGGACGTCGATCTGGAGGAATGTTAGACTCGACGTTGTAAGTTAGGGATGGAGCAGGAAACGTGACTTGGAAGACAATATGCTGAACGAAATGCCTAGCAGAACAGGGTCGCTATGCGTCGTCTGATAGACTATGAAAATGTTTATCACCTTAAGATAGACTTGATCGCCCGCAACGAGACCGCCGCCGTATGTTAGAAGAAAGGCAAGGACGGATTTCAGATCCCCCGCTGGAGATGGTGGAGTGATAATCTTTAAAGGATACTGAAAAGTAGCCTTCACGAGGCCTGAAATGCCATTGGGAAGTAAACGAGCAATCAGATGTCCTTCTCCCGGCTTTGAGAAGGATACTGGGAATGGAGACGTGGTCATGGCGGGCCTATCTGTGCATGGCTGGGATAAAGACGGATACAAGTGAATGAGGCAGGGGAGAGGGTATCTATAATGAGGTCAGCTACGCATACAATATATTTATATTTTATGTCTGGAATACGCACCAAATGCCAATTGGATTAATTATATTGCTGGATTCTCCCATCGTTGAAACTCATCAGAGTGATAAGAAATCCGAGGCCAGAAGTAGACTAATACGGCTTAGCGCTTGATTGACCAACTTCACGCTAAACCTTACAGTGCGTCCATTCAGCCCGCACTTCGCGCGTCTCCAACATCGACGCGACTTGGTATTTCATGTTGACAATCAGCGCGTTCGCATCGCAATTCACGACAAACCGATGTTCGGAGTGTAACGCCATCAATCGATTAATCGCGCGCACCTGCTCGAAATAAAAGTCCCAGAACATCGACGATGGCTTCGTCCGCAGAAGCGACCACAAGCCAGCGGCGCAAGTCGGGAAGGGCTGTCAAGGTCCCCGACAAGTTTCAGCCGGAGATCGAATCATCGCAAAATGCCAGCGCAGGCGGGAAAAGGAAAAGGAGTGGCGATGATATGGAAGGAGTAGAGAATGGGGAAGAACAGGAAGAAGAGGAGGATGAGAGTGAGGAGGAAGACGAAGATGAAGAGAGCGAAGAGGAAGAAGCACCCGTGAAGAAGAAGTCTAAGCCGAAGGCAGCCGCCACAAAGAGCGCACCTGTCGCAAAGAAAGCCAAGGTCAATGGCAGTGCCCCGCACCCAAAATCTCATTCAATGAGGCTCCCGAGCCGGGCGAAAAAGCTAACTGGGAAGGTGGTCTTTAAGGACAATCATGCGGAGGGGCTTTATGGTGAGTGACCAGTGAGATGTATGCGCGCGCAATGTTAACTGTTACAGCTGAAATATTCACGAGCGATAAATCTTCCAAGGATGTTGCGACACAGTGGCTTGGTGAATACGACGCAGACAACACAGCAGCAATGGCGGACCTTGTCAACTGCGTCCTAAAATGCGCCGGCTGTGATATCAAAGTGACGGAAGACGACATTAATGACCCAGATAACAGCCCAAACCGACTCAACGAGATCCAAGACGAGCACAAGGAGAAGAATGTTGCCGACTATCCATTGATCTCGAAGGCAAAGTCCTCCCACGCATTTAAAGTCTGTCTCACGGATTTCTTCGAATCGCTGATGGGACTCATGCATTCGACTACTGTTCTATACGAGGATATTGCGCTGATTGAGAACATTCACCTGTGGATCACAAGCATGTCCTCATCCTTCCTACGCCCCTTCCGACACACCGCTACTGTCATTGCACTCGCATGCGCTACAGGCCTGTGCGAGGTAGCCAAGTCGCAAGTTCAAAACACAGCAGATATGCTTACATTGATGGAGAAGGAAGAAAAGCTAGGGCCGAAAGCAAACAAGGGCCGCCTCGCGACATACCAGAAGAACGTCGACAAGGGAAAGCAGCACCGCGAAACTTCAGAAGGAACCATCAAGGACTTCTTCGATACTGTGTTTGTCCATCGATATCGCGACGTGGACCCGAAAATCAGAACAGACTGCGTCGAAGCCTTGGGGCAATGGATTCTCATTTTGCCGACTACATTCTACGAAGGGACATTTCTACGATACCTGGGTTGGCTGCTGTCTGATCAGAACGGGCCCACACGTCATGAAGTTATCAAACAACTGGAACGGATCATGAAGTACGGCGAGCTTGGCGGGATACGCAACTTCATCGACAGATTCCGTCCCCGCATTGTCGAGATGGCCACGAAAGATGCGGAGACCACCGTACGCGCATCGGCTGTGGATCTCCTTGATATGATCCGGGAGAAAGGCATGCTGGAGCCGGACGACATTGATATTATCGGCAAGCTCATATTCGACTCTGATATAAGGGTGCGGAAGTCCGTCGTTAACTTCTTCGCGGCTAATATTGAGGATCTGTATGAGTCTAAGATTGAAGACCTTGGTGGTGAAGAAGCACTGGATGAGGCATTCACTCTGGATGATGAGAATAAGGAAAACCCATGTTCGGGCTGGATTAAGCTGAAGGCACTAGCTGAGGTGCTGTTGAATTACGATGACGGAGATGCTGTAGATGAAGAGTCAAGTCAAGACGACGACCTCGTCATTAGTGACGGCACAATCAACGCCGCTGGCTTTGAATCGAGATACTCCCTTGCGGCAGAGGTTCTATATGACAAAGTCGCCGAGCTTCAAGACTGGGAGATGCTGACTGGATACCTGCTGTTTGATCACTCCAATAAACAGAAGGCTGGTTCAGTATCTGTTGCCGTCAGGAGCGCATTCAAGTTAGAAGAGAAAGAAGAAGTCGCCCTCCTGGAGATCCTACACGCAGTTGTAAAGACCAGCCTGGCCAGACTTGGTGAGGACCACCACCAGAAAAAGAAGGGTGGAAAGTCAGCTTCTCGTGTCGATGAAGACTCAACGGCACGGAAACTTGCGGCTGTCCTTCCGCGCCTGTTGAAGCTATTCGGTTCCAAGCCGAAGACGTCAACCGCGGTCCTTCGTCTCGAGCACGTGCTAAATCTGGGTATCTTCCAAGAGCTGCGCCAGGACTCGACGGCGTATGCAACCTTGTTACATGAGATCAAGTCTCAGTTTAAGAGCCATGCGGATGCACATGTTCTAAGGGAGGCTAGTGTTGCTTTGCTGCATGCACAGGCATTTGAAGAACTCGGAGAGACTACGGAGGATCAGATGCAATCACTTTGGGTCGATACTATTGACGATTTGAGGAAGCGTTTCCCGAAAAGCACTGAGATATCAGTGAGAGGCGACACTAAAGTTGAACTTGTCCTCCAGCTAACGACCACCGTTACCCGACTCAACCGGCTGGCGGGGATCAGCAATCCCGTGGAGCTATTTGAAAAGGCACCGAAAAAGACCGCTAAAGGCGTCAGGGCCTCGACAATGCCGGTCATTGACATGCTTCTTGAGCTTGTCGGCCGCGGTTTCCTAGATACCCCTGATCCAGATATCGATGACGAAGAGGATAAGTTGGTCATCAGCGCCATTCAGACGACACTATTCTACTTCATGTGGAAGGGCCGCGCCTTGAAGGAGGCAGTTGAGAATGCCGAAGAGGTCCCCGATGTAGACGTCGATGAGATCAAAGAGCGCACCGAAACCTTCTCAGACAAACTCATCAGCACGCTCTCCTCCCGCGCGGGCCTCGACCCCTGCCGCCTCCAGGCCACCGGCTCCATCCTCGACCTCTACACCATCTTCCGCTCCATCCTCACCAGCAGGAAAGCCGAAGCTGTGCTAGCCGAAAACGACTTCTCGCACCTCCTTACCCTCGTTCGCCACATCGCCCCAGAAGTCCAGGAGGAGATCACCTCCATCTTCGCGACGGCCGAAAAGCACTATGCCAACAAGGCGCACAAGACCCTCGAGCCGCCCGCCGACAACGACGACCCAGAGGATATCGACTCCGACCCCGAAGACGACGACGAGGGCCTCACGGATGCGGAGCGCCAGGTCGACGGCTTGAAGGCTGAGCTACAGCTGTGCGACCTCACCTCCAAACTCGTCCTCGCTATCTACGCGCGTGTAATGGACGCCGAGGGCGCCATGGAAGGGAAGCTCAAACACCGCATGCTCCGCAACAAACGCAGGCTCGGGGCGAACGTCGCGCAGATCCTGGCTGTTCTAGAGGAACCGAATCCAAAGAAGGGGAAGAAGGGGAAGGCATCGGGAGGGAAGAAGCCGAAGGAGAGCGATGTGAGGTCGAAGATGAAGAGTTTGGAGATTGTGGTCGATGATGATGAGGAGGAGGAGGAGGAGGAAGAAGTCGATGAGGAGGAGCGGAGGAGACGGGAGTTAATTGACGAGGAAGGTCCGCCAAGCGCGGACGAAGCAGACGACGAACAGATGGTTGAGGAGGAGGATGAGGAGATCTTGGGGGACTAATCTCGCGCTATGAATGGCTATGGTCTATATAGGATCTGTCATAAATGATAACTGATGGGGGGGTGGGCGGTGAGGTTGCTGGTGTCTGGCGTTCCGGGCGCAGCTGTAGGATATTGCTTGGTACTTGGTTATCTATGGAAGCTTTGATGGGGCTTGGCGGGTTTCCGCTGGCTCTTTATGATTTCTTCATGCGCGCGAACACTTTGGGTCGCGCAAGCTTGGGGGGTGGGATTGCTAGGTCTTGTAGCTTGCGAAAACCTTTTAAATATATCCTGCTTTTTACCAATCGGCGCAATGCACAGTTGATGATCGCGCATCGCCACCGCACGGGGGAGCTTGACGTTCATAACCCAGAGTACAGAGTACCGGACTTGCAATCTACCCAGCTTCCAGGTCCTTGTTCCCCCTCCCAACTCCCCTCCTTCCGTCCCTCCTACCCCCCGATTGCGGTACACGACGCCCAGCGAAAGAAAAATATATACATACATATTACCCCCCTCTGCCGTGGCAAAAGTTGAAATAACCGCTTTTCCTGACTCCACCACTGCTACTGCTACTGCTTCTACTCCCCACCGTGCTACTTTCCTGTCGTAGACCTAGCTCCTCCTCGTCGCTCAGACACTCCTCGTTCTTGGGTCACGCCAGGCGCGAAGGCCAGATGGAGAATTAAACGCAACATTTGAACTTTGAGCAGAATCAGACGCTATAGACGAGGAGAAAGTGAAAACGAAGACGCGACGCCCAGATTCTGAGCCAGAACCCCGCACACCTGAAGCCAAAAGATCGCTGGGACGAGAGCTCCACGCGCGACAGTGGTACTAGCTATAGGTGCGCCCGCACCCACCAGACAAGATGGAACGGACGGCGCGGATGAGCTTGCGCGAGGAGCCGCCGATATTCCCGACTTACCTCGAGGGCGGTGAGCCTAGTGTGCTGGGCGCGAAGACGCTTGCGACCACGGACGCGGACAGCGCCGCAGACGTGGCCGCGGAGGCGGAGGCGGAGGAGGATGATGATTCCTTAGGGGGGGGCGAGTCGTCGGTTGAGGTAGGGGAGAGGAGCGAGATCACGGTGGTGATGGTGAGTGCTGCTCCAACCCTTGGGAGTTATGAGTTTGGTGAGAGGAAAGGCGGGGGGGCTGGGATGGGTATGAGGGCTAACGATACGGGCAGACCTTCGATGGGGATTCGAGCTATGGGACTGATGATGCGGATAGCGGTCTATTCTATGAGACTGTAGGATCCAGTGCGTTTACGTTCCCCAAGGAAAATGGGAGGACCTATCATGCGGTATGTATCACTCATCCCAAGACTTTTGAGGCAGAAAGCCCTCCGACGATCCGCATGCTGATCGAAGCGAGGTGCAGTATCAAGAAGGCAGTGAGTCCCGCCGAGCACCCCATGCTGCACTGTAGCTAATAGATCATCTAAGAATATCTCATGCCCAATGACGAGAAGGAGCAAGATAGGTAATTAACGTATCCCGAGGGAGTGGTTATGGTTTCCCAGATGACTAATGGCGCCCAACCAACAGGATGGACATGATCTACCACTCACTGAGTCTGATGTTCGAGGACAAGCTCTTCTTCGCGCCGGTCAAGAACCCGCAGCGCATCGCTGACATGGCGACTGGCACTGGCATCTGGGCTATAGATGTTGGCGACAAATATGAGGGCGCCGAAGGTCTGCCAACCCTCCACCTACGCCGAATCTCTACTAACAACCCACAGTCATTGGAATCGACCTCTCCCCAATCCAACCCAACTGGTAAGCCCCATAGCCCCCTAAGGGTACACCAGTCCCGTCCCCCTAGATACTCACCTCCCGCAGGGTCCCCCCCAACGTCCAATTCCGCGTCGACGACATCGACAAAGACTGGATGTTCGAGCACCCCCTCGACCTAATCCACTCTCGCCTCTCCTCCGGCCTCGCCGTCCGCGACTGGCCCCGCTACCTAACCGAGTGCCACAAAGCCCTCAAGCCCGGCGGCTGGGTCGAGGCGCAGGAATTCAGCGTCTCCATGGGCTGCGAGGACGACTCGCTCCCCCCCAACTCCATGATCAAGAAATGGCACGAGGAGGCTAACCGCACCTTCACGGCCGCCGGGTGCGATCTTCGCTTCGAAGGCGAGACGCTGAGGCAGCAGATGATAGATGCGGGGTTTGTGAATTGCGTGGTGCAGGAGTATCGGTGGCCGATGGGGCCGTGGCATGAGGATAAGCGGCTGAGGGATTCGGGGGCGTTTGCGATGATGAGTATGTTGACGGATATGGAGGCGATTAGTCTGGCGAGTATGACGAGGTATGGGGGGTGGAAGATGGATGAGCTGAAGGTGTTTTTGGGGGCTGTGAAGAAGGAGTGGAGGATGAGGTCCATTAAGGCGTATTGGCCGCTGTATGTGGTGTATGGGCAGAAGCCGGGGGAGAGGCCGAAGGGGGAGTGAGTGGGTGTGGCATAGGTGGGGGGTAGGGGCACATGTGGAGGGGGTTATGATTGTTATGGCGTTTGATACAATCAAAATTGAGGCATGCCAGGTTAGCAAAATAGGGACTCGAGAAGTCAACTCGTTAAGGCATAATTTTCGACCTACTGACTAGCTGAGCAATGTGAGAGGCAGTAGAGACCAGATCTGTCGTTGACTATTTAAGGGTCCAGTACAGTAAGCTCATATGTCAGGGTCGCAGTACAGTAAGCTCATATGTCAGGGTCGTATTTTCAGGGCCCTTTAGAATCCCTGTCCCGTACTGTTTTTATATTTTTTAGGAGCGATGCCACTAATGTTATAATCTTGGCAACTCTCACACGGTATATGCATGTGATTGATAAATACCACAGAGCAGAGCACACCTACGCATCAAGTAGTCCCATGCTCAACACCTCTTCAGTCATTATCCCACCTACCCAATAAATACCCAATAAGGACATTACCCGCCCGCCCAGCCGTGCATTTCAGCTACTCCATCTAAGGATGGGCGCATTCATTCCCTCCTAACAAGGGTGCACTCAGCCCTCAGCGATGGAGCGCGGGAGATGGACCCTGCCCGCCCTGACTGTATCTTACAGAAGTGAGATCGCCGGCTCCAGTAGCCCCCTGCCCATCCACCACCTATCCCCATCGGTGCTCCAGCAGCCGACTCAACTCAGCCCTCGAGATCGAATGAGGCATCGCCGATCAGCAGATGCCCAGTCTGCAGCCCGCCATTGGCGCGGGGCCCGTCCTCGGTGCCGTCTCCCAGCATGCAGGGCCTCACTTCCTACCGCAGCCATGCCGCCGATGCCCCCCTCCTCCCTCCCGCTCCCTGCGTCGCCGCGAATATAAGGTAGCAGCTGATACACCCTTCCGCGGGAGACATCTCTACACACACCAAACGCAGTAGTACTTAAAGAGCGCGCACGATGGCTACCCTCAAAGACCGCACCAAGTCCGCTGTAGCAGCGGCTGCTACCGCCGCGGCGAGCAAGCTAAAGAACGGGCGCATGTCCTTCCAACCTACGCAACCCCCCCTCCCCGACGACCCAAACGTCCACCTCAAGGCCGGCGAGCCCGTGACAATAACCCAAGAACCGCCGCCCGAGCAGCGCTTCCCCGACCTCGAGACGGACAAGAAGCGCGGCGGGCGCCGCCTAATTATCGCCTGCGACGGCACCTGGACGGTACGCTCCCCCCCCCCCCCCCCGGGGCCCCCAGACCTAGCTCTAACACCGCCCAGAACAGCTACTCTGACGCCCCCACCGCCAACGCCCCCACCGCCAACGCCCTCGGCGACTTCCTCCCCGGCATCTTCTCACACACCAACATCACGCTCCCCTCAAACATAACCCGCATCTGCCGCGCGCTCAACACCAGCGCCGTAGCCACCACGGACACGGAGCCGCGCCCCGCGCAGATCGTCTTCTACCACCCCGGCATCGGCACGGACGGCGGCATCGAGGACCGCGTCATCGGCGGCGCGACGGGGGCCACCATCTCCTTGCACATCAGCGAGTGTTATGGCTTCCTGTGTAACAATTGGCAGGTGGGGGATGAGATTTTCCTGTTTGGGTTCAGCCGCGGCGCATACACCGCGCGTGCTATCGCGACGCTGATCACGGATGTTGGACTGCTGACGGCGAAGGGGCAGGAATTCTTCTTTCAAATTTTTGAGGATTGGAAAGATCAGAACGTCCCTGAAGTTCTGGAGAAGCAGATGAAGGACGAGAAGATTAATGGTGCTCGAGGCGCATTTAAGGGGCTCCCCGCCACCCCTCCCATGCCGAGCAAAGCCTACGCCGACGAGCTAGCTAAGGTTCGTCTTCCTACCCCCTCTTCCCCTTTCCCACTTCCCCCAAACAAACCCCACTAACCCCCCCCCCAAAAAAAACAGCGCGGTTACACCCGCCCCTCCGTCCCCGTCAAAGTCCTCGGCGTCTTCGACACCGTCGGCGCCCTCGGCGTCCCCCCCATCTTCGGCCTCCACATCTCCGCCACAGAACTAATGCAATACTCCTTCGTCAACACCAAAGTCTCCCAAGTCGTCGAATACGCCTTCCAAGCCCTCGCCCTCGACGACCACCGCGCCGCCTTCGCCCCGGCGGTGTGGGAACAGCCCCAGCAGCCCGCTGAACTCAAGACGCTCGCACAATCGTGGTTTCCGGGTGTGCACTCGAATATTGGGGGGGCGGGGGGGTACGACGATCAATCCCTCGCCAACGACACGCTGGCTTGGATGCTGGCGCAGTTACAAACCGCGGACGTCTCAGATGACGGCTCGCCGCTCCTAGACTTCGACACGGCGTACTTGGATTTCATCTTCTCCCTCAACGTCACGCACTGCAACGACACCCCCTCCGTAGGCGGCTACCGCGGCTGGGCACTTGGGAAGATGGACGAGACCCTCACGACGACGTATAGTTTCGTCGGCGACGTCAAGCCCTGGGCCGGATGGGAGAATTGGCGCGATTGGGCGCACCCCGGCGACCTAGCCAGGACGCCGGGGCGCTATGAGTCCTACTCTGCGAAATCGGGACGCAGGACGAAGAGAGACAGGCCTTTGGTAGAGAGTAACGAAACCATCCACCCCTCAGCGCGCGTGCGCGTCGCGTGCGGCGGAAGGGGACTCGACGACAAAGGAGCGTACTTCCCGCGCGGCCTCGAGGGATTCAAAATCGTCGGCCCGGAGGGGGCGGATATGAAGGACCCCCTGGCGATGGGCTTTAAATGGGTAGGCAAGGACTCGCATGGACGCGATGTGGTGCTGGAGGAGTGTAAGTTGGGGGCTATGGAGTTGGCGCTGCTGGTGACGAGTCGGAAGGCTGTGGAGGAGGGGGAGGCGAGGAAGGGGGTTAGGGCGCAGGAGGTTGAGTGGCAGAAGGGGGAGGTTGGGGGGGTTGGGGGGGTGGTTAATGGGAAGGGGAAGTGAGGGGGTTTGGGTGTGTGGGTGTATGTGACATGAGGAAGGAGCGAGTTTTGAATACCATCGCAACTTCCCCTTTATATCTGACATGCCACAGGAAGGCACGACCCTCACTCACGTCACCCTCGCACCTCCCCCAAAATCACCCAAGTAAACGCATTCACAGAGGTAAACAGACACCCATAATCACTCGGAAAAAAGCCTCATTAACCCAACTACAACCCATCACAACCCTTTATCCCACTCCCCCATCCCCCTACCCCCACTTCCCCCGCCCCATCACCCATCAAGATCACCCATCAAGATCACCCATCAAGATGCCCCATCAAGATCAACCAAGAGTAAGGTCAAGATTAGATAAATGAAGTTCAAATCGATCTTAACATAACCCCACACAGCCCCTTATAACCCAACCCAATCCCCAACCACCCCTAGCCACATTTCTCCCAGCAACCGCGCACGAAATTATGTTTCAATTCCCATCTGTAAAACCCCGACTATCCATTTCTTTCATACCACGTTTCGATATTTTTTCGTTCGTTAACTCAGCATAGCATGCGCGCGATGTTTAATCGCTCTCTCGCTCGTGGCCCTGGTCCAGCTCGTCCTTCCCTGTGCCAGGCCAGGTCCAGGCGCTATCCTCATCCCCTCCTCCCGTCCCCAAGCCCATCTCTTCTCCCCGATCACGAGCAGGCTAGCTACCAAGCCAGCCCCCCCCCCCGCAACCCTCCCCAAAAAATAGCAAAGACAAACACCCCCCCCCCCCCCCAACCCCATCTCTCAAAAAAAATCTCAGGCGCTGCGTCTTATCACGTCGTTATATGTCAAATAATAAACCCCCCCTTCCCCCGCCCTGCCCAAAAAATTCCAAGGTATATATACGCTTCCCCCACTTTCTCTCTCCCATCCCATCCATACCGTCCATATCATCCCTTTTTGTTCGTTTTTTAAATAAAGAAAAAATAAGAAACAAAACATCGTCTTTCTCTCTTATCTCTTCTTGGCCCCTTTTTGCCCCATCATCGGGGTCGGTAGGCACGCACGCGTTATTTATCCTTCTTGTCCGCATCTGCATCCCATTTTTTTGGTTGATTTAGCCGCGTCGACATCATCATCGACATGTATCTTCGACACAGTAGCAGCAGGTTCCGTCCGCACATTAAAAGGCGTCCAGTTCTCCAGGTTCGAGTGTTTCGAAAGTTCGCATCCGACGGTCCGCCTACAGCGCCGTCGAGCGTCAAACACTCTACACCCTCTGCATCACTGACGCCTCCGCCCGCGCCCTCATATGACTCGCCTGCGTCTCGAGACTGCGCGCCATGAGATGCGTCACTGTTACCACGTATTAGCCCAGTCCAATCCCCGCTCAACCCACCACCCCCCTCAACAAAAACGACAGAGAAGAAAGAAAGGAGCAAAAACTCACTCGGCCACACCGCAGCGTTATCAAGCATAAAACTCGTGATCCTCAAGATCCTCGCCCCAAACCCCCCGGGCTCCTCCGCCAAACTCCTCTGCTGCACCGCCAAGCCCTGCAACCCCACCATCCCAGCCTCATAACTCATCTTCATCTCGGCGCTCTGCAGCACCTCCTGGATCTTGATGAGCAGCTTGATATCCTCCTCCTCCAGCAACATGATCCCGGGCACCTGGCTGTAGTCCACTTCATCCCGGCCGAGGATCCCGAGGTACGCACCGACCCGCTCTTGCACGGTGGCAACCCATTCGGCGAGGACTTGCGCGCAGTCGAAGGCGCACATGGCGGATTGGAGGGGGAGTTCGCGGGAGGTGAAGTCGGCGAAGGTGACGCCGAGCTTATCAGACATCGACAGCGAGTCCGCGGCATAAAACGCCGCTTTCCTCAGGTGCCGTTCGCGCTTCGACGTCGTCCCCGGCGCCATCGTCGTCTGTTGCTGCAGGGGCGCACTCATGCTACCCATCTGCTGCTGCTGCACCCCCCCACCAGCAGCCACCAACACCTTCGCAAACCCCGGCGACCCCCCCGACGACGGCGGCGTATCCCCAAAATGCGAGTGCGCACTACTCCCCGTCGCCTCCGACGCATGCTCCGACGCGCCCGAAGAGGCCTCCCCATGAGGCCCTGGGGAGTGCTCAGCATGCTGCACGATCTCCGACCCCGTCGAGATCTCCTCCGCCATCCCCTCATAATCGCGCTGCCAGAACTTCTCCTTGGAGCGGGACAGATTAACGAACAGCCGCACGTACGCCAAATCCAAAAGGGGGATCGAGTCCGCGGAGAAGGCGCTGAAGCCGAAGGGATTGGGCCGCTCGAGGCTATGACTCGCGTTGCTAGCCCATGCTTCCTGCCACGCCTTGAGCGCGGGCTCGATGTGGCGGTGCATCGTCTCCGTCTCCTCGTTCGTCCAGAGCTTGTTGTGGTGGCGCTGCCGCGTCTCCCAGATGTAGTTGTGCAGCGCGTTGATGAGGACGAAGCAGCCAAAGGTGCTGGGCTTGAGGGTCGCCGAGGGCGCGCCGCCGTTCGAGTACCCATTGTGCATGTGCTGTTTCTCGCTGGTGCGGAGGAGTTCGCCGAGTGCGTCGTGGAAGAGCATCAGGTTCTGGCTGGCCGCCTTGACGCCGCCTTTGGCGTTGAAGCTCGCTGCGCTGTCGCAGGCCCAGAAGTCCTCTTCGCAGGGAAGCTCGAGGAGGATCTCCGAGTTCGTGAGGGCGGGGGTGTGGTTGAAGGCCGACACGAGGAGGCTCGACAGGGCGAACACGGTGAAGAGAGTCCGCTTCCGCTCTTCGGTGATCCGCCAGCTTATCCACTCCCGCTGCTCGTCAGATATATCCTGCACGCCCCCGTTCAACCACATATCCGCCATCGGGGTATCGTCCGAGGATGTCAGGTCGTCGGGCTGCGTCCCATTCGGCGGCCTCAGGAGACCCGCGGCGCGGGACAGGCTCACGAGCGCAGCGCAGTGCGTCGCGGCGATATCTCCCGCCGTCTTGTCGCCGCAGTTGTGGCCATAGATGACATTGAGCAGCATAGCCTGCACAAGCCACACGGGCGTATGCACCGACTTCTCCGACGTGGCGTGGCCCGAGTCCGCAACTCCTGCCTTTCGCATATCGGCCTTTCGTACGTCCGCCTTCCTGCGCTCCTCCAGGTAAAGCTGGATCATCTTCTTGGCCAGCTCGAATATCTCCCTCGACACGGCGTGGTCCATCTCGTATAATGCCCCGATCGCCGCCATGGAGAGCATCAGACATCCCCTTCCGCCAACCATCCCCGACTGCCTCGCCGAGTTGATCTGCGACGCCGGAACATCAAACGACAGCGTCGGCAGATGCAGGAACGGCAGGTGCGGCTGGAAATACGTGACATACGCGCCGACATATCGCTGCAGGTCGGCCGTGCTCGGCAGGCTGCGCGCGTTCTCGTTCGGCTGACCGCGGAGGTGCGCCGGTGCGCTGAACTGGAACGAGTTCTTGCGGCCGCCAAACGATGTGATCTGGCTCAGCGCCACCACGAGGACCTGGCGCGTGGCCTCGGTGATGGTGGCTGCGGGTGAACACGGGTTGACTCCGTTCACGGAGGAGGGCGTCTCGGGGCCGAAGTTCATCGTGTGGTGGATTCCATTGGTGTTGGTGAGGCCGGGCATCATGGACGGGCTCAGCGAGCTCATCGATGGTGGGGGGGTGGAGAAGTATGTATCCGACGCCTGCTTTTGGGAGAGGTTGTGTGGCGAGATCGGGGCGCCGCTGTGGAGGAAATCCGGGAAGCCGTTTAGGGACAGGTCGAAGCCGAAACTCCCGGGGCCCATCAGCGCCGGAGCCATCATGCTCTGCTGCCACATGGACCCCGGGTTCACGGGCTGGTTCGAGCCGTCCAGCATCACCTCGCTGATGCCGCTCTGGCTCGCCGTGCTGATTGCCGAGGGCGACGAGCCGTCAATGGCATTCTCGTTTGCCGTAAAGTCCAGCTGGTGCTCGAAGCCGTTCATCCAGCCAAAGTCCTCCTCCATTGGCTGGCCCCCGGTCACATCCGGGAATGCGTGCTGGTACGCCGACGCCGAGTCGATGGCCATGGACTGCGGGGAATCGCTGTAGTGTAACGCGTTGGGGTTGACGGTGCTGCCCTCCCGGTTGAACATATCCCAGTCGAACTCGGCCAGGATCCGTGGGTCCACAGGCGCCGTCCGTAACCCCCCGCCCATAGCCGCCACGTTCACCCCGTCCATATCCAGCTTCGGCAGCACACTGTGAGACATGCCCCGCTGCCCCAGCGCCGCCGACATCCCCGCCAAATGATAGCCATCGTGCGCCGAGAGCCCCATCAGGCTGCCATGCCGGCTATGCGTCCCTTGCACGATATTCCTCGGGTTGGCGGAATTCGGCGCGATCAGGTGTATCGCCGCATTATCGACATGGCTGATGGTGTTCGCGCGCGGCCTCATCGGCCCATGACCCTTGGCCACCGAGCCCTTCCGTATCTTGGCGGACGTGGCCGTGCTGCTGGCGCTCTCGCGGCGGTTCCGCGGCCGCGACGACGGCGTGGTGGTCATATGCAGCTTCTGCTGGTGGCGCAGGAGCAGGTCCCGCCGCGCGAAGCAGCGCGTGCACTCGGAGCACTCGAACGGCTTCTCCTTGGTGTGGGAGCGCTCGTGGCGCTTGAGATGCTCGAGCCGCGCAAACGAGCGCGTGCAGGTCGCGCAGATGTGTGGCCGGGGCTTGTCGGTCTTGGGCGGGGGGAAGGCCGTCGCAGGCTTTGGGTTCAGGGCGGGATCAACTGGAGGGCGAAAGTTAGATCTGGCATCCTCTCGCAGCAGCTACATACCATTCTCGTTGAGAGCGCCGTTCGTCGTGGCATTTGCAGCGCTGGATGACGTCGTGAGAGGCATGCTGGGCAGGGTCTCTCGCAGCGGCAAGGGGAGTCGAGGGAGGCGCGGCGCGGTGAGGGCGTCGTCGGACTGCTATCATGCTACAACAAATGTGTGGTTGCGGTTGGGTTTGTTGGATTGCGTGAGCGATTCGTCAAGGGAGCGGCGGCGATCGGCTGGTGGGACTCGGACTGGAAATGAGGGATGCAGTGGGAGTGAATAGTTGTTTGGATTGTTGCGAGGGTGAAGGTTAGCTTGCCAATCGAGGCGAGGAGAGAATGAAGGAAAGGGTCGGGGATTTGATGGCAGCAGGATATTTTCTTGGTGGTTTGTTTGGTGGTGGGTGAGTGGTGGGTGAGTGGTGGGTGAGTGGTGGGTGAGTGGTGGGTGAGTGGTGGGTGAGTGGTGGGTGAGTGGTGGGTGAGTGGTGGGTGAGTGGTGGGTGAGTGGTGGGTGAGTGGTGGGTGGTAGTGGCGAGGCGGGCAGGGAGGTCAGTAGAGGCGAACAACAGGCGAACAACAGTTAGTTCTGGTTCTTGACGGTTTGAAGGCCAAGAGGACCAAGACCTCAGGTGTGGCAACCAGTCAGAGGGAGGCAATGGGGTTGGATGGTGAGGATAGTGAGGATAGTGAGGATAGTGAGGATAGTGAGGATAGTGAGGATAGTGAGGATGGGATTGGGTATTGGGGTATGGGGTATGGGGTATTGGTGTATGGGATGGGGTATGGGATGGGGTATGGGATGGGAGATGGGATGGGAGATGGGGTATTGGCGTATGGGAGATGGGGTATTGGCGTATGGGAGATGGGGTATTGGCGTATGGGAGATGGGGTATTGGCGTATGGGAGATGGGGTATTGGCGTATGGGATATCGGGTATTGGCGTATGGGAGATGGGGTATCGGGATATGGGATATGGATGGGTATAAAGGTAGTGTATACTGGAGGTGAGTATATCGAGTATATCGAGTATATCGAGTATATCGAGTATATCGAGTATATCTGTGTATTGTGTGAAGGTATACGGAGTAGAGAGAGGGGAGGTGGTGGGGGGTGGTGGGTGGTGGGGGGTTGCATGGGTTGCGTGGTTGCGTGGGTTGCGTGGTGGGTGTTGGGTGTTGGGTGGTGGGCGATGATGCGCGTGGTACTTGGGTGGATACTTGTCACGGTACTTACTGTATACCAGACCCCCATTCCCTCTGGTTCTGTTGGTTCACTCGCTGCTCTAGCCTTGTCACTAATCGGAAAGTAGCAGGTACTACCCATCCTTGTTCCATGCCCTTCCCTACCCCTCTACCACCTCTACCACCCCTACGAACACCACCACCTCCCCACCACCACCTCCCCTACCCCCCTACGAACACCACCACCTCCCCACCACCACCACCACCTCCCCTACCCCCCTACCACCACCACCACCTCCCCTACACCTCCCCTACCCTACCCCTCCCCTCCCCTACCCCTCCCCCCCTCGTCATCACCGCCATCATCCCCCCTGGCCAAAACCTGGACATGAGAGAAGAACCCCCCTTTCCCCCACGGCGTGCAAGGCCATGGGGAACAATAATGCCAGTTAGCAGTCAGCAATGGTTAGATGGATGGGATGGTGGGGCGTGTAGGAGCCGTACTCCGTAAAGTGGGTCGGTTTACTGTACTAGGCGTCGCGCTGACAGAGCAAAAGTAGCCCATTTGACATTGGCCACGGGCTAGAGTACCTTGGACTGGGTGGGCTATTGAACCCACCACCCCATCCCACATCCCCATCCCACCTCACCTCCCACCTCCCACCTCCCACCTCCCACCTCCCACCTCCCACCTCCCACCTCCCGCTGTTTATAAACAAGACCAACCGCCACCACCACCCACGAACGCCGCCTCCGATTTCATCCTAGCGCCGCGCATGGCGACCTTGGCCATGGCGCGTTGGGCAAGGGCGAGCATGCTGCGCACGTCGGCGGAGCGAGCATGCAGCGCGCGTCGGCGGAGCTGTGCCCCATAACTGCTTGCTCAGGTCCGCCGGTACGGGCAGAGCTTCAATGGACCGGCACGGAGTACTCCGGCGTGGGAGTCGGACTCCGCAGAGGATAGACGCGCTGGATACAGGGTGTACAGACCCAGTGAGGCCGAGCCGCCTTAAAACAGCGATGCCACTAACCCCAAAACCAGTCTAGTCCACTCTAACCCACTCTAACCCACCCCCCCCCCCTTCCACCACCCACACCCCTTCCCTCCCCCAGAAATCCCCTCCCCCAGAAATCCCCTCCCCCAGAAATCCCCTCCCCAAGAAATCCCCTCCCCCAGAAATCCCCTCCCCCAGAAATCCCCTCCCCCAGAAATCCCCTCCCCAGAAATCCCCTCCCCCAGAAATCCACTCCCCCATCTCCCTCCCCACACCCCCCCCCCAACCTTCCCCATCTCCACGAACACAAACCGGGGTCTCCACGACAGGCGACCTGCAGCAACGCCCCTCGACCACGACAACCAATCGTACACCCCTGCCTTCCCCGGATTTCGCTAATCAGGAGCCCACGAGGGTGTTGCCTCGCTAGGGGTTTGTTGTTGGGGAGGGCACAAGAGATGGCGGCGGAGGAGGATGTTGGTCTGGGCTAGAGCTGGACTGGTGGACTGGACTGGACTGGACTGGACTGGACTGGACTGGACTGGACTGGACTGGGAAAAGGGGGATGGCGTGGCGTGGCGTGGCGTGGGCATGGGGCGGGCGGGATGGATACAGCAATTTAATCGCTGGTGGTCGACGACGATGGGAATAAGGGCCTCTCCCGTGCCTCGTCCCTGGCCTTGCCTGGCCCAGCTTCACCAGGGGCAGCAACCAACGACGACGGGCGCGCGCCCGCCGTTGGTGCTAATCCATATCCTCGTCCGTCCTCTGTACGGCTGCATGCCGGATGATGCTGTATGACGCTGGCTGTATATATTACCCCACGGTTCTCCCAGAGTCCTCAACCGTCGGATCGGCTCTTCGGCGCCAAACTACCACTATGGGCCAGCTCCCAGCCCGCGTCGTAGCCATGGCCATACGGAGTGCTGCAGCTGATAGCATTCTTAGAAAAGGGGAGGGAAGGGCAGCCCGCCGCGGCCCTGGAATTGCCGGCATGCAAAGAATCCCCCTACACCACTACTCCCACCGTTCCTGTCCTCCCATCCCCAACAGCCAATGTCGGATCCCCTCCTCCGGCATCCCATAACAGGCCTACCCACCCCTTTCCCAACCCACGCACCAGCCGCTGGGACCATGCCACTACATCTCGAACGCACGCTCCCTTCTATGTTGTGTGACCCCCGACCGGCTTCCCCATCTCAGGCCACCACCACCACGGACACCGTTTGTCCGTCTGATACTGTACCAGAGCAAGCAGCCTGTCCACAGCCCTGGGTCGTGATATTAATTCGATAGAAGTTGTATCGCTCCCCACCTCCCCCCCGCGCCGAGGATAACCGGTACGTGCGAGGGCGTGTAAACCCCATCCATCCCATCTCCCTCTCCGCCCGCAACGAGCTCCCCATCACGCACGCACGTGCACGACTGCGTTGGCTAGTTGGTTAGTCCTCGGTCCAGCTCCCGGGCGCGTGGCGGTCGCGCACGGGACTTGGGGGTTATATGCTATGTATGGGGACGCCCTGTGCTGGGGCTATGCGTCCTGATGCACCACCGCAGAGTAGCGTAGTTGTATCACGCGTCGTCCCCGTTCCTCACCCCACCAGGGGTCATAGATTATTCTCTCAGTGTTCCCCATCCAGGGCAACGGCGTGTGTGGAGTGGATTGGTATTAGCACATCGGGATAGGATGGGATGGGATGGTCTAGGAGCAGGGGTCCAGCCGGCGCAAGGGAGGGAGGGTATGGCTCGTGTGGATTCGTGGAATGTTCTTTGGTGGAACGAATTTGGAATATAGATTGTAATGTATGCAAGGGGGGTATAACATTTCCTCAACCCACACTACCTACCGGTTCGAGCGTGGACAAACTTCTATATCAAGACCCCCCCCCCCTTATTACCCCAGGTTGGGTTCGAACAACCGTCCTGTCTAGGGGTATACCACCATACCCCCATCCATACATGCGGATGAACCCCTCCTCGTGCACCGAGGTAGGGGCCGGCGGTCGCTGGTCGGGACGGGGGTTAGGTGTCATTCTCACATGTGATCTCTGGCTGGATCTAGAATTCCCACTTCTAATCCTCGTCAATAAGCCACTGGATTTATCATGTGCATACCTCGTAGAGGCGGGATAAGAAGATGAGAGCATGGGAGCATGAGGGTTCCCCGGGTTTTTGGAACGGCTTGTGAACGCTTGTCATGTGCCTGCCTGTCTGCTTGTTGCATGGAGGAAGCAGGGAGGGAGGGAAGGGAGGACCTGGTGGGAAATCTGTCTTGAGCCGCTGATTTATGATGTTTTCTGGAAGCTGCAATTGTAAGATATGCTTATGGAGATATATTTCTCTTTATAGTTTTATAGAGTGAATACATGTTATATATTGTTCCTATAGTAGCTGGAAGTTTATCAAGTAGATTTATTCCGATTTATTTGAACTAAAATATAGACATTGGATTTTAAAATAATATATCCTCGGCAGATAATCATACACTCATCTTAAAACCGAAAAAATGAATGAGAATATTTATCTGGCCCCTATAAATGGCCAAAAAATCAAAAAATCAATATTTAGACGTCAATTTCTGTACATCATCGCCTGCCACGACAAACCTCGCAACTAAACCAAACGAAAAGCCAACACACCCCGATACAATATTAACATTTGAATGCTATACTATATGAACAGCCACTGACGCCTTGGGAATATCTCAAATGCCCAGCCATAATTGAAGCTTCATCGTAAAAACCCTCACTTATATACTCGCTCCAAATTTATACACGCGTAGGTAGACAGCCGCCCCCGAATTAGCTGCCAACCCCAACCAGCTTCGCCCATTTACCCTCGTCAACCTCCGATCCGTCGCCCGGGTAACCTATGTTGTCCCGATCATCATCGATGATTCTCCCGTACTCGAGCAGCAGGCGGTACATATACACCTAGTCCATCTATTAGCTTCATTGTCGACATAGCGAGGATAAATAGGGGGTGGGGGATATAAGAATGGTCAACAAAAGGGGAATACAAAAAGAAGAAACTAACCTCCATATCCTCCTTCCTCAACACCTTCGCAGCCCACTCCGACCCCCTCTTCGCAATCAGCCTTCCCTCAAACTCATGCTTCTGCACATACAGATTCATATTAACCCAGTCCTCGCCCCGATCATTCCCCTCCGCGTTCCCATACCCCACAAAATACGTCAACATACTGTATATCTCGCGATATTCGATCCCGAGCGGCACAAAGTGCACCCACGCGAAAAGGCGCGAGGTATGCCACTCCTTGAACAGCGTGCTTTTGATCGGTAGGCTGCGGCTCTGGAGAAGTGCCCGGAAGCGCGCCGAGATCCCGTCCCCATCCACGTCAAGGATAAACCTGTTCTTGAATTGTTCGGCGAGCGCCGCCCAGTACGCCCTCGATCACTCCGACGCCAAGTTCGTGAATGGGTCCTGGCCGGGGGCGTTGGGGCGTACGCCGTAGAGGTTGGGGTGTAGGGGGTCGGTGCCGATGACTCTGACGGTATTGTTGCTCAGGAAGTCAGCATCGAGATTGCGGACCAACCGGTCTCTTTTTTTGTCTCTTCGTCCACGCCCAATGGCGGCCTAGTAAGTGTGCCGCGCCAGTATATCGTATCGTGCTTATCCTCCCACGCGTAGTCATACTTATCATCATATGCGTAATTTGTATCCTTGGGAGGTAGTCCAGTAGGCCGCGGATGGGTAGAGGATGTCGTTATTAACATTTGTTTTACCCTCACTGAAAATTGGGACGAGTCGGAGAGTATTTAGTAAATCCATAGGCAGATAAAGCATGGTATGAAGATCAGAGACGAGAGGGCCCAGAGAGCAGAGGTCAAGGATCGATTTTGGTTTTGAATAATGGTATTGGCATTGTTGTTTAGCTTGTGTGAATTGAGCTTGAGAAGGCTTTCGTAACGCAAGAGTGCTTTGCTCTTGAGAAGTTCTTCGTTATGAACGAGTGAGTCGGGAGGGCGTGCCTCCTTTACAGTAGACATGTAGGGTAGTCCCGATATGTCTTTCCATTCTGGGTCCACCGCAGTTTCTTTCGCAGCTGCATCTTCCCAGAGGCCAGGCAGATGCTTCGAAAACTCGTTCTTTATATGCTCAGTACTGACCCTAGACCCCTCTTCAGTCTTCAGGAGTTTTTGGAGTTCGTCCCAAGGAACCGTCACGCGTGGCTTGCTACGCCCGTTGACAGCAATATCCATATCTGGTAGGTCCTTGACGAAAGACTGGATCATTTCAATAAACCCTGGCCATTCATTTTTATCGCGGGTTAGTGACGCCACAGCCCCATCTCGTATGTGAACTCCCCAAATATCCTGTTCTCTCCTAACATGCATGCGCCCCGCTAGCGACCGAATACCCTTTGGATCCACCCCCCAGAAGGGTCTTAAATCGTCCATAATCTGTTCAAAAGGGCCCACGACCCCAGACCCCTCCTCCATACCAAAGTCGCCCAGAATTTCAACCTTCCGGTCGCGTGCGAACTTATACCACATATCAAAATGTGGCGGTGGATTCCTCCCGTATCGCTCTCGGTAGCTTAGAACAATGCTGGAGAATTTGGGATATGTTTTCCCCTGTTCCTGGTAACGATCCCATAATGCGTCTTTTTGGATGATCCGCCTATGTATGGGGTGTTGGTCATCGACAAGGTTCGCATCGTAGTCGCCGTTGACGTTGCTCCAGTCTTTGAGCTTCGGGAGCTATTCCCACAGGTTAGACATTGTGGGGCTTTCAGAAAAGGAGGGGTACCTACATCAGGCTCTGGTTTTGCTTGTCCAGGAAGAACAACATGAAAAACTCTTCGTGGCCATCTGCGCCAAACAGTATAAAAGAATTCACAACAATCGCAAGAAAAGCAGCAGAACTAAACAGCGCGATGATTTGTCGCGTGCTGAGGTTAAAGGAAGGCATGGCGGGCACTCGTATTCAACACCGACGCTGCAAACAAGGAAGAAGAAAAGGGTTATAAACGTTGAAAAACCGTCATCTCCACCTGCAGTAGTGTTGATACTACGCCGGTGAGATCTCATCCACGTTGCTGAAGAAATGGAGGGGAATTGAGGACAAGAAGCTCCAACCGTGATTGATAGGCTATAAATGGACATTGAAATTACAGGGGTGTCGAACATATCACGTGATAACTAAAATTCCAATGTCGTCGGAACGAACATGAAGCCGCAAGTCCAGGAACAACAATCCACCTCCAGCAATGCCTCCACGGTTACCCGCACTTACGGCGGCTCTTCGCCCGGCGCAGAGTACGAATGGAATTGTCTCGGCATTCCTCGTCCCCTTTCTCCTGGCGAGAAACGCCTCGATTCTGTCGAACCTCCAGGACAAAGATGAGGCATACAGCAAGCGCATAAGGCGCGGTCGTGGTCCATCGTCGGGGAAGGGAAAGACGTCAGGAAGAGGTCACAAGGGTCAGAAGCAGCACGGAAGTGTGCCAGCGAGGTTCCAGGGTGGTCAGACTACGCAGGATGTCGTGCACCACCAGAAGGGAGGAGAGAATTTGTACGTCTCCCGCCATGCAATTGCAACAGCACCCCAGCTGTGACTGTAGCGCGCATGTTCCTAACCGTTTATAGCTTCTCCGTCGAGATGTCGCCCATTAACCTAAATCGCATACAGGATTGGATCGACCAGGGAAGGCTGGACCCGACCAAGCCGATCACAGTCAAGGAGCTGGCCGAGTCGCGGTGCCTCCACGGTGTCAAGAACGACGGTGTGAAGCTTCTGGCGCGCGGAAAGCAGGAGCTGAAGACCCCAATCAACATCCTCGTATCGCGCGCCTCGGCAGCGGCCATTGAGGCCGTCGAGGCCGCTGGAGGAAAGGTCACCACCCGCTACTACACCAAGCAATCGCTCCGCCGTCTCCTCAAGGGCGAGTCCGAATCGTCCTTCACTCCTCTCGGAATGATCCCAGCAGAGGATAGCGCCGAGCCAACCGAATCCCCGATCGTCGCACAGGCCAAGCCATTCTCTTATCGTCTCCCCGACCCAACGAGCCGTAAGGATATCGAATACTACAGAGACCCGGCACACAGGGGATACCTCAGCCACTTGATCGCAGAGGGCGAAGGTCCATCTTTGTTCTTCAAGACGCCAGGTAGCACGGTCAAGAAGAGCAAGAAGAAGGCTGGCAAGGAGGGTGTTGTGAAGGGAGAGAATAAGTTGTGGTAAATGTCGGATTAGGCGGTATTATGAGTGGGGCAACTGTACTATCTGAAGAGAGGTTATACGGATCAGACCTGGCAAGGAAATGGTTCTAGAATATCTAGAGTGCTAACTAAGCATATGTACAATACTTAATTTTCTATGTTTATGGTATAATGTGCTTTAAATACTCGGCGGCAATGCCATGGTGTGAATGCTTTTTCTAGGTGCAACAATATTGCCTCCACAGTCCTCATGTATGTTACATCTCGGCCGTAATTCGCCCTATAACTTCGCGGTCTCTTTCACCTGTGCTCTATCCGCAGACATTTCCGTCTCCCCATCCTCCGCATCCCCACTAGCAAATGCCTCCCCAAACCCCTCAAACATCGCCAACGTCCCTGGCTCCGCCTTCTTCACCAACCCATCTTGAAGTGTCGTTGCCACATGGACTCCACTAGGACTCCACAGCTTACTCTCGTGTGACCCCCTCCCACCCGCACTCCTCGTCGTCCACGCCTCCTGTGTCCACCACCCATCCCCCTCCAGCAGCATCTCATCAGCATCTGTATGAAAAATTACGCTATGCCCTAAACTAGCAATCTTCGCCAACCGATCCCCGAAGCCCATAGCCCTAGCTATCAAAAACAGACCATTTCGATCGCTGGCGTACAAATGCGCCGCAGCATGCAGATTCGGCTGCGCCCTCGACATCTCCCCCACCCTCCGGTAATAGTGCAACTGCCTGTAGTCCCCCGGCGGCTTTCCCTTATTATACGGCTCGCAATCCGCCTTGCGGATCTCCAAGCCAGGGAACGTCTTGTGCTCAGGGAATTTCCGGATATGCGCCTCATACCACGGCATATCGATATCGGGACAGATATCCCAGTCCTCTGGGCGTTTCCCGCCGAGCGACGCTGTGTACTGCTGTCCCCAGTTCGGCTCTTGGTGCGCGGAGAGCGTGGGCGTGGCGATCTTGAAGGAGCAGATCATGTGGAAGCACACGTCGCCCATCTCGCCATCTGCATCAGTGATGGCGAATTGTTCTTCTTCGTCTCTCCTTGAGCGGCGCCGGGGCTGCCTCACAAAGACAGAACGTTGACATGTGTAGCGCGTGTCGCCGAAGTGAGTGATTGTGAAGACGTAAGGGCGGTCAATTTTGCCTGGTAGCGTGAAGTAGCCGTGTGTGCTCTGTAGGTATGTTAGGTAATTGCTTTCTCGATCAATGCGAGGAAAGGAGACCACATACGTGAGCTACCAAGCCTTCAGGCACCTCTTGCGCCGCGGCCCACAAAGCCTGCGCGTAGACGTGTCCGCCGAAGGAGTTCCAGGAGCCACCGGGCGCCCATGCTGGCGTCTTGGACATATATGTGTGATCCTTCCCTAGGACCTTCTCCAACGCCATCAGGTCCGCAAAGGGCGTCTCGGCGTTAGGTATCGCAGAGTGGTCCATTGTGGTGAAAGTTAAGGGACTGGAAGAAAGATGCGGCGGTGTGAAATTCCAACGGTTAATTATGTATGCACATATAGGCCGCGATGAGACTGAATAAGCTGAATAAGATCAAGGATATAAGAATATAGAGGTATAGAGAAAGTCTAGAGAAATGGTGAGAATCCCGAACAACTTCTCCTGCAGCCTCGTTTGAGCCGAGGTACCTGTTAGCCTGTGCCGACTTATCAGTGTTGGAACCCCGCTATGCATTGAACTAAACTCAACAAACTATTACGATGGCAGGAAGGCAGAACTTATGTTAATCTCCTACTTGAGCTGGGGGAAGTGAAAGATCTGCCTATGGGATGTCCTTGCCCTGGCTGTGGCATATAGAGTGTTGATAGGCCTTAGCGCGAGGCTGAGAAAATTAATTCACAAGCGAAGCAAGCGATCACACAGGCGAAGCGATCACTGAACTTCCCACCTAAAATTGAGAAATTTACAAGATAATAACTCAACAACAACTTCATAATATCTTCTAAAAATGTGTGTGTATCCTTATATATACACGTAGATTCCTTTATTTTAGCTGAAGTTGTTAGGTGAGAAGCTTAGTGATCGCTTCGCTTGTGAAATACGATAACTTATGTTATATATCCCACTCATCACAACCCTGGACGCTATGAATGCAAAACAATCCGCTCAAAAATGAAGAGTACACGCGCTTCCCACGTATATACTGCCTACCACTGCTATCCCATTACCCGCCCAAAGGTACGGTGTGTACCTTTACCGCCACAGCTATGAACACCCTCACCCACCTATCGGCATGCTCTCCAACTGGTCATTGAGCTGCCTCCAGTTATCCGCCTGCAGCTCCGAGTATTTCACCCGCTCCTGCGCCCAGTCCTGGTTCCACCGGCTGACCTGGTACTGCGAGTCCTGGAAGTACGTCAATTCGTCACGCAGGCACTCCTTGACGAATACGCCGCGCGCATGCTGCGCAACAATCGACTCCTTGTCCTGTCTTATGTTAGACTTGTGGTAGGTGTGTGCATGGGATTCACAAACCTTGAGGATACTTTCCGTAGCCCTCTCCACGTCTCCCGGCTTCACGCCTTCTGGTCTTGATCGTAGGTTCGCTAGCTTATCTTCATTGCTCTTGATCCGCTTCTCTAACTGCGGGATGTTGTCCTTGTCGTAGCGTTCGCGACGATCGAACATCTCCCGCATGGTAACAAGCGCATCTCTCTGCTTCTTGAGATCCTCCAGCACGCCCTCATCCCAGGCCCGCGCCTCGTCCTGGAGCAGGGATTGGCTATCTGTGACGTGCTTCGCGGTCGTCAGGAGTCCTTCATTGAGAAGCGGGACGTCGTTTGTGTCTATGGCATATGTTGCATGAGACGCGTCGGTCAAAGACATGAGAGAAGTCGAAAGTCGCCCGTGATCAGCGGCAAGTCCCTCGTTGCGTTTCGCAAGGCGATCCATAAGAGTGCAGAGATTGATGTAGACCTCTGCAGACTTGCGTACCCCAGACCTTGTAGTTTCGAAGAGTTCGTTCAAGGTAGGTGGCAGGGAATCTTCAAGCCCGGGAAGTAACGCTTTGCCTGTGAACTCTTCTTGGACCGAAATAGTGGCCTGCTTCCGCCAAACCGCGAGCTCCTGGCGTTAAGTCAGTATCAGCTAAAGAAAATTATGGCATTAAAGAGAAATATCTTACAGTTGGCACCGTCAGGAACATAACGACCAGCTGCTCCTGATTAAGTACGGGATGTCGGACAAGAGCATTCACAAACCGCACCAACCCCCGTCTTCGCTTTTCGATGAACGCACTATCTGCTGCTAAATAACTCCCGTTAACTGCTGCAATTAGCTTCGCAGGCGCGTGAGGAGGGAACTACGCACCACCAACCCTCTTGGGTGGTAATAATGGCAACCGTCTGAACGGATACCGCTTGTGTAGGCAGTCAAGCAGCCACACGAAATCGCTGTATCGACGGACAACTTTGCTGCCTCTCCGTGTGCTGTGGACCTGGTAGTTATGATGCTGGAACATGAATACCCCTTCTTTCTCAGGCAGAAGCGTGACCAGGATATTCTCCTCGACCCCATTCCCAGTAAGACCACCGCTACCAATTGCCCGGTTTTGGCTAACCGGTGGTCGGTGAGGATCATCCCCCAAGCCGCCGGCGAAGGCATTTCGTTCTAAACCAGTAGGCAGGCCACTGCTGTATGAATTAGGCGAATTGCCGTCGTATGAATACCAAAGACTATTTGGGGTTGGGCGTGATTCTCGTGCTGACTCCCTGCTTCCATTGGTGGATTCAATAACAGATTCCGTTGTAAAATTGCTAGTAGTTCTCTCAGATGGTTCGAATGATCCGTTTGTTCGTGTCGCAGTGCTCTCGACATTGCGGGGAGCAGGTGCGGGCTGAGGAACCCCATGATTGTGCCCCTTGTGTAGCGCAGGACTTCCCCATGGATCGTCCTCAATGAGAGATTCTCTTCGCGGTCTTGTCTCCCGTGATTTCGGAGTAGGAATGTATTTGGTAGGAGGAGTGGCAGGGCGCTGAGGCGGCTTAGACGCTAGCTCGGAAGTGTCAGGTAGACCTTCAGGTGCTGTGGAGAGATTGTGCAAATCGGGTTGCGGAAGTTCTGGATATGTCAGCGGATGTTGTTGGCTTAGGGAATCCAATGCCTACTCTTGCGCCTCTCATCAACGCCATCGAGTGTAACGTCGTCCCCTTCCTGCGCCAAGCCAACCAGTGCTAGGAAGACGTTGAACTCGCTTCGCCGCAGCGTGCTGCCCGCTGGAGCAATGGTATTCATAACTCTCGTCTGTTGATCAGCCCCCAGCTTTGCGGCATTCATGACTCTCGTCATCCCCGCCACATCCACGGTGCCGCTCTGCCCAAACTCCGTAGACTGCACGGCCTCGAAGACGTCAACATAGCTATCCGGGGCATCACCCCCCGACAGCAGCGTGCTGATCACCTCGCCCTTGGAAGCTTTCTTTGGCGTTGGCATTCCCCATGGAGACCCGCCAGGTGTGCTATCATCGTCTGCGAACAGCGAGGACTGCGAGCCATTGGCAGGACTGGGGTCGTCGAAGAGCGTCTGCCGGGATTTTGCTAGAGTCGACGCCGCTCCAGACTCGTCTGGGGAGGTTCCAAACAGCGACATTCTGAGAGCCGTATATGCCCAGCTACCGCCGTTGAGTTTTGAGATTCGTGAGTGTCCTGGGCTCAATGGGCCAGTTGACGAGGTTGGTTCTCGAGCTGCTTGGCTTCCTCCCATGTAGCACTTCGCGCTAACACTCCAAGCGATCGTTCGCGATCGTCATCACCTAGATAAGATAACGGAGCGAACTGGCTAAGAAGACCCGAACCCTTGAAAGTTAATTCGAACCATATATATATATTTATACACGTGTAGTTTTACTTTCTGGCATTTTTGGATTATCAAGGCTATGTTAATATGGCATTTGTGTTTGATTTTGCAGGAAATGAGATAAACGTGCATGTATCATAGCCTCCACACAATGTTACTTTGAACTATAAAGCAAGAGTAAGAGCATCGTTGAGAAGGAATCCATTAGATTCCTCGTGCAGGCCTTATTCAACCATATGACCGACCCGTTGAATTGGGGCCCAAAGTTCGATGTCGTTGTTGAGAAGCTCCCAGATTTTCACAGCATCTCCCCGCTCACTCCAACAGCCCCCTTCCGCTTTCAAACTCTCGGATAAGCGTCCTCGAGTTATACAAATCCTCGTTATGCATCCAGGTCTCCGTCCATCTAATTAAGCGCCGCCTCTTGCCTCCCTTCCCGGTCATTTCGCAGACGACGTGTAATTCGTTCATCCTTTTAGCTGAGCCTGAAATTGAGCGTCATTCAGCCACATTTCCTTCCACTCGACAAGATATTCAAGTTGGCCGTGTAGTGTGCGCCTATCCACAATCCCGGATACCTCGTATACGTCTTTAGTTTCTACTATAGTATGTAAAGAATACTATATTAAGTTAAGCACAAAGCTCCTATCTAAGGGAATACTATCTACTTATAAACTATCTAACTATCTACTAGATGAGTTACACTACTATAGCCTAGCCATGAGTCACAGATGTCATACTGACACTCGTTGCACTCAGTTTGCTATCAAACTCAAGAGCAAACTTGGAAATCTCCTCCTCAAACCTACAAGTCCCCATACATATTTTGGCTTGTCACACCAACAACAAGAGCAATACTACTCAACAATTGCTACAACCCTCTATGATTCATTACACGTCATTGCTCCTTAGTTACTGGGCCGATATGACCACATAGCATATCTCTACAACCCTCTATGATTCATTACATGACATCACTCCTTAGTTACTGGGCTAATACTACACATGACATATCTCTATCAACTAGAGGCCTAGGAACATGAACGATAGCTCCAAAAGCTTCTACAACCGTCTATGATTCATTACACGTCATCGTGTCATACTGACATTCGTTGCACTCAGTTTGCTATCAAACTCAAGAGCAAACTTAGAAATCTCCTCCTCAAACCTACAAGTCACCATACATATCTTGGCTTATCACACCAACAACAGAAGCAATACTACTCAACGATTGCTGCAAACTCTTCTACTACATCTGTTTATGCTACATACATCACGGCATATCATTTGGACACTCATTGAACAAGTTATTAAGAAAATCTCCTCCTTAAGGGGGTGGGCCAATACTACCACATGGCATATCTCTACCAACTAGAGGCCTAGGAACATGAACGATAGCTCTAGAAGCTTCTACAACCCTCTATGATTCATTACACGTCATCGCTCCTTAGTTACCCACAAGATTGGTTAAGTTATGACATAATTTGTCTATAGGTACTCTGACCTTGGACCTCCTTTTCACTTCCTATAGGCTAGGAACCCAAGAGATGGTTCTATGGGATTCTCTTACGTTCACTACATGATTAGCAAGCTAGTTGTGGGTCGCACTTGATTTCTAATACATTTACCAAGCCTGGTTAGTCATGGAAAGTCATGGAAAATGAGAGAACTACACTCCTTTGGCATAAATAGGATTGCCCTTTCCTTAAGAAAGGGCAAGCAGACAATACAGTAAATCGACTATCACATACTTCCACGTCTTTTACAAGCTTCCAAGCATTTATCTTGTTACTTGTAATGGTGGGTGCACCAGATGTGAGAATCTAGCCACCCAAGGAAGGGATGAATTTACTAAGACAACACACTGTCTTAGAAAACAGAGCCAAAGGGTCGTAGCTTAGACTATTCCACAACGCAGCAACCAGGTGTGTGATGTAGTGAAGTGGTTCAGCCAAGTTGCAACAAATGTTGAGTCTGGGAACTCAGGGGTAAGTCAGAGGTTAACACCTCACTGACTTTTCAGAAACAAGGAGTAACAAGATCAATGCTTGGAAGCTTGGAAAAGACGTGGAAGTATGTGATAGTCGATTTACTGTATTGTCTGCTTGCCCTTTCTTAAGGAAAGGGCAATCCTATTTATGCTAAAGGAGTGTAGTTCTCTCATTTTCCAAGAGTTTCCATGATTACCAGGCTTGGTAACTGTAGTCGACGTAAGAGAATCCCATAGAACCATCTCTTAGGTTCGTAGCCTATAGGAAGTAAAAGGAGGTCCAAGGTCAGAGTACCCCTATAGACAAATTATGTCATAGACAAATTATGTCATAGACAAATTATGTCATAACTTAACCAATCTTGTGGGTAACTAAAGAGCGATGACATGTAATGAATCATAGAGGTTCGTAGGAGCTTTTAGAGCTATCGTTCATGCTCCTAGGCCTTTAGTTGGTAGAGATATGTCATGTGGTAGTATGAGTGATGTCATGTAATGAATCATAGAGGGTTGTAGAGATATGCTATGTGGTCATATCGGCCCAGTAACTAAGGAGCGATGACGTGTAATGAATCATAGATGGTTGTAGCAATCGTTGAGTAGTATTGCTCTTGTTGTTGGTGTGATAATGTAACGCTGACTTCTAAACGATAGAAGACACAGAGGTTCTCTTGCGTAAAGGTTTACTTATCAGAGGAGGCAGGGGATCAGACACAAAGGCTTCAAGTAACACGTTACTAGTATATAACAAATACTGTATTGAGTTGAGCACGAAGCTCCTATCTAAGGAAATACTATCTACTTATATAGTGGCGTCGTGCCTAGTGGACTCTTGGGAACTCACTCGAGTCCTCGGAGTCCTGGACTCTTAGGACTCTTCTCATCATCCTGCGAGTCCATCACGTGCCTAGTGGACTCCTGGGAACTCACTCGAGTCCTCGGAGTCCTGGACTCTTAGGACTCTTCTCATCATCCTGCGAGTCCGTCACGTGATACTTTCGGAACTACTATTCCCCGCTGCCCCTCCAGGTACCAGGGCCGGTCTCATGCGACCTCCCTCCTTCCTGTCCTGTAGTTGGCCAGCCTTCTTGTTCCGTCGTAACAGATAAGCCAAAATATGTATAGTGACTTGTAGGTTTGAGGAGGAGATTTTTAAAGTTTGCTCTTGAGTTTGATAGCAAACTGAGTGCAACGAATGTCAGTATGACATTACTCCTTGTTTCTGAAAAGTCAGTGAGGTGTTAACCTCTGACTTACCCCTGAGTTCCCAGACTCAACATTTGTTGCAACTTGTCTGAACCACTTCACTACATCACACACCTGATTGCTGCGTTGTGGAATAGTCTAAGCTACAACCCTTTGGCTCTGTTTCCTAAGACAGTGTGTTGTCTTAGTAAATTCATCCCTTCCTTGGGTGGCTAGATTCTCATATCTGGTGCACCCACCATTACATTAGACTATTCCACAACGCAGCAATCAGGTGTGTGATGTAGTGAAGTGGTTCAGACAAGTTGCAACAAATGTTGAGTCTGGGAACTCAGGGGTAAGTCAGAGGTTAACACCTCACTGACTTTTCAGAAACAAGGAGTAACAAGATAAATGCTTGGAAGCTTGGAAAAGACGTGGAAGTATGTGATAGTCGATTTACTGTATTGTCTGCTTGCCCTTTCTTAAGGAAAGGGCAATCCTATTTATGCTAAAGGAGTGTAGTTCTCTCATTTTCCAAGAGTTTCCATGACTTACCAGGCTTGGTAACTGTAGTCGACGTAAGAGAATCCCATAGAACCATCTCCTAGGTTCCTAGCCTATAGGAAGTGAAAGGAGGTCCAAGGTCAGAGTACCCCTATAGACAGATTATGTCATAACTTAACCAATCTTGTAGACGGTTGTAGAAGCTTTTGGAGCTATCGTTCATGTTCCTAGGCCTCTAGTGGATAGAGATATGTCATGTGTAGTATTAGCCCAGTAACTAAGGAGTGATGTCATGTAATGAATCATAGAGGGTTGTAGAGATATGCTATGTGGTCATATCGGCCCAGTAACTAAGGAGCAGGGCTACACCTTTAGATTTGATATTAAGGCTCAACCATGGTTAACAAGAGCGTAGGGTATCACGTGGCTGAAAACACGATTTGGGATGTAGGAACAGAATATTCACGTGATAATGTATCCCTCTATACTCTCGAGTAGTGCTTTGATCACCCATATTACTACCACCACGGACTTGTACACTGTACACCGTGGGCACTTTCTTCACCGTATATTCTAACCCACCCTCCTTCCCCCCTCGCCCCGCCCCTCTCTCCCACCTCCCCCCTCCTTCTTCTTCTTCCTTCTTCGTCTTCCACCTCCCACCTCCCACCTCCCACCTCCCACCTCCCAACTTTTACATCAGAACCCTCATCTCCCTCTTATATCAAAACAGTATACAATTTACACTTTCAATCTTCAAATAAATTCATAATGACCACCACCACCGCCACCGAGAAGCCTTCCTACCTCATCTGGGGTGGCGCAGGATGGGTTGCCGGTCACCTCAAGACTCTCCTCGAGAGCCAAGGCAAGACTGTTGCTACCACCACTGTCCGCATGCAAAACCGTGAGGCTGTCATTGCTGAGCTCCAGAGAGTCAAGCCAACCCACGTTCTCAACTGTGCTGGCTGCACTGGTCGCCCCAATGTCGATTGGTGTGAGGACAACAAGGAGGATACCATCCGCAGCAATGTCATCGGCACCTTGAACTTGGCCGATTGCTGTTTCCTCGAGAAGATCCACTTGACTGTTTTCGCCACCGGATGCATCTACACATACGATGAGAAGCACCCCATTGGCGGGCCAGGATACCTCGAGACTGACAAGGCCAACTTCGATGGCTCTTTCTACTCCGAGACCAAGGCCCACGTTGAGGAGGTGAATGAAAGCGTGGTTTCCCACAGCACACATGAAAGCTAACATTATTTCCCAGATCATGAAAACCTACCCAAATGTCCTCATCCTGAGACTGAGAATGCCCGTCAGCGACGACCTCCACAGCCGTAACTTCGTCACCAAGATCTCCAAGTACGAGCGCGTCGTTGATATCCCTAACTCCAACACTCTCCTCCACGACCTGCTCCCAGCCTCCATCCTCCTTGCCGAGCACCAGGAGACTGGCATCTACAACTTCACCAACCCCGGCGCCATCTCCCACAACGAGGTCCTTAGCCTTTTCAAGCAATACGTCCGCCCAGATTTCACCTGGAAGAACTTCTCCCTGGAGGAGCAAGCAAAGGTTATCAAGGCCGGACGCAGCAACTGCAAGCTTGATACCACCAAGCTGATCACCAAGCTTAAGGAGTACAACTTCGAGGTCCCAGAGGTGCACGAGGCGTACGCACAGTGCTTCCAGCGCATGGCCAAGGCTGGCGTGCAGTAGAGGGAGACAAATGAACAGCTGGGAAAAACTGACTTAATTGGTTCCGCCTCGGAGTTTATTGATCAAAAGCTCTATCGATGTCTCCTACTTTTGTAGCTAGAATAATCCGACTTTACCATCCCAAGCAAACACGGGCTGAATGTTACTTTGGACTATCTCTCCCGACCAACACCTCTCCTTAGCAGGCTGCCTCTCTTTGTTCATCTTCGTTGCTTTTAGACTGGAGGATTGTTGATTGTGATGATCATCAGGCGATATCTCGTCATCTGCACTATCATCCGTCTCGTTGCCCTGTCCCTCCTTTCCCACATCCCCGTTCCAATTTTTTTGCGTACTTGCTCATCACTCATAACTCGCGTCATGACGATGAATGTGAATCGGAGAGGCACGTGTCGTTCCACGGCTTTGGCAAAATCCAGACAGCCCCTGCAAGGAGCACGATCTACGTAGATTGTGCGCTTGATGAGAGGCTCCGTGGGCACAAGGTGCCTTGAAGACTGGTGTCGAGCGCAACAACAACGAGCTGCTTTTCAACATGTGAGAAGCAAACCTGGCCAAGAGGGTTTTCTTTGTCGTAGTTGTGATATCTTGGCTCCAGGCCGAGATGTGCAGACAATTCTCTGACCTTATCCGTATAGTTCCTATTATTAATTATACTCAAATCTTGCCAGCGTGCCTCTTTGTTTGTCGAAAATGCGTCCTGTAGCCACGATATGTCCGCATCTGCGATTTCCTCACCCCTCCAGCCACTTCGAGTAAAAACCCGCCTTAGGGAAAACACAGTCCGATCTAGAAATCCCACAGTCTTCTGCAGTGCCCCTAGAACAGGAATAACTGCCACTGGCCGGTATACGACAGCTGTTTGCGCGTGACCAAGAGTCAGATACTCAGGAGGGGGTCTTGAGAATAAGTTGGATGCAAAGCGCAGAATTTCAGGGTTTTCCTGCAGCGTTTTTGCCTCCTCTCCATCATCGAGACGGCAATAAACAAGTCCGAGCCACTCTCGGCCGTAAGGTGAAGCTCTTCTTCCCTCGAAGATATTCTCTGGCCCTCTTGCACATCTTCCAGGACTTCTTCGGGGCCGCCGTGATCCTGGTCCCCGGAGTGGATGGGCTCTTCAGCTGTACTCTCTTGTTCGCCTTCTTCGGCTTCGCTTCCTCCTTCATACTCCTCAGAGCACAAATCTTCCATATATGCAGTCTCCCATCTTCGCCTCTCGACAACCCAAATTCCCTTACGACCCTTGACGGCCGGATGTTCGTCACCCGCAAACAGAAGCCTGAATCGTTTCCCTGGATCACAATCTGGATGGAACACGCATGTCGATATCCGCTGTATTTCTCGGGCGTGACATGAGATGTATTTTTGTCTCCATGCAGAATGGGCATGCAACCCCAATGATGTCTTCGTCCCAGTATGTCGCTATTGCAATATATTGCTTTTCATTGGCGGTAGAATCTCCAGTAGCAAGAGGCTCGACTGCTGCGATTTCATGAAAAATCTCCGCCTCCGTTCTCACTGGTCCGTTATCCTCGAATATATCATCTCCATCCCCTCCTGCCCGCTCAGCCGATAGTCCTGCAGCACCCTCGTGTCTTTTGCGCTTGGGAAGTGATGTCGGCGTCGCCGGAGCCCAGGTATCTCTCCCACTTTTCCTTGAGGTATTTGCCGTTGGTGTTAGAGGCTCTGATTTCAACATTGGCGTCTTATGTGGAGAGGCATAACTTCTGCTGTCTTCATGGTGCCGATGCGCCTGCCGAAGTGAGGATTGGGTCTTTCGCGGTGGCGTCACGGGAGGCTCCATTGTGAAGCTGTTCACGGCGTTCGTGATGCTGACTGGGATTTGATGTGATGCGGAGGTTCGGTCCTTCGTGAAAACTTCGCGATGAGTGAAGGAAAATTAATAACAACCGAGAATTGGAACTGAATCCGCTTTGAGGTGATGCTTGATGAATCAAGTCGAGTGAAATTGAATCGACGAGAATTACAGACAGTGCCGTATTGAAGTGGATGCTTCAACATATAAGCTTGACAGAACGTATGAAAAACGAGAGAAGCTTATAACGAAGCCATGTGAAAAATAAGAGAGCAATGGAGACAATTCACGCGTAGGAGCTTGACGTGAAATAGAAAATGAAGGCCAGGTTAAAGCTTTGCTTGGAACCTGGGGTCTGCACAACATATGAAAGGGCAGGCTATCCTCAGAGAGAGATTTCTGGACAACAGGAGAGACACAGGGCTAGACGCAGTCGAAGCCGAGTAGATGGCGTCGCGTAGTAAAAATTGAAACGGGGACGTCAAGATGAAATAGGAGAATGAAGGAAAGCTCGATAGGAAGTAAAGGACTGGAAAAGAGATTGAGCAAATGCTTTCGTTGGGTGTTATATCGAAGACAGGAAGGACAAATCGTTGATGTATGTGCTGTAACTTCAAAGTGCGCCGGTGAGCATGCCAGTGAGCTTCGGAATACTCGCGAAACGTATTCACAATGTGATTGTAGGAAAATGTAAAGTGTATTCAAGGAAAGCCACAGTGGTTGGTGTGGGGGTTGTAAGATCGAAGCAGGCGAATGAATATGCCACTGCGCAGCACAATGCTAGCGGAATATACTGACAATGTGATTGTGTTTTGGAAAGAAATGTAAGAGTACCAACGAAATGTAAGAGTACCCAAGGAAAACCACAATCCCGTATCATGTCACAGCTCACAATAGAAAATCAGAAAATTAAAAAGAGGTCACAAGCCAGTAAGGGTATCATATTTCATGGTCGTCAGAGCTTTCCATTTCATGATATGTGAAGTACACCTGCGACCCAGATACGCGGTCCACAATGCTATAAACTCCTTTTCATCCCATGCCCGAAAGCGCACCGAGTTCCAAGTCCAATTCAGAGTGAGCCGAGAATTTACTCATCATCATCCTCCTCCTCAGCCTCAAGGGTGGTCTGGGCGATACCTATTTCACATTAACATCATACACCCCGTGACGAGTATGCAAGAAAACTTACGGTCCAAATCACGCTGGCCGGACTGGGTGATCCTGCGGCCTCCCTTGTCCTCATCCTGCTCGAGGACACCGATCTTCTCAAGGGACTGCATGACCTTGCGGTCAACGGAGCCGGAAGCATCGACGTGGTGGGATGGGCGCGAGCCACGGTTGCGGGTGGAGCCGTGGACCTTGCGAAGACGGCCGACACCGACGGTCTTGCGGAGGTAGACGTGGCGGGCGATGGACGCGGCGCGGACGTAGTACCAGTCGATCGACTGCGGTGGGAGCTCCTTGGCGGCGCCGGTCTTGACCGTGTCGACCCAACCTGCGATATTGCATTAGCCAGTGCTCAATTGAAAAGAACTTCGTTACCGCCTCCTGCTGTTACGACAGAGGGGTGGGAAGACAAAATACGTACCTGGGATAGGGAGCTTTCCCTGTCTCTTCAAGAAAGCAGAGTATGCGTTGATGAACTTTTGCGCCTGCATCACAACCTCGAATCAGCATCATTCCGTCAACAGAAGTCATTCCGACTCCCTCGCGCCTGCCCGATTCTTCATTCCCAATTGTGTATATGTATGTATGTTCCTATATCCTGGCCGTCGTCGCAATCTCATCCTCGACGCATGGTAGTTGATCCCTGATCTTCTGCGCATCTCCGAGATCGAAAGTCGTGCCGTTGGATTTCGTGAGAAGTCTCGAGAGGTCGAGGCCAGGAGAGCGCCCATTCAGGGCGTGGAGTGTCGGAGAGTACCTACATCAACATCGCGGACAGAGACACCTCCAGTCATGATTGCGGTTTATATTTGAGGAGGAGAGGTTGTCGTCGAAGTGGTCGCGAGGAATGCTGAGGAAACGACGAACCTGTAATAATTTTGGGACGTTGTGTGGGCGAAATTCGCTTGTAGGTCTTGGCACGCTAAGAGGGGTTACAGTTGATAAATCACGTGGCGGGCCATTAAATTAAATTTCATATAAGGTATCACGTGAGTTTGCATGATGTTATTGATGTTGACTGCTTTTTCCTCTTCGAATTGAAGGCCTACAAATGACAAACGCCAATTAATCCAAATAAAATGTCACATATACGCAGTAAAAGTTAAGTTGTTTGGTCATAAAATCCATTATCGTGTACGCTTTGGCTTAGTTATCCTGCTGGAAGCCAGCGTCTGTGTTCCATAACTCTATGTCAGGACGCCTAATATACAGGAATTGCTTCGGGGTATCCTCATAACCATCTATTAACACAATCCCTAGCTGCATGTCCCCCCTCATCTTACACCATTAACGCCGGCAAGACTATGTTGTCCAAGTCCTTCCTTAATCAAAACGTAGGCGCCTCCTTGAGTCCCTTACAATACCTCACAAAAAGCTGATCCATAAAATGCGCATGTCTGATCCCCTTTGGTCTCCTCTTCGCAAACTCATCAAGCGCTTCCTGTACTTCGTACCCCTCCCTCTCAATCAGGTAGCACACGATGAAGAAGCCAGTTCTATTGAATCCATAATGGCAATGGACCGCAATGTAAAGTTCATCTCCCCAGCCTTTTGTCAGCTTTCGCTCTTTCTGCTCCTCTCGCAATCGATCAACGAAGTTGATGAACTCAGTCACTTCTTGGCTCGTCGGAGGGATCTTGGAAACTGTAGGCAGCTTGTGATATCGTATACCCCCCTTCTCCAAGCCACGCGGGTCATAAACCGGTGCTTCGTGGCTGATATCGACAACATCCTTGACCCATCTACTCCAGTCCCTCGCAAACACCTCAGGGCAGTGGTTCTCGTCCACCTCCCTTAGCGTCTTCATTGCACGGAAAATTCCTGCAATAGGCGCAGATACCGGTGCAACGGCTTGCCACTTAGCTAGGTTCTTGACGTCCCACTTGCCAGAAGTGGAAAGGAACTGTAGCTGCCAGCCAAGAGAGAGACGCTGTGTCACATGAGATCCAAGGAAATCGCAGACGAGGCCTGCGAGGATGCGGACGCTAGCGGGCATGTAGAGAAGTGCATGGTTAGCTGGCGCTGGCAGTATCGTAGTCTTCAGTACTCTTTTCGGTTTAAGTGGCTGCGGTGGGAGGGAACCCAGTTCCTTCTGTGGGGCGTATGAATCGTCATAGATGGCTTGAACGTCGTCTGGACTCTCTGGCGTCAGTGGGGTCATAGATCCGGTATCCTCGAACGACTCGTCTGCAAGAGTACCTAATTCTTCATCAAATGTTGCGTCCATACTAGCCCTATCGTCGCGGCTCATAGAAGAGTCAAAAGGTGCAGCAGAATCGTTAATCGCCTCGCTTCTGTCATCTGTGTCGTTTTGGACAGGGTGGGATTTTCCCATAAAACCCTCGATAATTGCGATCTCCTTCGCCTTGGTGACGTGATCGGCTTCGCCAGCAACGAGGAAAACCGGGCAGTCAAGGCCAGCCCAGATTTCTCTGCCTGGCAGCCCGCCCTCCGCTACGCCATCGCGGTAGTTGGGAAGGCTACCAGACGCCATTCGTCTCCAGACAGGTGTCCGGCTTTGGGCATTAAACCGCAGCTGCAACACCCTGGTCTCTGTGCCGGCGGCCTCTCCCACAAATCGTGTAACACTCGCACTATTGACCCCTCCGCGTCTGTCCCAACGCCGAAAGAGGTCGAAGATAGTCCCAGGCACCCATAAAAGCTTCTTAAATAGCTTTGTTTCTTTCTCATTCGGTGGTTCTGCCTTTGGGCATATTGCTATGAATCCCACGACATGCTCAGACAGGCCATTGTAAGACGGCGAATTCTTCGATGCAAGCAGTGCAGCTAATGAGCATCCCATGCTGTGTCCGATCAGGACGACGCCCTGTTTCGTATCCTTCTCGCGGTATTCCTCGATTATTACTTCCAGAAGCTCAGCGAGGGCGTCCGTCTTATAGGCATCCCACGACCTTGGTTCGAACGACGACCGTCCACAGCCGGGCAAGTCGATGGCGATGCATGATGATACATTAACCATGCTTGTTAACAGTGGGTGGAATTGCGCAGCTGAGCCTCCTAACCCATGGATAAACACAAGCAGAGGCAGGGGCGCGGGGATCTTTGGTAATTTCTCGGCTTGCGTATGTTTGCGGTGGAAGACTCGGACGTTGGGATATGTAAATCGGCTTGTTGTGAAAGACTTGAGTTTAGAATGTTTCCTGAGCAAGCCTGGATCTAATTCCTCTGCGTCTAGTAACTGTTAGCATGGTTCGGGGTCATACAACTGTCAATGTATCTCACCTAAAATAAGCTCCTGGGGTTGAGGAGGAGGAGCCACAGATGAGCGCCTCTGTGGCACCTCGATGCTCTTGTTGTTTCTCAGGCGCCATATATACCACAATGCTCCTGCGGCACCGCACAGCCCAGTAATTTGCAGTATCCCCATGATGCTTGGTCGGCTTTGGCAGCCGCCTGCGGAAACTTCAGCTGTTGAAAAGTGACTGCAGCCTCGTTCTTGGCTTGCTTGCGCGCTCCGTTGCCGTAGTAGAGCTGCTCAGCGCGAGTTGTCGAGTGGAAAAGTTGGTACGATATCAACAACGGAAAGAGCAACCGTTAAGAGAATACCGAGAACCTTGCTGCCAGGTCGTTACCTTTTATCCGATACGGGTATACAAGGCACGGGGCAAGATATCGCTCATGTCGCGCGGGCACACAAAATACGACCAGGCCGAGGTGACGCACACAGCTGAAGTACCTTGTTTAAAAATCGGCCCAGCCAGCGCTCAAAATTTGACAGGAATTATTCAATTAATCAGACTCGGGCCATGGCAAGAGTTACATATAACTCTCTGGAAATGGTGGTATTTAAAAGCCAAAATGAGTGTTTGAGTGTTGTCTTATGGAAATGTATCATCCCTTGGCCACCAGTGGTTGTTGGTGCTTGTACGCCCTGCGCCTCGTGCATATTGTTTTGCTTGTGCCCAACGGCAGGACATCGTGGATTCGGGGCATCACATCATTGGTTGGGTACGGAACTTGACCGCCCGCGTCTTTTATTCTGCCGGTGGTTTCTGACGTTGGAATACAAAGCATTTATTTTGCCCTGGTGGTGAGCTTCCCTCATGGACGTGCAAGATATAGCATAAGTTACAGACCTCTAATACCTCACCAGGGCTGATAAGGCTAGGAATAATATCACCGATCCACTTATAGGGAGCACCCGGTCGGCAATCAAACCAACCAAAAACTACAATGATCTTGTGCCTGTGTGGATCGCCGCGCTTAAGCTCCAACGGCACCGTGTTCCATTAGCCGCGATCGCCACATCGCCCCAGCGGCGGTGGCTGATGCAACCGATAAGGCCACCTTAGCTCAGGGTCACCACAAGAGCACCCACTTTCTATACAAACTGATACATAACCTATGACACCTAGCTATTTCCCAACTTAACCAAGCTGAGCATCTTGATCGCAATGGCCACGAAAGGCATCAACTCCAAGTCACCTACCATCCGCCGTATCCGTAAGCGCCCTCCTTCTGTGCCCCCACTCGCCCCCAAGGCGGCTAAGTTCCCTCCTAACCGTGCTTAATCTACAGTCCGCGAAGCCGCTGAACTCTCCTCGACGCCCTCTCCCGACTTCCACGCCCTCCCTACAGAAACAGACCTCTTCACGTGGCACTTCACACTCCGCGGTCCGCCCACCTCCGTATACTCCTCGGGAATTTACCATGGCCGCATCGTCCTCCCACCCACCTACCCTCTCCGCCCACCGTCCTTCCGCTTCCTCACCCCAAGCGGCCGCTTCGAGGTGAACCGCGAGATCTGTCTCAGCATCAGCGGCCACCATGAGGAGACATGGATGCCCGCGTGGGGTGTGAGAACGGCCCTTGTCGCGCTGCGGTCATTCTTAGAGACGCCAGCCGCGGGGCAGGTTGGGGGTTTGGACACGACGGATGCGACGCGCCGGCAGCTCGCTGACCAGTCGAGAGGGTGGGCGTGCCAGGGATGCGGGAAGACGAACGTGGAGATATTACAGGAGAATGAGGAAGCAGCAAAGGCGTTAGAAGCAGAGGGGAAGGCGAGGCAGGAGGACACGGTACCAGATGAGCTGAAGCTGGGATATAGGGAGGATATCGAGAAGGGGTCGGGGAAACCACAAGATGATAGCGCGGAGGCTAGCAGCGCGTCGAAGAGTCAAACCGCAGCCGATGAAAGGATGGGAGACACAGAGGCGGAACTAGCGGAGGGATTTGTACAAACTGCTCCTCTCATACCAGTCGATGCTCCAACTTTCACTCCACCACCTCAGTGGCAACCACAATACGCCGCCGGACAACCAGGACAAGCCGTACCCACGCCTACAAGCGCAGCACCTGCTTACGCCCATGGACCCGCTCCAGTCCATCACCACCAACCCGATTTCCACGCTATAGCACATGGCCATGCGTGGCCTCAGCAACAAATGCAACGAATGCAACAGGTCCGACGAAATCAGCCTGACTGGTCGAACGAGGGCGTGCCACTATGGGTCGACCGCGCGATCCTGGGCGTCGTAACTGCGCTAGTCGTCATGCTGCTAAAAATTGTCCTTGAGTTGTAGCGATAAGTGTTGAGGCGGGCGATTTCATTTCAGGACCGTGTTTAGGCGTTAAGGGCGATCATATCGGTGTAGGCGCAGACGAGCGGGCATTCACGGGTGTTGATTGAACGAGTCATACGCTGTAGATAGAAATAACAGCGTACTTTGTGTATATTGGGATATCAGATACCATTTAGAATTATTTGCGAATGCGATCATTACCATCAGCTATCTATATACGCGCTTAAAATGCATTAATCGGTGAGGTGATACACCATCCTACTACCACACCTTCTTCACCCCCTCTATATCATTGACATTCAACACCGCCACCCCCTCCTCCCATAGGAACTTCCAGATCTCATTCCTCACATGCATCGGCCACGTCGGCTGATCCCAGTACCTCGCCTTCAGCCCCCTACGCTTCGCGCCGCGTATCTGCCCACGAATCGTCTCTTTCTGCTCGTCGGAGAGGTTGAAGAACCACATTTTACCGAGAACCTCTTCGAACGAGGTTGAGGCGTAAAAAGAGTTTAGAGATGTGTAGGAATCGGTGGCGCTTGTGCCGGTTGTACCTTGGCCGCCGGGGGTGGTGACGGCGGTGGTTTTTGAAGCGACACCATTGGCATCCTCGTACATGTTTTGGAGGGGAGCGTCGAAGAACGCGTCACGGTAGGTGGAGTTGGATGTAAGGACGTCAAAGGGGGTGTTCCCCGTCCCAACTACTGTGATAGGTCGCTGGTGGACAGTGGAGTTTTCCATAAATGTTAACCAGCCGCGTTCACGCAGCGGTTGTAGCTCGAGCAGTACTTCTGCCCAGGTTTGTGTGCCGTCGGTTTTGACGTCGACGAGGAGGGTCAGGGACTGGCTGGAGTCGGTGTCGAAGACGCCGTTCATTGAGCCGCTGTTGAATTCGCTCTTCGGGTTATTATCCTCTAGGATCTTTACCAATGGATCAACGTAGAGAGATGTAAATGTGCGGTTGTCGGTCAAGGAGGCGGTGTTGTGTCCTATGAAGAGGGTTTCCACTGAGGGGAACAGCCACACGTCTGCTTCGACGCTGATGCAGCCTGCGTGCAGCGCGGAGAAAAGGGGGACGGTGCGCCAATAGTCATTGTGAGAGTGACAAGGGATTGGCTGCACGTCGCGGAGGAAGTCGGTCGGGTACCAGGAGAGGCCTTCGCTCGTGGTGCCGGGAGCACCCCAGCGTGAGAGTGGGTTGGACATCGGGCCTGTGAAAGACGCGGCAACGAGGAAGCAGAGATTAGAGATGATGAGGAAAATGCTTTGTACTCGTTAGAATTTAGTCAGACATGTCTTAGGGGCAACCATACAAAATTCCCCATACTAGCTTCCTCCCGCTCGCTTTCTTCGTCGGCTTCGATTTCAGGCCCTTGGCTGCCAGGGGGCTGGCGGCATCATCATCATCATCACCCACTTTCGCATACCCAGCTGAGGAGCCCCGCCGTTTATTTAACGGCCATAGAGGCCATCGGCTGCTCCGTTTCTTCTCGTCTTCGACAGCCTCCTTTGTCACTGGCCCAGCTTCGAGGCGCTCGAATTCGGCCTCGCGAATATCTCTCAACGGGATATCTAAGTTCTCATCGTCGGTGAATTCGCCAGTCGAGATCCGGTGACCGGCAGATGAAGGTCCGGCTTCTGACATAATAAAAAGCGCTCGATTGCGCCGAGAAGCGTCGTCTTGTGACGATGTCCCGTCTTAAGTTGTAGTCGCTGTATCTCCAGACTCGGGTCGTGGCACAATCAAATGCCAGCAATTGAAATACCACAGACCATATCTCTAATTTTAAGAAGGTGCAAGTTGGACAATCGCACTTGATGTGCAAACGTCAACTTCAGTCGCGCCTTCGAAGTTCTAGAGATAGTAAGTCCCACAAGGCTGAGACCCACACGGGAAAGTCGGCCAGCCACGCCAAAAACGGCGCCGAGAGATCTAATCGACCACCCTGATAAAATTCAATCTCAGCCTTCGCCATTCACCGTTGCAACTACCATCTTGCAAATTCCAAAAATGCCGAAGAAACACAAGCGCAGTAAAGCTGAGGATGACGGTCTAACGTGAGCTGCTCTGTTTTTCTCTGCCTATCACAATACTAATGAGTGCAGCGCCGATCTCCCTCCATCCGAAGTCGCAAAACCTCTCGCCGTTGCTAGAGGCGCAAAATCAAATGGCATATTCAGCTCGGATAGCGCACCAGCGCGGAAGCCAAACAAGAGGAAGCGCAGAGATGATGCGGATGATACTCCGAGAGCGTTCGCGCGCCTGATGATGTTTCAGCAGGGCAAGAGGCTCCCTTCAGGTCTCGATGATGGCATAAAGCCGACGAAAAAGCAAAAGCAGGCTGCGGCGGCAGCAGAGAAGGGGAATAAGCCACAAGCACCCAAGGTTGATCCTGAACAGGTTGAGATACCAAGGATTAAGCCAGGAGAGAAGATGTCAGAGTTCTCCGCTAGGGTGGACGCTGCACTTCCGATTTCTGGATTGATAAATAAGACTGGGAAGGACGGCAAAGATCCATTAGGGTTGAAGGTGGGGCGAACCAAGACGGAAAAGAGAATGCATAGAATGTATGCGGAATGGCGCGAACAGGAGCAAAAGATACAGGATAAACGACAGGAGGCCATGGAGTTGGCTGAGGAAGAGGAGCTGGACGACGAGGGAAGAGTGAAGTGGAAACTTGACTCCGAAGATACTGTCCAAACCGGGAAGAAAAAGAATGGGAAGGGTAAAAAGAAGAAGGCGATTGGAGAGATTGATGACGGAAACGATGACCCATGGGCAATATTGAAGAAAACGAGGAATGAAGGCCCGAACAGAATCAGCGATGTTTACCAAGCGCCGCCAACCTTTACAAAGATACCCAAGGAGAAATTCAAGGTTAGAGGGGCAAGAGTGGAGGTCGAGGATGTGCCGAAAGCGTCAGGAAGTTTGAGGAGGAGGGAGGAGTTGGGTGAGGTGAGACAGAGTGTTGTTGAAGGGTACAGGCAAATGATGAAGGAAAACCGCGAGGCGGCGGCTCTGAGGGGTAGTATGAAGGACTGAAAGGCAGATTCAAAACATAGAAATTATTGGGTCAGGGCAAATATCTACTTCCAGTTATTCGATCGCAAACTTAGGTGTTCCTGTAATATTTTGTTGTAGAGTCTGTCCAGCACTGAGAATTAAAATCGATTACCCAGATGTCCTATTCATACTTGTAGGCCATTTTCCTAGATTGTAAGGATCCATTATTGATATCATCTTCATATCATCTTCATATCTCTCATAATGATGGTAAATCAACATGTCACGTGATATTTATAAATGTAATGCAAATAGCTAGGCCTCGCCTAAAATCCGCCACAAGAAAAAAAGTGGCATAACGGCTTCAAATTCACATCAAACCACTAAAAGCGCTCGAGTTCGACCTCCGGAACCATTTTCACAGAAACCTTTTCCACGACGCTAAGAATGATCGCAAACCGCTTTGCAAGATGGAGAATTCAGAAGCCGATGATTTTGAGGGTCTGATCGACTTCCTGGTCCAGGAGCTTGCCATCAATGATTGGAATAAAGGTAATGCACCCACAGCCTTGCGAATCCGTTCGTCAGCCTTGCTGGAGGGGAAGGTCCAGCTATTATCACAAGCCCTCATGAGGGATGAGATAAAACTGTATTTATATGGTATTCCATTGGTGGAGTATACACTCGTGGATTTCTGGGCAGTGGACAAATCATGTGGCTATTTGGTCTGATGGGAGTTGTCGCTCCTGACACATTATCATAACCCCGTAGTGCGGGGTTCAATCCCCTCGCAGGACCGTTTTTGCTTTTTGCTGTTATATTTTTGTCGATCTTGGAAATTGATATGCAGAACTGTTCTAATCTAATTCATAGGCCTCTCTGTGTCAGAGCTGCTCGGTCGCATTGAGACCTTCTATGACAACCTGGAGAGAACCAAACTCGACGCCAAGCATGAAGATGTCGCTGATGAAAACGGAGACCAATTCCTGACTCCCGTACCGGAATCTGAAGTATCACAAAGGCCTGTCATTGACCGCAACTTCCAAGCCAGACTCTGGGATACTTTGGTTGCACGTGATGATATCATTGTCGGCGAAGGAAGAGTGCTCTCTTTGGACGAGGCAGAGGCCCTCCCTATAAAAACGGAAGCCGACAATGCAATCGACCCCGCTCTTCTTCTCGAGCCCCCATCAGAAACAGAAACAGGTGCCCCAGCCATCGAGCATCAGCCTCGAGTCCACGTCAATCAAAGACGCCTATGGCTTGTTCTCACCGGCCATGATGTGGATAAGACCAAGCTCCCTTTTTCCGAGTGGCAGCTACTGCTCGCCATTGCAGCCGCAGGAAAGAAGGGCATACTTCAAGCAGAGGCCCGCAATATCACGGGGCAGGACAAGAGATCCGTTCCACGGCGCACTGATTTCCTCGCGCAAAAGGGGTATATCGAGAAAAAGCAGGTACTAGCTTTCAACCAAAAGACCAGCCTTCTCACCCATAAAATTTTCTTGGAGGCAAAAGCTGCACAACGAGATATGATCAACCCATCTGAGCTGTCGGCAAGCACGCTGACCCAGGATCTCAAACCCGTCCCTGGTCATGAGAACTGGTCCGGCTTATTCGTCGATATTGAGATGGTCGCCCGCACCGCAGTGGCAATTATGCGTTCATGGGGAGTGATCCGACGTACTCACATATTGGCAAAGATGAATATCAACGATCTTCGACTACGGAAGACTCTTGAGCGGATTATGCGTAAGCTTTTCGAGCTTAAAGTCTGCAAGCGAGTCAGCGCTCTCCTGCCAAACAATCCAAAGATTTTCAAAGACTGCATAAAATTTCTCCGAGACCCTACGGAGGACGAGTGGTCTCATTTCAAGAAGAGACTCACTAGCCAAGGTTTCAAGAATAGGCCATCGAGAGCGAAGCCAAAGAGCGAGCATAAGCCAAGAGCAAGGAAACGCACAAATGGTAAGCCTAGCAAATATTTAAGTGAAGATGCATTCGATGATGTCGAAGCCGAGGAGAGCGAAGAGTCTGATGGTGACTTCTTTGATGGAGAAGACGAGGAAGCGTATGATGCTTCTGAAAAGCCAGCACCCATGACCACTACCAAAGAGTCAGTGGAGGATATTATTGAGCAAGTCATTGAAACTAACCCTGGAGACGAGGGAATATCGGAAGATGGTTTGCTTGCAGAGGCCGAGACTGTATCAACTGAGGATCTTGTTGCGCTGTTTATACCGTTTGATATCAGCTCTGCATCGACTGCAGACAAACAGACGATACGCATTGTGCGAGAGCCTATTGAGAAGTCGGGTAGGGAGATTTACCAGTACTATATGATGTCGAGCTTTGAGAGACGTGTTAGTAACGGGGAATCTTCCTGGGATGGCGCGACTGTTTTGCACCGACCTACAGAAACGAGTGGGCAAATATCCGATCTTTCTAATTATCCAACTATTGCGCCACGGACAAAGCAACGTACAGCAACCACAGACATTACTTCTCGAAAGGGCGAGGGAAGTTCAAAACAAACCAAGGCAGCACGACCCAGCACTCTCATTAAGGGGCCTTCTACAACGGCGCCGTCTAGGACTACTATGCCACCACAACCCGAAACTCCAAAAAGGCCTCGAGGCAGACCCAGGAAAACGGAAACCAAGACTGTCACGTACACGTCCAATGATCAGCTTGAGCGAGAGGCCGGTATGCCTGGTGCTTATTTTGACCTTCCCGACTTTCCAGTTCAGGAAAAGATTCGAGGGCCGTCAGGATTGCTCCAAAGAGGACGAAAACCAAAGCGGATGATGATGATGATTAAGTCTGAGAGACTAAAGGAGTTGAATTTGGCTCCAAGGACCCCAAAGGCACAAGATCAAGCCCCTGTCGAGGCCGAGGAAGCCATATCACAGGTCGAAGAGGCGGCAGACGATGACAACCTAGAAGATCAGGTCGCTTCCGTAACAACACCAATTGTCAATGCCCAGGACAGTGAAGAGATTCCAAAGGAAGAGTTTATCGACAGTTCTAGAAAAGAAACTATCTCAGCAGTGTCTACGTATACATCGCCATACCCAAATGTTCCCACTACGCCGTCTGTCCCAAGGCTTGCATCTATTAGCAGCCAGACCAAGGCGACAGTAGTCAATGCCCCCCAAATGCCAGGCTCACAACCATCCGCCTACGTATCACCATATGCCAGTGGTAAACCTCAAGGATACAACTCGCCATATGCAAAGTCACCAGAAATTTCCAAGACACCCGCGCCCCAGCCGCAAAGTAAGGGTATACCAGCACCCAAAACTGCGCGTGGCCTCGAACCTAGCGCTTCTCAGTACAAGTCGCCATACGCCACCATTGATGAGCCAGCTGGCGCTTCCAAAGCAGTTTCGCCTGAAGCACGGGTCTCGCCAGTGGTACAGGCTTCGTCCCTTTCCCAACCAGCTCAATCAAAGCCATACAAGTCGCCATATACTGCTGCGAGTCGTTCTCCTAGCTCACCTCTAAGTGAAGTTTCTCTAGCTGTTTCTAATCACCAAGATCTGGCGAGCAGCCAAGTTGTGGCTAAAGTCGAAGCTACAGCTCTTGAATCTTTAGCTGATGCTCAGGAGACTATTCTGTTACGTGAGGGGGAAAGAATTAGCCAGCCTGTGGCTGAGGTCAAAACCGCAGCTCCTGAAGCTGTTGGCGATGCTAATGAGACTGCATTGCCTGATGAAGGGGAAGCAATGGATGTGGACACCGCCAATATTGCAATCGACAGAGATGATGCGGACGAACTGATACATATTTCTGCTTCCAAAGATGGTGTTGCTGGAAATCTGTGTCTAAATGACATCGAAACACAACTTGAATTTCTTCCACTCGATACCGAAGACTTAGCATCTAAATGGATGATCGAAACATCCCAAATCTCGGTCTTTCCTGTCGTAGACACAGAAACTTACGAGATAGTTGTTCTGTTTAGAGAAACCCAAGAGGAATCTGACGAGACCGAGGAAAAAGAAGTCAAGTTCCTCGTCGATCATACATTGACTGAAGGTGCTACAGCTTTCGTAGCCAAAATTGGCACAGCGATGCGAAGGAAAAAACCAAAGAACAAGAGAATACCATTACCGCCCTGGGCATTCCCAATTCCGGATGGCGGCCCGAAACCATTCAAGTGCGACCAATGTGAAGGTGCCTGGAAGAATTACGAAGGCGTTAAGTACCACAAGACTAAGGCCAAGGTGACTTGCAATCCAAATTGGACTCGGCCTCCGACACCTCCGACACCCGAAGAGAGAAAAAAGAGAAGCAGGGAATCGTTTGCCCTTAGTGAGCTTACACCAGAAGAAGCTGCTCTTGTTAATGCTCAAAGGGACCAAGATGGCGGTTGGTCACTTCATGACGATGGTGGTCGCCCAAAGCGCCGACAATATCGTCGTAGACAGACCGTCGAATCTGAAGCGCTGGGAGAACCCACCAACCCCGAAGAACCTGGGGCTCAGAGCTTGCCTTCGCATCGAATTGGAACTCCAATCCCAGCTGATACGGCAGCCGTGACATCTATTGATGAAAGCCCTTCAAAATTTGCTACTCCTGAGAAACGCGCCATGCTCGCCGCCAGGATGAAACTGAAATACCCAACGGCAAACGACAGGGACAATATCGAGAGGAGAACAGGCCCGGTAATCACACAGAAGCGTAAAGAAGTTATACTGGACTTGTTAGAAGCGAACGGTGGTGCGTTCCCAGGCGATCAAGGGCTGTGGTTTGCAATGCATGCAGCGTGGGTGCAAAAGTATCCAGACTCTCTGATTCAAGATTACAAGTACTGCAATCAGGCTGTCGGGCTTCTCGAAGATGGCGGATTTGTTACAAAGGTCAAGTTCTCTTTCAGGGATCAAACCGGCCGTATGCGTACGCGCGCTGTTGTCACAAAGAAGGGGGTCGATCCACTATGTCCTTTGGTAAATGATATCAAAGCAAATATTAAGGCGGTATTTCCGAGGTATTACTGTCCGCCTGACTTTGAGCCACCTGAGGCGGTGCTGTCAATGCTCGAGGCTAGAGAGTCGAGGCCTTCCGAAGAAGAACGGCAGAGGCGCATGCTTGCGAAAGAAAGAGAAGAGGATCCAAGGATTCGCGCTGCAAAAGAAGCCAAGGCCTTGAAAGAAGCCCGTATCCTATCAAGCATTGTGGAAGCACAAAAGCAAACGACAAATAACGGAGAACCAGATTCAGATGACGAGAATGAGATTGTTCTCCTCAATGCGCCATTCTATATCCCTGATCCAGATGCAGAGGGCGAGACTGATGTGGAGTACTATACGGGGCGACGACGAAGGAGACGGAAGAGTGGCTTGTATCACCGACGTAGTGATAGCTTTAGGGAAGGACAATCATCACGAATGAAAGCACTGTGGGCGTCACTGAAGGCTCAGGGCGTCACATTAAAAGATCGACGTTTAAATGGCGATGTGGCAGGCGAGTCTTTAGATGAGTCGGGTTCTGACTTCATGCTTTCAGATGTTGAACCTGAAAAGCAACCTCTCACTGCTGAAGAGCAAAAGCAGGCAGACTACATTCAGCTCCATAGTTGCCAAACAGCACCATCGTTCCTCCAAAACACGGACGGGTCGTGGGGCAAAGGACCACCAAAGCAGATGCAGGCAAAGATCCACATTCGCAAATCCGACTTACCAGAGCCAGTGACTTATATGCAAACCGCCGACAACCCAGCTTGGACTTTCCGCCCATTTGGTCACGGTGTCAACGCCATCCATGTCATGTCAGCAAAGCGTGCAGCAGTCCAGCAACAGCTGAAGGCGCCCGGTAACATATTCCGCCCAGTTATTGTGCACAAATCAAAGCGTAAGACGAGAATTGGAAGTTCCAGAGACCAGCTTGCAGCACAAAACTTTGGCCACGACACAATAGGTTCTTGGAATCATGGGCGAGGGTCAAATTTTTCTGGGGGGCTTACTCCAAAGAAACCAAAATCTGTTCGGTGGGATGATGAGTCGGACGACCTGCGTCCGTATGGACTTACGGTCACAGGCGAAGAGATGCCCTGGCCCGACTTCAAGCCACTACCACTCCCTGACAGCAGGTTGAGGACCAAGCCTGTCATGCCAGAGTGGACCAACAACCCTGGGCTCGATTCTCTTATACAACAAGCACCAGGCTTTAGTCTTCCCAGTAAATCACCAGTTGAAAGAATCGGTACCCCCGACGACACTTCTATTGCAGCAGCTGATGTGGGCTCCTGGGCAGCATCCAAAGGTCTGTTCTCACGATCTGCTGCCTCGTTCAAAGATATGCTGCCCAAGAACCTTGAAAGCATCATGTCTCGGATGAAAGCGAAAGGGTTTGAGCTTGACACGACGGAAGGATCCGCATACACAGATTTCATGGCCAAAATCATTACAACGGAAGAATGGGAACAAACCATCGGGGGCAGAACTTTATTGGGGATGGGAAATATTGCGCCGGACCATATTTATATCAACCACACTGCTGAGGAGCTAAAGGGGCCTCAACCCACGGAACCAGCTACCAAATCCTGGCTAGCTGATAACTCCTTTACTTTGGAAACTCTGCCCTACGAACTTCTTGTTGTCGATCCTGTACAACAACTCCTTTCGACGACTGTAAAGAGCAAACCGAGATGGGGCTATCAAAAACGCCAGAGAACAGAACAAGCCTCATCATTCTTTGGGATGGTGGAGGCCACGAAATCTGATTTCGATTATCTCTCACGCAAGCGTAAGTTGCCCGGCAGCCAGCTGATCGGCCAACCCCGCCTCAAACGGCCTTATCGCCGTGCAGCTCAGTCAAAAGACTTCCGAGTGCGTCGCCACACGTCTTTGCCTGTTGATATCCAAGGCCTCGATATACCTCTCAACGATCCCGATTTTGAAGTATCTATTTCCTATCACGGAATCTCCGGTCACCGTAAACGTACGAATGAACGGACCGTTATCTCCGAGGCTCTTGATGACCGCCTCATCGTCGCCGTTGTCGTCATACGGACCCTGACTGGCGGCCTTGACCAAAGCGTAGATTGGGTCCTCGTGTCGAGGCTCTTTCCACAGTGTACCATGAACTGGGTTCGTCGGCACTTCAATGTTCTCGCAGATAAACATGCAAAGCGGTTAATCAAAATGACGGAAGATTTCCAGACTGCGTATTTAGCTGCTTATGAGTCTGGGGAACTTCCTAGAATGGATTACGACCATCTCCTTGATTACGATTGGGATGCACTTATTGACTGGGCTATGAAACGCACACAGCTCGTCAGGACGGCTACCGTGGATTTGCCAAGTACTCGAGAGAAATTCGACGAGATGTATGAGTTACAGGACGTCGAGGAGAAAAACTGGAGGGATTCTTATTTCTCCAGTACACTGCCAGTGCATAAGCGTATTGCTCACGCATCCGCTAGCAACCTAACATTGCTAGCCTCACAACCTCTCGAGGCGCCCCAAGGTCCTCAAGACGACATGCTCCGCATCGCTCGATCGTGGGCGAGAGCAAGCACGCTTACACCTGTCGATAGCTTTAATGCCGCCACTGCATCCGCTAAATTACGGGGTCTCGGCCCAGAAATCATGCGCGACGCGGTTTCGCAGCTGGTCGAAGCAAAGGTCATCATGCCAGTGAACAAAGGCCGTCCGGCGCCAGGCCGCGGCTTTGAAGCCACTGATGTCCTTACGGCGGCACTATCGCGTATTCTGACTCAAGCCCATTATAATGAGGCGGTGGCATACAAGGCGTGCCTTGATGAGGCTTTCAAGAAGGACGAGATAGTGATGCTGGAATATACGGCGAGCGAGGGAGAAATTCTTGCTACGACAAACTTACAGTGCGCGCAACGGATCGTGCAAACTGGACACAGAATTCCAATGAATAAGTTTGGGTTGACGGAGGGAAATTATCAGACCAAGAAGATGGATAAAACTAAGTTGCTGTTCGATATCCAGATTTCGCCTTCGGACACCTACGTCTATGATGACGCACATCCTCTAATCCGCTCAAGTATGTTGTCCATCGAACACAACCCACCGCCGAAACCGCACGATGGGGCGCTGCCTCTCTGGTATGATATCAACGACCAGCTTATCCCAGGTTTGTGGCGCAAGGTCATGGGAGCAGTGCTGGCGACGATTATGCAGAGGCCGGGTATTGAGGCTAAAGAAGTTACGCGGTTGCTCAGTCCAGCGCTGGAAGAATGGGAGGCGAGGTTGGCACTGGAATGGGCATTTGGAGTGGATGCATTGAAAGAGGTTGCTCCTGGGACGGGCATCGAAGGATGGACCGTTGGGGAGTGGTGGTGGTGGGTTGCAGGGAAGGTCTGATGGTGCTTTGGAATGGGATGTACTATCTGGAGTTTGGAGAACACTTGCGCATTAGTTTATGATGTTGGTTTTCTTTGCGAGTTAACGGAGCCGGCGCATGATTGTAATTTTATGTGGCGGTGGGCAAGATACCAGGCGTTTGTACTTAGGAGTCCATATCACGCTCAACGGTGTATCAAATCAATAAAAATTCATAAATTATTATATTTTGAGCGCTAGCACTTCTTTCATGTGAACAATTGTATTTGGTCTCTATCACAAATCTAAACACTAATCGTCTTGAAGACATTAAAGCTCTCTCCCGTTCCCACCAGCGCGCCCGGGATCTGCGGGTGCCAATGCGCCTCCTTGACTCTCTCCAAATAATGCACAAACAACAGCTGCGGCGGCACACCCTCCTCTCCACCCCTCGCTTCCTCCTCGTCGAGTTCCACGGCCAGATCCCACAGCGTCAGCGTATCATCTCCAGCCGCAACCGTCACGATCGAGTCTTCGGTCGGATGCCACTCCACACTCGTAATCTGCTCCTTGTGGAACCCAAAGCTCGCGACAGGGGTAGGCTTGGAGCTTGCCCCTGGCGTAGGCGCTGCCTTCCAGTTGCGCAGATCCCAAACAGCCCAGACGCCGTCGTCGGCGCCAGATGCGAGGAGATGCGTGGTAAGCGGCGACCAGGACATGACGTTCACATCCGTTTCCGAGACTTGGACGCTCATGGCTGCGGAGCGGGACTTGGAGCGTACGTCCCAGACTTTGATGGTGCCGTCGCTGGAGGCGGAGGCAAAGACGTTGCGCTCCGAAGGCGACCACTGGAGTTCCTCAACGGAGCCTGTGTGGCCGGTCAGGGCGCGGGAATCGGTGGCCCAGCCCTCACCTTGGGTCCTTGTGGTGACGTAAATAGAGCCAGTGTTGTCGCCGGTAACGAGCTTGCCGGTTGAGACGAGAGGAGACCAGTCAACGGCGTACCCTTCGGCCTTGTGCATGCGCAGTGTCGATAGGGGCTTGTTGTGCTGGGGGGTAATAGTGAAGCCTGGGGTGTCAAAGGAGGTTAGATGTGGCGTGACATCGTGGATGAGGACTTGGCCTGCCTCTGTCATTGTGGCTGTGAGAGTCGTAGGGGGGCGGGAGGAGTCCGACGCAGGGGTTTGGTGGGCGCGGATGCGGTTTGTGGTGGTGTTGAGCGGGATAGAGGCTGATTCGAGGATGGGATCCGAATCTTCATCCCCGTCGGAGTCAGACTCAGAGTCTTGGTCACGCTCGTTGCGGGAGAGGCCGCTGAACTTCATAACCATGATCTGGTTCTCTTTCTCGCGCTTGGCATCGGCCTGCGTGCCTGCAACAGCGTACATGGTTGCGGGAAAGGAGGTACGGTTATCGCCGAGGTTGTCTTTGATAATATCGAAGGACAGGCAGGGCCAGGGAGTGCTGAGAGCGTGCAGCATTTCGTATGTGGAGAGATCAGGGGAGAGCGTCTGGCCAGGCTCGAGTTTGTTTCGCCCGACTATGAACGTCTGTTGGTCTACCTCCATCGCCTCTGAGAATAATTAGCATTGCGCCAGGAAGCATAGACGCGCAAAAAATAAACATACCAGCTTTTTCTTCCGCTTCCCTCTCAGCATCTGGTCTCCCATCCACTCCAGCTTCTAGAATCTCATCTTCGCTCTCAAATTCATCCTCGAACTCGTCCTCAAACTCCAGACTCTCTACATCGTCATCCGCCTTCCCAACTCTCTCTCCTCCCTTCAACGGGGCGTCGCCCCTCTCAAATTCCTCCGCAGCTCTTTTTGACATCGTATTCCCAGTTGTGGTTGAACGAAAAATGCAAAAATCTGAATTGGCGGGGTTGTTGATGTACTTTTTCGTTATCGACTTATCACCATGTTCGCGGGACCCAACTTTTTTAAGAGGCGGCCGCATCCCCGGCGTCGCACGGATAATGGTTAATCCGTCCTTCGATACTTTTCGAGTGCACGACCACCACGACGACGACATCAGTTACGCTCACACTTCAGCCATGTTATACGAATTGATTGCGGTGGTAAGCTATAGCTATCCGTCTATATCCGCACGAACCAGTTGCTAATTACCCTCCAGGTCCGCCCCGGCAGCCTCGCCGAGGTGAAAGAGTTCGTCCTCCCCGATCACAACCCCCATTCACCCGCGCCTCTTTCGCCCACTAACCCTCCTCAGTATCGCCCGCACAGCCGGATCCCTCATCCTCCAAAATGGCGGCACGATTCGCGGCATCACAAACTGGGGCGTCACTGCGCTCCCGAAGCGCACCGCCAAGCATCAGGCAGTCTACCACGACGGGCACCACTTCGTCATGCGCTACGACGCCAACAGCGCCGTGCAGGACCAGGTGCGCAAGACGCTCAGTCTCGACCCGCGAATGATCAAATTCGGGAGCGTGAAGCTTGGGGATGGAAAGCTGGATACGCTGGCGAGGATAGGGGGGTGGATTCCGTGGTCGGTCAGGGAGCGCAGGTCGTAGGCCATTGGGGAAGACGAAAATCGTGGGAATGCTTGCAAAGATATTGTAGGACTGGCTGTATATTAGGTGCATTATTGGCGAATGGGATTCGATTTATAAACTCAGCATTCAATGATCTGGCAACAGTTTACCAATACTGTCATCTAGAATAGGACCTCCCCCTTGCGCATTACCCATGAGACGCCTCAAATGCTCGCTCGACCGCACAGGAAACATGTTCATCATGAGCATATGCCACATTGCATCATAACCAGCCCAGCCTCGAATGCCTTATTACTCAATAGTCGGGAACCCCCTAATCCGTCTCCATATTATCTGTCACTGCTCCGCCGCCCCTCTTCTCTCGGACCCAGACAACGAAGTCGTCAATGACGCCCGGCCACGCACCCTCCTCAGACCAAAAGCTCATCGTCTCGTCCTCCCTGCTCTTGGTGAAGAACTCAAGCGTCTGGTTCCACATGTCTTTATTAACGGTCTTCGTCCACTTGGCGTTCAGGAACTCGAGCCACAGCTTCAGCCAGTCCGTCATCGCAGAAGCCCAGCACATGCCAGGGCTTGAGAAGAGCATCTCCCAGTACACAAGGGCGTTCTCGAGAGGTAGCGCTTTCTGACTACGCTCTTTGGAGCTGACAAAGGTGTGTTTGTAGACACGCTTGAAAAGGGTGGTGTCGGAGGAGAGGAGTTTTGTCTGGCTAGCAATGTATGCTTTTTGCTTGGGTATTGTGTCTAAGGTGCTTCTAGAGTCGGCTCTGGATCGGGTCAGTAATTTCTTGCAGGAACAAGGAGGTAGGACTCACCCAGCCTTTTGCCAGCCCTTTACAAACCCATCTCTCGTCATCTCCCCGATTGCCGGAGCCTGGACAATTTCTAGTGAAATGAGGGACGATGCGTCTTCGAGATTCACGGCGAGGTCTGTGAGATATGCCATCGTGCCGTCGACGCTGATGGAATCCTTTTCATCATCCGACCCTACGATCAGAAGTCAGAGAGTGCTACGGGGTACCTCTATGTTTGTTGCCTTGGTCATACATACCTCGGTATTTCTCAAATAAGTTACTCAAAGTTGTCAGCGACTTATCTTCGACTGGAGTAGGAGCAACGGCCGGCTTGCCGCCCGAGGCATAGTATCTGTAGACCCAAGCTGTTAGCGGATCTCCAAGTCAAGTATAAGTGACGCATAATTCCGACAGGGGGACTAAACAATTGCTCCTGCTTGGAAAGCCAACCTAAAACGGCCGGCACTACAGGGACTGGTGAACTAGGGGGTATCGGTTCCCGATAAGGAAGACGAGGAGCTGGTGGAGGACTATGACTTCGACGACTTGGAGAACTATGACCTCCACTGCTTGGAGAACGAGAGGCTTGAGGAGCCGCCACCCCCCTGGAGTGTGAAAATGGTAGGAAACCCGGATTATTTCCAGCACTAGGTCCACCATGAGCTGGTTGGGCGCTGGGGATAGAAGGCTGGCTAGCAACCCCAGATCCCGACTCAAAATGTGGTATGGAAGCTGGGACCCCATTTTGATGAGACCGCAGTTGATTATTATTAAATGAAAGATAATTCGGAAAGATAGTTGGGTAATTCTGGAACAATGCCAAGCGATTATGATCGTACGGCTGAGCGTAGCAATTCTGAACGTAGCCATTCACCACTTCAAAATGCCGGCCCGCATCGTCAAAGAGCACAATCGTCGCCTTTGTCGATACGGGGCGGGGTATTATGGACGACTGCCCAGACTCCTTATCAGAATGGCCAGCCACCCGTCCAAAATACCCCGCTCCCATTTCAGAATGGCCAGCCTTACCATCAGAATGGTTATCTTCAGAGTGCTCAGCCTTACTCTCAGAATGGCTACGTTAAGAATGGGCAGCCTTCCTATCAGAATGCTCAACCCCACTGTCAGAATGGCTACGTTCAGAATGCCCAGCATTGCTCTCAGTGATTGCGCTCTGGGAAAAGTAGGGTCGGCATTTTGAGGTGTCAATGGTTGGGCATCCGCATCCACAACAGCACCCACTGCTTGAGATTCCGCGCTCGAACTTGACCTGTAAGACAAAACGTATGGCATACTAACAGCTCGGGGTCTCGGCTGACGTATAGAAAGATCGGGAGATTGAAATACTGATCCTAACCATGTAGCTTGAGCAGTCGGCGCCTGCATGTTTGCATAAGTATACTGAGGTACAACGTGCGTAGTTGGCGGTGGCGTACGACTCGGGGTCCTGTGCGATCCCTCAATTTTAGAAGTTGCTGGTACCATATTTGAAGGATATGAATGGGGCCTTGGGGGTTGAGACAGCCCCGTGCGTGGAGGGGGTACTCCCAAGGAATATGGAGATGGCGATGGGCGTGACGGCGCATTCGTCGCAGCGGTAAACGGATCATATCGCCGCGAACCAGTTGGAACTGGCAGTGGTAAAATCCGGTCTGGAAAAACCGGCTTGGCGGTCGGATTTGAAGGGGGTGCAAGTCGGTCCGGAGGCAAAGAATCCGCAGCGGGATTGAAACTTAGTTCGTCCTGAGGGATGTGGTCAAAACGGAAGATATTGGCGTTGAGCTCCGGCTGCTTTAGTACGGAGACACGCTGTCTCTTTCGCAATTCCCCTTGGTCATTAGGGACCCTTGAGGCATAATCTGAAAGTGGCTCCTGATCAAGGATAATCTCACTGTTTTCAAGGAGGTCCTCCTGTTCCTGCAGTACAACGCTAAGCCGCCTCTTTAATCCCTTCGGGCCAACCATGACGCTTCGTCGAGTGCCCCCTGGGTCTTCACCAGAGCACGATGTTTATTTTCAGATTCCTTAGGCCCGTACCAACAAATGTGTCGCCTGCTCCTGCGCTCCAATGTGAATTGCGCCGTGCGTCGTGCAGTCTGCGATTTGCGAGTCCTGTGCCCTCTTTGAGCCAGCATATAACTGACAAAGCATGGGGGCAGATAAAAATATGTGGTCCAGACCTCAGTCACTTTGCGTCGCAGGTGGTTCACCAGGTTTTAACCCGTGCCATTGTTGTGGCTTCCCTCGGTTCAGAATGTGGAGTAATCATCGTAGTTTCCCCATTTGTCAATATTTCTGTAGTCATAGTCGTAGTTTCCCTGGTTCTCGATATGGCCCCAGGCACTATCGTCGCTTCCTCTGTTTTATGGTGTGGCCGCAGTCACCATCGTAGCTTCCTCCAGTTCAGCATAGTTGCCGTCTCCATCGTAGCTTCCGTCCTGTGCCGGCATCGCAGCTTCCCTTCCCAGCTTCTGCTGCATTATAGCCTGTTTTCGCTCCACCACCAAGTCAAATCAAAAGAGCAGCCCTCTCAAACCTAGGTGCCACTCCTGGCGCTCTTTCCTCCTCCATCCTTTTGTTCGAAGATCGGCGTTGTTCCTTCCTTCCACATGCGCGGGTCCCGTATGCTCCTTCGTGCGAGTACTAGCAACACACTCCTCTTCCTCCTTCCCATCGTCTCCCTCACCATATATCCCCCAGTATCGCAAATAAACAAAGGAAACACAGCTCCACTTACGCATCACATGCAGCATCAAGCTTATAATTATGCTTCTTCAGCACCTACATCCCCAGCATCAGCACACATTCCCCACGGTTTACATCACCCGCATCATACCACCCCACTCCCCACCTCCACCCCCCAAAACCCCAAGCTCAAGAGGGCAAAAACTTACACTGCTGGCCACCCTCTCTGACGCCCCCGTTATCCCCATCATCTGCGCCACTGTATTCCTAATCGTAGTACTGCTCGGCATGGCGTCAGTTTTTGAATCGTCCTCCTCGCTGTTGTTGTCGTGACGGCAACGCCCTGAACTCGCTCGTATGCGTCCTTTGTGTCGGTATGCACTATTCGTAGTGCAGCTTTCACTGGTAGATCGCCCACGGAGGTATCTGGCAGCGGGCAGTATCCGCGTCTAAAACCTCGATCTCGAAAGTCGCCGTGGTCGTCGAATGCCCTATCCTCTTCCGTTCTTCTATTCGCTTCACTTCCTTCAACTTCACTTTTTTTCAACTCTTTGTCCTTCTTTTGCGGTGGCTGTAACTTTGTATGTATAACTCCAAATAGTACTGGAATAGAAGTGGGCATGAGGCGGGGTCGCGGGGCTGGGCTAGGTACCTGCCACTAACTGTCCCGTCCGTGCTGGGGTTAGTGACTTCAGCCTCACCTCACCTCACGCCTTATTAGGTGCGTTGGTCACGTGCGCAATATAAATTTGAGTGGGGGTAAGTGGTTCTTTGGAAGGAGAAGAGAGGGGGGTTTATCTATACTCTTGTGGTATCTTCTACAGGAGATGTAGGTGGGAGAAAGGAATATTTTTGGTTAGTGGTTGGTTTGTTCTCGTGGAAAATAAAATAAATTCTCTCTATGATAAAATATATAATTTACACAGTAAATCCATACGTCATATATACTTCTTACAATATTTGCTGTGTCTAATGCATATAAAATACATTTGAATAAAACAAACCAGCGGTTTATGCTTTATTTTTCAAATCCTAGCGTTAGTTTCCCCCCTTTCTGTATTTTCTACAAGACCACATGGCTAAAGGAGAAAAACGGCACATCCACGCCTCATCGATCACCATCATACACATAAAATTATCACATAGCTGAAGAAACTTCATACTCTTCGCTCTAGCTATAGCCACCACTCAAGACCACCACTCGCTTTTCCCCCTTCCCATCTACCAATGCCCAAGCAAGCACTCCTTTCCCAAAAATTAGCCGCCCCCCTTCCCACCCCAGCATACCGTAAAATAACAAAAACTCAGCCAATAACACCGAGAAGAGTAACTAATGTGCAAAAGTGTACGCCGCGCTGTATGCAATGCATGTTTTATCGAAGCCGATAGTCGATAATCCGATGTTGACTCCTTTCCCACCCCTTCCTGTTCCATTCCCACTGCCGTTCCCATCCCAAACACAGGGATCGAAATCATCGATTGGAAATCTGTAAAGTGTTGAATGGGAACGCAGTGGAGATGGTGACCCACCCGCTTCTGTCTGTATGCTGCCTCTCGAATACTCCACACAATCCGCGCCGAAAAATCGGTGAGTCGTCATAAAACCAACCCATTTTTCCGCGGCAAAGTAAACTCGTCACATAAACACTCCAACCCAGAACTTCTTATCCCCAATCTCGCTCGTGCAGTCATCGACCGCACACAGTGGGACCTTCCTCGCACCACTCTGCACCTCGGGGAATAAGTTCTTGCTCGTCGACTTCGCGTCCGGCTTGCGGCTCTGGTAGCATTTGTTGCAGTAGACCTGATACCGTGTTAGCACATGCACTCTCTCAACGGATTTAATGAGAGAAAGGGAAATACACTTACATGACCACATTCCCTCACCACCCAAAACGGATGCTCCTCCCTATCCTTCCTACTCCTAGCCTTTGCCTTTGCCGCCGTCTTCCCCGCCGATGTAGGCGTCGTCACCGCAGCCGGCTCCTCAGGTCCAACCACCAACTCCTCGTCGCACGCCGGACAAACAATCACGTCATCCTCCTTTGGCGAGCGCGTGAATCCTTCACCCACCGGCGGCGGCGGCACATGCTCTGCCTTCCTCGGCTCCTGTCTCACATGCTCATGGAGCGGAAACGTGCGGAACCTCATCGAAGCACCACGCATATGCACCGGGATGGGCCCTATTTCGGATTGTCGTCCCAACACGTACCGCTCCATGTTTCCCTGAAGACTGCGCCAACTGCCTGGGAACATGTCCGCGAGCCCGCCGAAAAGGAGGCTAGGATTGTCCAGGATCGATTCTGGGGCGTCAATCGGCGGGAGCATGCTGGGGAGATGGGGCCACGGATGGCCGGCGTGGTGGCGTGGTGATCGAGGTGGGCGGGGGAGCCGCAGTCGTGAAGGAGGGGCCGACGGTTGTCGTGATGGAAGGGCTCGCGAGGATACGATCTCGACCTCGTCATCGTCGTCGGATTCGATGCTGATGACGCCCCCAAGGGTCGTGTAATCCGACCGCTCCAGCTGGGGGGGCAGGGCAGCGCGCTGTGACGAGCGCCGCGACTGTGAGGGCGCGCGCTCATGGTGGTCGTCTGTCAGATCGATGACGGTGGGTTGGCGGTCAAGGCTTGGGCGAGATGGGGGATGCCGTGGGTCGAGCATGACGCTGAAGGGCGAGGAGCGTGGAGGGTTGTGCGGATGCGGCGTGCGGCGCTGGCCTGGGGAGTATGTTTGTGTCTGTGGTGGCGGAGGGGTAGGGAAGGTGAAGGTCGAGCCGGGCAAGGACGGCGAAGGGTCGGCCGAGGGGCGTCTGGCCATGGATATTGAGCTCGACATTTCGCCGAAGGTTCGCTGAGAAGAGTTTGTTAGTCTTTTGGGTCTTGTTTCCGCAGGGACGAGGGCTGGGGCTACATACCTTATTGTGGCTGCGTTGGCTTTCTGTCATTGTAGAGACGGCTCATCTCATTCCCTTATGGTCACAGACGCGAGAGTTACCGCCGGCGACTTGGGCGGCGTATGGCGTTGTCGACAGAGTGAATATATAGAGAATCCGAAGTGGCGTTGACAGTCGTCGACAGTCGTTGGCAGTCGTTGGCAGTCGTTGGTGGTCGTGGACGTCGTCAAGGCGAAAGTGGTATGTGGGTAAGTGGGTTGTGGAGTGGAGGGTTGGTGGATGTAGCGGTTATCGCCATAGGCGGTGGTTGTTTCTCCAGGCGTGGTCGGAGATGGTCGCCTTCGGCGGTCCGCCTTTCTGGTCCAGCAGTGGCCCTGTCGCCGGTGGCTTTAGAGAGGAGGGAAGTACCTTTGTATTGTAAAATGGCGTGTGAAGTACCTCGGATTGGATGTTGGAGGAGTGAAGCCTGGTTCGCTTATGATTGGCGATAAGAGCGGTGATGATTTTTGGAAAAGAAATTAAAATCTTCCAGTGGCACGTGCAACACGTGATCACGCTTTTATTGGGGTTTATATCACGTGAGTATATACTATGCGAATGATGGATCTTACGGACTGGAGATTACAGACTGGGGACCTTGGAGGCAACAGACCTGCAGATTGGGGAGGCCTCATAGATCGGAGACTCATATACCATACTCCAGTCTTCCCAGGCTATAGATATTGAGTCATGAAGCCTCACGGACCAGAGTCTCTGCTGATTCACAGTTTGCCAAGATATTGAGACCGCAAGCCCTATAGAAGGCAGATCTTGCTAACCACAACCTCACAGACCACAGACTCCAGACACAGGGCTCCAACCAACAGACTCAAGACAGCAGATTTCGCAGTCAACAGCGTACCTGGCCAGCTGTACAGGATCAGACCTAATACTCAGTGTCCCTGTCATCCTCCGGCATTCGTCCCGGAGGCAAATCTTTTTTTCTCTCTTATATTCTTATATTATGTTTTGTTTGTTGCAGGTGGAGGCGACCTGAAAACAAAAACGTCCAACTCATCGGTTGCTCCACCAATAGACCCAGCCGCAGGGGAGTCGGAGTGGTGGTGTGTTAGCCCAGCGCGCATACGTACGTCTGTTCCAACATGTCCGCGGCGCTGAAGTATTGCCCATCCACAGTCTTACAGTACTGTAGAGGATGTCCATTCATAGTGGCAGATGATGTCTATCCACACTCCCAAAGATGCCATGCCAATCGTCTGTCCACTGGGATTCCGACCAAGCGCTCGTACTCGTCTCTTCGGCGCCGGAATGACCGGAATGACAGACCCAACGCGGTGGTGTCCGTACAGTACACTACAGGCATGCCGCCCTCTCCAAGACGGCGTCCCGATCCAGAAGAGGCGAGGCGTAAGCCTGACGCCAAGGAGCGCTGGATGCCGATGGGCTGGGCTGGGACGATGAGGGGGCGAGTTAGTGAATGTGCCTGTTCATCTTATTGTTGGAAGCCACACAGACGCCACATTGGAAAGTCGCTCAGGCTGGGATGGATGGGAGTTGTGTGTGGCAAGTTCACTGTACGTACTCCGTACTCTCACACCCTTTCACATCGCCTCCCATCCCTTGCCACACCACGGGCTCTCTCATCCTGGCGATGTCAACAATGATTGACGCGGCGCCGACAGAGCGACAAGAAGAGGGGGAGAGCAAGAAGCATGGGCGCGTGACCACCCGCAATTGCCCTGCCCAGACCTTAGTACTATGGGTGGATATGGTGGATGGTGGACATGGTGGATATGGTGGATGGTGGACATGGTGGATGGTGGACATGGTGGATGGTGGACATGGTGGATGGTGGGCATGGTGGATGGTGGACGTGGTGGATGGTATTATGTGGAGTCCGTATTATGTGGATATGGTGGATAAACCACGTCGGGCCGTATTTTTCCGATATTTCCTTTCTTTTTGGGACCAAGGGCGGGAAATGACCGCCCTGCTCCCCGTCCCTTCCCTGCCGAGTTTGTTCTCCACCTTCACTCCATCTCCATCACTCCATCACTCCATCACTCCATCACTCCATCACTCCCTCGTCCCTTCCCTTGCCCCACACTCCGCGTTGGCCCCAGTCCCTCGTTCCCAGTCAGTCCTCCCCTTTCGTCCACTCACAGCCCTTGCGGCAGCTAGCCCTCTCTAGCTGCCGCAACGTCTCTCCTCGCCTCTTCTTTCCCTCTTTCCCTTTCCCTCTTTCCCTCTTTCCCAATGCGGCCTGGCTGATGTCTGGCTAGTATCCTGGGTGTGAGCCTGTCATGCTCTTGCTCTTAGTCGCGGTTCAAACTTACCTTTAAGATGCCGGTCCTGCCCAATGCGACTACTTTACCAGACTACTAACCACTCTGCTCCACTACCCATCACCAACAGGCACACGACCACCTCACGACCACCTCACGACCACCTCACGACCACCTCACGACCACCTCGAAGACGCTGTTATCTGTGAACACCCTACACCCTCAACTCTTCTCTCATCCTCAAGGCCTCATATCTGCTTCGTCTTTCAGAGCACTATATCCATATCATCGACGACGACATATATCTCTGACGACGCCCCTCACCTCTCTCGACACACACGACCACTCCAGCAGATCACCAATGAGTGAGCGAAATCGTGTCCTCGTCTTTGTTGAGGCGATGAACACGCCTCTATAGCACGGCTCACCCGCATCTAGCGGCCAAAGGAACCAAAACCATAACCACATACCGAAACACCGGCATGACCACGACCACCACCTACCACTGGGTCAACACCCTCACCTCCTCCCTCACCCCGACAACCTTCACCTTCACCTTCGTCCTCACACCCCCTAGCAAATATACGTTTACTTCCAAACCCCCCCCCACACCACCCCGCCCCACTCCATTCAAACGCCGCCGACCCCTCTGGGATGTCGATGGCTCCCCACACCCCACAAAGAAGAAGCGCCGCCTGCGCCTAGGCCTTGTCACCTCCCGCCTCTCCCGCCCCTACTCGGCTCCGGCAAGCAACATCGCCGACCGCGGTGTCGCCCGTGTTGGCTCTGCTACATGGCTTGTCCCCCGCCGCCCCGAGCAGAACGAACTCTGCAAGGCCGCCATCATGAACCGCGTCCGCCAGCGCCTGTGTCTCTTGAAAGCGGCACAGGCGAAACAACCGCCGCCCGCTAGCGTCCCACAGAAACGGACACACTCGCAGCTCGTCTCTGCACTTGCACTGCGCGACGTTGTGGCACCGATGGCTAGGACGTACGAGGTTCCATCCCAGCTTCCACCTTCGCCGCTTGGGCTGTCGAATTATGACGCGCTCGATCTGGAGGAAGAGGAGGGGCTAGGGATGGATAGGGAGGGAGAGGATATCGATGCAGATATGAGTGGGTGTGGCCGCGGATACTATAGCGATTTCAGCGTCAGGCGGTCTCCGCGCCCGGAAGGGGAGGACTACGATTACCTCGACGAGCTAGATGGGATTCCACCCTTGTCGCTGGCGGAGGAACCACCACCGTTGCCGCAGCTGCCGCCATTGTCGATTGCAAAGGCGGAGGCGGGGCAACTGGATGAGAAGGTTAGGGTGGGGATGGATGTCTATACTGCGGGGCCAGCTCATGGAGCAGGGACATATGTACTGGCTTAGTCGAGTGGGCATCTTCACGGGTTGGCGACGGGCGGGCAGGCAGCATGGGGATCATTGCATGGACATGGAAATGAGAAAAAGCTGGGAGTTGGGCCTCCCCTGCATGAATGAACGGAGTAGGATAAAAATGACATTTCTGCTTTGATACCCACACTTCGTCTGTCTCGAGACTTGGCCTTGGCTGATTTATTCGTCGATTCCCTCCCTCTACTGATGCAATAGCTTCTCTGCCCGGTCAAGCGCGATATCGCACATTGCCTACCCTCATCAGCAAACCACTCCACTCCACTACCAACCCCCAGTTGACGTGACCCCACGCAGCAAGCGCAACCAAAAATGACAGGATAGGATACACACCTTAATCCCTTCTTCCCTCTCCAGTCCCCCATCCCCTCTGTCAATCCTCTCCCGCATATTCTTCATAATCTCTCCCCTCCCTCGCCCATTAACAAACACCACATACCGCAACCCCGGGAACTTGGCCCCATACTCCGCATTCAACGCCGCCAATTGCCGAGCCTCCTCCTCGCCACCACCTAACTGCGCCTGTTCAGCAGCTGACTGTGCGCTATCCACCTTCTTGGCCCCGAGGCGGGGGTGAGCGCCTAGGATTGCATCGAGTTGCTTGGCGTCTGCTGGGGAGCCAGATGTGGAGAGTGCAGTGAGCTGGGAGCGGATGGCGGCGATGAGAGCGGGGTAGGAGAGGACGGGGCGGGCGAAGAGGGGGAGGGAGAGCGCGCGCAGTGGGGGGGAGGGCTCAAAGAGCAGGTCGAGGATGTGAGTTTGGTCGCTTGGGGAGAGGGAGGGGAGGGTGGTTGCGGGTGGGCGGGGGAACATTGTTGCGGGTGTGGTGTGAATTGGATAGATGGGTGGTACCGGTTGATTGAAAGATAAGGAGAGCTGGACCGGATTGGATTGAGAATAAATGAAATAAATAAATACCTATCTACAGCGCATGCGGGGAGGTTTATATGATAAAACCCCCCCCACGCACGCCTCGGAACTCGCCTAAGCTGAATTCGCACTAGCGCCGAAATCCGCGACTGCGACGTCGAAAGATTGTTTAGGGCCTGAAGCTGGCTGGGCTAGCTGACGAAGCACGAAGCACACTCGCAACTCCACCACAACCTTCAACAACAGACACTGATCTACTACGAGACCAACTATGTTGTGCGCAAGTAAGTGGCATTCAATTGGCGATGGGATATTGGGGCGCGTCTAACCTAACTGTCCGTAGTTTCCGGCGAAGCGCCACAGGACCCTGTGGTCTCGACGAAATCAGGTAATGATTCCACCACCACTTACCTCCTCCCCAAGCTCAACCGTCTAACTCCTCTCCAGGCAACGTCTTCTCCCGCGCCCTCATCGAATCCCACATCTCCACCCACGGCACCGACCCAATCACCTCGGAGCCCCTCACCGTAGACGACCTCATCCCCATCAAGACCTCCCGCATCGCCCCCCCCCGGCCTCCAACCCACACCTCCATCCCCGCCCTCCTCTCAACCTTCCAATCCGAATGGGACGCCCTCGCCCTCGACTCCTTCACCCTCCGCCAGCAACTCGCGCAGACCCGCCAGGAACTCTCAACAGCGCTCTACCACCACGACGCCGCCGTCCGCGTCGTCGCACGCCTCACCCGCGAACGCGACGAGGCCCGCGAGGCTCTCTCGAATGTCGGAATTGCGCCCTCCGGTGCAGGCGACGCGATGCAAATTGATAACGCCGGACTCCCGTCCGAAATCGTCGAGCGTGTTGAGGAGGCACAGGGTCGTCTGTCGAAGGGGCGCAGGAAGCGCGCTGTCCCAGCGGCATGGGCTACCCGCGCAGACATCGCGGCGTATGAAGTCGTAGCAAAGGCCGAGGCCGGCGATGCGGCTTTCGTGGATGTGAATGCCGCAGGGACGCAGGCGCTCGTGGGAGGCAGCGACGGGGCAGCTGTCGTGGATGTTCAGACCGGGGCGGTGGCAGAGACGCTAGCGAAGGGCGAATCTGTCGCGGCTGGTGCATGGGCCGGCGAAAAGGCCGTGCTGCTTGTTAAGGCTGGAAAAGGTGGCGTGGTGAAGGTGTTTGAGGGTGCAAAGGAGGTTGGGGCCATCGCGGCGCATGCGGGGCCTGTGAATGGCGTTGCGGTGCATCCGACGGGCGATGTTGTCGCGTCGGTTGGCAAGGATAAGAGTTTTGTTGTGTATGACCTTGAGAGTACGAAGGCGGTCGCGCAGGTCTATACTGAGAATGGTGAGTCCCCTTTCACCCCACTAATCAGAAAGGAGAGCAATGCTGACACCCGCCAGAACTCACAGCTTGCGCCTTCCACCCAGACGGCCACCTCCTCGCCGTTGCCCACCAAGGCACCCTCAGCATGTACCACACTACCACTCTCACCTTCGCCGCCTCCTTCCCCCTCCCATCTCCCGCGCCTATTTCCGCTATCTCTTTCAACCAAAACGGCATCTGGGTCGCCGCCGCCACCGCGTCCGGCGTTACTGTCTTTGACCTTCGCAAGGAGGGCGCTGAGGCCGTCGTTAAGGAGTTTGAGGGAAGTGGTATTAGTGGCGTGCAGTGGGATTACTCGGGACAGTTTTTGGGATTCGTGGGCAAGGAAGGCGTTGTGGTGCAGGCGTGGTTGAAGAAGGAAAAGAGGTGGGAAGAGGGGCTGAGGAGTGCAGTCAGGGGGAGTGCGGTGGGTTGGGGAGCAAAGGGGAGGAGGGTGTTGGTTGTTGGAGGGGAGGGAGTCAGTGTTTTGGGCGCAAAGGAGTGAGTGTTTACCGAGATAGGGGTTGTGAAGACGGTGTAATTGAGACGCTTGTACGAGTACCAAGCAGACTGGACTGAAGAGGCGGCAAGGCACGGCGTATATGCTTTTTTCCCTTTGTATACTGGCGGTTCCGGAAATGGATAGGCGGACATGTGTAGCAATACAAACGAATCTTGTGGAGTGAAATACAAAAAGGCGTTCGTCTTCGTTTTTACTATCACCTTCATACTGAGAATGTTGCAATCAACACAACTGATGCAGAGGGGCCTATAGATGTCAATCATTATGAATTCTTTTCCTATTCTATCCTATACTATCTATCACTACTCTGTATTCCCCACCACCCACGCCGCCACCATCCACGCACCCATGGCTATAATGCCTATACTCAAGAGGGTTCCCAATCGCAAGTCCCAAAACAACCCAAACAGGTCCCAAAAAATGCACCGCCCATCAGCGAAACACAGACGTGACACACGCACGCCGAATTACAAAGGTCGTTGAAGAAGAAGGAAAAGCAGCCGGAAGAAATATCATGAGTTCGAGTGTGGCGATTATCGTGGGCATGTATGATTAAATGTAGCCGAGTCTACTGCCGGTTTATAGTAAAGAAAGTCCGAAAACGCCGTTGAGCCGCGCTATGCAAGTATGAGAAAGGAGAAGGCGAGAAGTAAAGATCCGAACGACGCTGGCGCGTGCTATTCTTGAAAACTGGCGAGTTTCGTTTCAGACGCAGCATGCTCGCTGGCTCGAAAGAACGATGCAAAAAGCGAAATGGATGGACAACGCGCTTAATAGCTGAAACCGCCATAATTCGAGTTCCGCGGCGGCGCACCGGCAATGCTGCTGGCGTAGTCGCCGTCCTGGTAGATGGTTGTGCGGCGATCATCGTCGGGGAGGAGGCCTTTGACCTCCCAGTTGTTGGCCTTAGTGCCGACTGAGAACTCAAGGTCCTCGCGCGTGATAGAGTCCCAGTACTGAGTCGCGTTAGATTGGGATATATGACAGAAAGAGGGAAAATTTACCTTGTATACCATCATAACGGCGAGAAGATTGCAGATGGTGGTGAAGAAGACGCCGTCGAGGTAGTGCTGGACTTTTCGGCAGATGGTGTTGGAGACGGCATATAGGATGACCTGGCCAACGATGAGGAAGCCAGCGCCGAAGGAGAGGTCGCCGAGTGGCCAGCGGTCCTGCAGGGTGTTGAGCACAAGGATGAACTGCATGACGATGTATACAGCGAGGCAGATGGCCGAGATGAGGTACAGGACCACGAAGAGGCCGATGGTCTTGGTGGGACCGAGGCCGGCCCAGCTCTTGAACGTCGCCAGCGAGACAAGGAACGTGATGACGAAGAAGGCGAAGGAGATGCTGCGTAGGAGCCAGACAGAGAGCGTGGTGCCGTCCTCATATAGCTGGAACCCGACGAAACCGTTGATGAGCAGGCACACACACAACGCCGACGCGAGGCCAGCCTGCACGGCTACAAAGTAGGAATACGGATCCGATCCTGGAGGGACGACGCCGGAGTCGATGCACAGCGATATGAAGGTCAGGAGCATGTAAATGTAGAAAAACGTCGTGATTTCTTTGCGACCTATTTATAGAACATGAGCGCGCTGACACGGGAAACGGTTTGGGGAAGGGTAAACACAACGTACCGACTGCGGTGAACTTGGAGCGGACGTGGAGGACCATTATGACGGCCATGATGAGGGCGGCAATGTGGGCAAAGGACGTGGCGGGCTGGAAGATGATGGTGTTCGCAAGCTCGACATTGCGGGCATAACAGTCAGGCTCTATCCCAACACCCAAGTCAATGTTGCTGATGCTGCCCACAAGGGCGCACAATGGTATGGGCGCATTGCGGCAGATCGTGTCGAAGTCTCCAAAGCCCATCCTGCAAGCGGGTACAGGTGCTGGTAGATTTTGAGGGGAGAGATGATGCTGCGCCTGGAGCGAGGGGTTGCGGCCCGGCGAGAAGGGTCCACGATGTCTTTGATGCGCGATATCTTCAGGGGGTTGATTTGTAGGTTCGTGTGCGTAGAGAGCCAACTAGCAAATTTACTACTCCATACGACTGCTTATAGCATGAGAGGATGGGGTGCAAATGAACGAGCGTGGTGTTGTTGGGACGTATACGTATGGGGAGGAGCCTTGGCAGGCCCCGTTGGCAGCGAAACGGAGCCCCAGGTACACTGAAAAGTCACATGACCAGGGAGATTTGTGCCTTTCCAAAACTCTAGGTCATGTGAGTTACATTGGTGTGATGAATTGGCCACCGTACAAACATTGTCAACCACTAACTTACGCTGCCAAATATCTCCAGCCTTTTATCATTTCACAGCCTCGTCGTCGCTCATCCATATGCTCATCATACTCATCGTACTCGCACTACCTTATTCTGTAGATTCGAATTGTTATAAGCTGGCTTTCAGCTCGAGGCTTCTGAGATGGCCATGCAAAACTAGGAAAGCTGAAGATAACAAATCTGGTAGCAGATATTGTTGAATTGTTGAAGCTGTGAACTCTGTGACACCATTTAATCCAATCCACTGGCATCAACGATGACACCAAAGATGATGGCTGCAGGCTACGCAACCATGACAAAAAGGCGGTCTGAACTGCCGTTAACAAGCAGTACACAACAGATTTACAGATTTATATTGCCCCAGAGGCGATCTCTATCGAACGGAGGGTGGTGATTCGGAGGTGGTGGAGTACACTCGGAGCTTGCCACATCTAGGTATCAATTTTCTATAGCTCAGAGGTAAGATCCCAGCGGAAAGAGACCAAAGATGCAGGCTACAGCTGAGGAGATTGTTTAGTCGGATGGGCCTTATCATGGTAAAACATTCACATCTGCAGCTGCGGCATGCATGCATCAAGACAGCTGTGCATAGGGTAACATCTGTGGTCTGGCGGGAGGCTTCACCGACGTTAAACGCTGTCAGGCAAACAACCAGAAATCGATTGTGGCCTCCTCGAATCGGAGAGGGTTTTTTCCTTGGTTTGGCTTATGCGGATGGGATGCCCGTGAGAAACGGCTGGACTCTCATAGTTCGCAAACTTGTTGCATCCATGAAATCCAGCAACTGACTGTCGAATATGGCAAGTGTCCCATTGGACAATTCAATCGGATCAACACAATATTGGAGCGCATGACGAGCATCAAGACACCACAATATTACCACTGTGCATGACATGACGGCTCCGCGCCTGGCGTTGGTTGAGACCAGCTAAAATCTCTAGTGCTCTTGTCACCACAATAAAAATGCTGAGACGACTGACCGACCGCCCGACCACCTAAGCCAAGGGTCATCACTCGGGCCTGCCTCTCCAAAGGCTTGGACTAGTGACGATCCATTTTTATCACAGCAAGCATGGTCAGTCAGGCTGGCTTTCGTGGGCCGCGTCTCGATATTGGCCTGGGATTAGCTGATTAAGAGGGTCTTTTGGATCTTCCATCTCCAGCAAATTAAAACAGGTCTTGCGCGCAAAGCCCAGCTATCTCATCTGCATTTCCTCCAGTGCAGATCACACCATCATCGGTTCATTTCTATGCGGCATGCAAAGTACTAATCGTTGGTTTCCAAAGCACCGCCTAGAGGCGGTTGGCGAAAGCAAAGTGTGCCATCTCGGCTGATGCTGACGCGTACAGAATGTACGCGTCGACCACCACAACAGATAGGTAAATAATAAATTGAAACTATTTAAAACAAATTAGGATCTATGTTGTTGTCGGGCAGTGATTCATCTTCACTCGCGCTTGCAATCAAGTCGTAGTTAAGACTTGAAAAATCGACAAAACCGCCTTCTTTAGCCGCTAGTTGTCGCTACAACTCCATCTCCTCTTCCTCCTCTTCTTCCCGTCTCTCACGTTTAACATCAGGGTTAATGATTACTTAGAGTAGTTCCCTCGGTGGCTTAGTGTCCGGATTACTCGTTTAGAATCAAGTAATTCCCTTTTCCAAGCCCGTTCTGCTCTCCGTGCATCAATGCTAGCACGGAGCTATAGCTTTGCGCTTTCTCTCTCTTCTCTCTCTTACTTCTTCTATAACGTGCTCCTTTACTATCTTCTTATGAATCTTCTTTCTTGCTTGTTCAACTGTAACAGCTCCGCCCTTTTAAATAGACTTTCTACTTCTGATTTTCTGCTGTCTTTGCTCCGTCGTTATAGCAGTGATCTACGTAAGCTCTAAGTGAACTAATGTACTTTCTGTTAACTGTATTTAAATCTCTATACAAGAGGAGGTCCATCTATGACGAGACGGTAAGCTAAGGATCTCCTCAAATCTCCAACTCCAATTTGAAAGATCTTAGCTTGCTTGAATTGCTTGCTTCGGTGCTTCTAGAAGCTCTGGTTTTGCGTATATAGCTACCTTCTTCTCTATGTTCTCATAGTCTAGTAGCTAAATACTAGAGACTCTAAACGCTTTCATACAGTTTCCCTTTGTAAATGTTTGTGTTTGGATTGTTAACAAGTCTCGGAAGAATGAAATAACATTATAGTTAGTGTCGAAATTCCGAATTGCTTGCTAAATTACACGACGGTGCTAATGCTTAGTTATACTACAGAGACTGTAATATATGCGCAAGGTGAGAAGGAAATACATATAAGTGTATGTTGTTTTGATTTGCGAGTATTATGAATTCCGGAACTTTATAGGAAATATAAGAGTCCATTATAAGTAACTTTGCCTTTGTAGATGGTGTAGAGTGTTAAATAAAATGCTCTGTTGCGTCGACCACCACAACTGTACGCGTCGGCATCAGCCAAGATGGCACACTTTGCTTTCGCCAACCGCCTCCAGGCGGTGCTTTGGAAACCAACGATTTACGTGATGAATCGGAGTCTCAGCCTTTTCGCAACCCGTATCAAATGCTGTCCCATATCGGCAATATCGGGGAGGCAACGAGGCGAGTCGCCAAAGTACCCGCCGTGGAACAGGAATAGGGTCGTGCCCAATAGCAAACACCCAGCCTTGCACCGGTTAACCAATACGAGGGAAATGCTTGGATTGGAGACTGAATACGGCACCGTCACCGTCACTATTCGATGGATCTAGTAGCTGACCATGGTGCATGCGGCTGTGGAATGTGGGATGGTGGAGTGAGTGACCCTACCCTCAAAAGACTAGAGGAGGTTTTCGGCTTTCGGGGATGCAATGGTGGCACATAATTTGCTTGTCCAGAGTTACGTTTGGCGCTGTCCCATCCCACAAACGCCAACAGGAAGCCCGCACAAAAGGATTAGAAGGGCGAATCATTCTCTTAGGTCTCGACGCCACGTTATTTAGTTTGTGTCGAGAATGCTCACCTTTTACCGCATTCGCATTACACTAGAGCGAAAGCTATGGACCGTCAATAAGTTAGCGTACTTGCATCCTGTGCGTGTCTCGCTCTTGTACGTGGCGGCATCGATGCTCCTGGCTGCTCCGTACCACCGTCGCAGCATTGGTAATTCGTTGGAGATCGGGCTCGATTGGTTATGGCATCGTTTCGCGGGTGTCCATCGACAGCCGCTGAAGCCGTATACTCATTGAACGAACTCACCTTGAAAATGGCCGAAGTGACAGCCTTTGAACGTGCCCCTGTCTCTTCATACGTGGAGGCAGGATCTTGTTGGGGCAGTTGGTATCGCCGGAAGCAAACGAGACGCGCATCAATAAATGGCTCTGGTGAATCGTGACTTGTTCACAGACTGGGGGTTCATGTGCAATGTTCCGGGAGCAGGCCGTCACCAACTCCAGACACCCTTGGAGTTCTCCGATACCAAGGGAGATGATTGCCTGGTGACAAGTGCATGGGGGACATTATGTTGCGCGGTTCACCTTTGTCCCGGTCTTAGGCGTCCTCCTTTTTTTCCCCCCAAGGCTCTCGACCCTCGGCCCCATCGCCATTGGAGGCCGTCCAGTGAGAATGTGTATTTGGTGGATTACGCATTTTACATTTTCAAGAGCCATCGCACAGGATGGCTAAGGGGGCGGCCAAGGCCACCAAAACCAACACACAGCCACGCTAATTTACTCCTTCACAGCACAATGGAACCACTGTTTCGACGATGACTGCGCTAGGAAGGCAACCACGCTACTCAGGCTACGACGAGCAAATGCTACGACAATTACTCCGTAGACCACTTTAGTTGCTTCGGCAGGATCAAAACATTTCGGAGGTTGCTGATTCAGACCAATGTACCCTGGGTTGCGGGCCAAATTTTTGCGGAACCTCGTTCTTCTGTGGAGTATATTATTGGAGCAACATGGAGCACACCAGGTCTGGTATGCGTACTCCGTACTCCGTGCAGCTGGTCATTCCGTGTTCCGCGCCCCCATCTCCAACTTTTTTTTTTTGGTGTGCGCGTTTGCAATTTGCCCACAACCGCCATCACGCTGTCCTTGGTAAGTGCGGCAAGTGCGGCAAGTGCGCCCAGCCCCACCCAAACCACTCCGAAACTACCTAGTCGTGCAACCCATAACTTAGAGCGCTGACCTGAAGGGAAAAGCTCCAGCGGCACCAAGCACTAATTAGTGAGTTAGTGAGTTAGTGAGTTAGTGAGTGCTGTACCGTGCGGTCTGGTACAAAAAACAGAGACGGAGTGTACTGGTTGGTGTACTACGAGTACTCCTTCTCCTTCTCCTTCCCCGCCACTGGCATGTACCACCAACTGATCTTTGGAGGGACTGACCTTTGAGGGGGGCAAGGAAAAAACCGCGCCTTCCGTGCACTAGAGACCATCACTTTCCGGTTCTCCCATGTCTCTAGAAACCCCCCCCTTTCAATCACCGTGGTTCACTTTGGAGCCTTGATATGTCATGGTGTCGCAGACACTCAAATGTCGGCCGGGACGTTATTGCATAATGATCTCACTCACATGCCTGCTGCCTTGCCTCGCCTTGCCTCGCCTTGCCTCGCCTTGCCTCGCCTTGCCTTGCCTTGCCTTGCCTTGCCACTTCACTCGATCCGCCGTGCCAGAGTCAGGTTGAGTCGGGATGAGTATGTATATGTATGATCATCTTATGTACGTACGTACGCACGCAGCCTTTCCAGCCGCAGCCAAGACTAGCCAGCCACCAAACCCGATTGTGACGAGAAAGGATGCGTCTCGCCCGCCGAGAAACATATGGAGTCGCGTAATGATGTTGTCTGGGCTAAAAAAAAGCATGGAGCCATATACAGCTGAGCATGGCTCTGTATGGCTTGGGACGGAGGAGAATGCAGGGGGATTCCATTGCACGCGGGGTTTGTTATTGACGACTCCATGCCTGGTCTTGAAAGCGCAAGAGGTCAGCCTCCACTTTCCTCGTTGCCATGACCGATACGATGCCCCCATGCACGAAAGGACGGAGAGCACGGAACGTGTGGACATAGTATCCAAGCCGACGCTAGGGGGTCAGGCTCTCGCACGAATGCAAGAATGTCCCATACAGTGAAGGGATTTCTGAGAGGCGATGGAACCCTGGGAATTAATGACAGAAAAAAGAGAACAATTAGCCCCCCATTCGTGACCAGGAATAGAGAGCAATTGGCTGTATGTATTGGCTGTATCGGCTTGTCTTTGGTGGGTGTGGTTTGACTCTCTACTTCGGACCAAGGACCAACCAACTTCCCTCACCACCACCACCACCACCACCAGCCCACCAGCCACTACCAGGCTATCCCTTGTTCAGACTCTCATACCACCAGTGACCAGACACTGACCAGCGGAGAACGGAGAGAATGGACCAACCCCGTACCCCCTCCAGCGAACGACTCCACCGGCCGGCCGCGGTGCATCACAGGATTACCACCATCATCACTCTTGCAAAGGCTGGAAAGGATGGATCTGGTATGGAGATGATGGCGATGTTACGATGTTACGCGTACTCTTCTACCCAGTAGTGGTACAGGACCAGTTTAGAGCAGGCACCGCCCCATGCCACTCGGTGTCTCCATACTCTTCAGTACCCTGTACATTTTGCATTTTGTCCTTTTTGTCACTGGGGGATACAGGAGGAGACAGGAGACGAGAAGACAGTTGCTAATTGCAGGTCAGTACTACAGCGTTTGCATCTCCATAAGCAATACATTTCCTTTATGGTATTTATAGTAATTTATACGGTATTATTATCATTTTTGGAGCTGGATTCCGACAACATTCTGGGTGCTGGCGCATCCATCGTATCTATCCATTATTATCACTTCCGCCGCATCCAGCTCAATCAAACCCGGCCGTCTTTATACCTTCCTCTTCACGGCATCTACGTATATAGAATAAATACATAACATAGAGAGAATTCATAGCATTCATAGAATTCATAGCATTCATAGCATTCATAGCATTCATAGAATTCATAGAATACATAGCATACATAGCTCCATGTTCCTTTTTGGGATTTAAAATCCCACGTCTTTCAGCTACTCTAACTCTTACAATTAAATTGTATGTACCCTTGTACTTATAGCCACTTACTTCTGGTTACCACTGTTCCTCAACGCACCTGTCGGCTTCGTACTATTCTATAGCTTACTGGCTGACTGAGCAATTAGTTACTAGGTTTACTGGGTTGCTGGTTACTGGGTTATTGAGAAAGAGAGAGTACGGTCTGTACTTTCTTAAAAAGGTCCTCCCCCAGTAACCGAACTGTTTGGGACCTCAACTCATATGTTCACTTATCCATCCACTCTACCTCCAAACAGACAAACCACCCCCCAACCAACAACACCAACTTCAACGCCCCCCCCCCCACCTCAAACCTCATTCTCCACCTACAATATTAAATCTGGTTTCCTTATATTATCGTCTGTCCTTCTCGAATAGCCTACTTACTTCGACCAATTCCACCGCCCATTAACAACCAGATCTCACTTCCCACCCCCCCCCGCGACTACTCTCACTACTCTCACTACTCTCACTACTCTCACTACTCTCACAAGTAACAACCTCTTCACACCAGCATATGGCCTCTTCACCAGCTTGAGTCTGCATCAGATGGGACTTCCCGCCAGGATCTATTGCCGTTAAATCATATGGGGCTGGCTACCTGCGATCTATCATTCAATCAGCAAAAGCTTCGACCAGCTCTCCCTCTGGGTTAGAACGCTTCGCCAGGCAAACGAACAGTCTCCATGCATCAAGCTTCAGCATCCTCGACTGGCCTCGATTTCCTTCCGCCGTCACGAAACCTCTACAACTCACACTACCCCTCAACATACACTCAGACTGGCTGGCCACGATCTCTGCTCCCTCCCACAAACGCCCCCGTCCATCGCTACGCTACACCCGACTCAAGCTGTCGATCAACTGGCTTAGGTCCGTCTGTTGCAGACCGTGAACGTTGGCTACAGTACGCATCAAACATACCAGCCATCTCGACACGCGGCAGGCTGCCCACCCCGCCTGCCGACGACATGAGTGTGCACCAGCCGCAGCAGAGCACTACCAACGGGGTTCGACAGGGCATTAACTTCCCTTCGATAGCATCATACCAGACATCAGCGTCCGCACTGGCCTACCCATACAACTCCGCATCTCGTGCGGCGGAAACACTCGGGCTGGGAAGCACGGCCAACAGCTCGGCGTCTCAACTGTATGATGACCGGCCACATAATGGAGCCACAAATGGGATCGAGGAGAGAGTAAAGGAGGTTGTTCCTCGCAAGGAATCGATCCACTTGAGTGTGCAGGCAACTCCACCTGTGAATGGAAGTAGTATTGGAGAGCTGGCAGCACAGGTATGGAACTACCACCACTGCGGAAAATATACGGACTAATAGCGTTATAGCTAACCTGCCTTTTCTGGTTTGAGACCACCGAGACTCTTCGAAAGGCTGAGAACTGGACGCCAAGCTCTTCTCCAGTCGAAAGGATAGCTCCTGATGCCATACCCACAGCGACATTCAGAAAATGGGTCCTCACGATATTATCGACTACACAGGTTACACCGAATGTCATCCTCCTGGCGCTCATGTTCATCTATCGTCTGAAGACGCTCAACCCAACCGTGAAAGGCAAGGCAGGCAGCGAATACAGGCTCCTGACCGTGGCGTTGATGCTGGGGAATAAATGTAAGTTCACACAGCTCGCCAGAAAGTAGATGAACTAACAGTCTACCAGTCCTCGACGACAACACCTATACGAACAAGACGTGGGCTGAGGTGTCTGGGATCTCGGTGGTTGAGATCCATGTGATGGAGGTCGAGTTTCTCGGCAGCATGCGATACAGCCTGCTGGCCTCCAAGGAACAATGGGCGGAGTGGCAGATAAAGCTGGGCAGGTTTGGGGACTACTTTGAACGGGCGTCAAAGCTGCCACTGCCACTGCCGTCGCCGGTCAGCAATACGTTCCCATCGTCCAAGCTACCCTCGCCAATACGAGTACAATCGCATTCTCCCATTTCATCTACACACCTATCTAACTCGTCGTTTGAGTTAAACCAGCAATGGCCTTCTCAATACACCTTATCACAACCGCTTCCCCAACCACCACAGGCCACGAAGAAGCGGCCCTTTGAGGACTTGTGGGTTGAGCCCCCATCGAAGAGGCCTGCAACCATTTCTGCCGCCCATATTCCTGCCGTCATGGTCCCGAATTCACAGCTCGCTGTCCCACGTCAGCAGGCACCAAGGCTGCCAGTGCCGCAGTTGTCGATTTCGACAAGCACTGGTGCCGGTTACCCAACATTCGCACAAACGCTTCCTCCTTTGCCTCCGCTGAATGGACGTACCATGTCGCAAGCCTTTCCTGCGACTCCAAGCTGGGCTCCTACCCCTCAGATAAATGTCCCTTCTTCGGGCATGCCGCCACAGGCTCAGCAGGCCTACAGCCTGCCTGGCTCAAACCATGGCACTCCCTCAAGGCGACACAGCCCTCGGTCGATCGGTGTGCATTCGATGAACTCGTCGCCCATCTCTGGCATCTTCCCCACCGCTGTACTCGACCTCAACTCCCCTTCGATCTTCCTCCAGCAGCGAAACTCGCCATACAAGCCGATTCGACTTCCGAATACCCTTCTCTACCCACCACCCCAGTCCAGTTATCAGCATTTCCAGGCAGGCATCGATCAGATGCACTACCAGCCTCTAGGCAAGCGAAATGACTACCGTTCGGGGGTGGTGCCGGAATACGTTGCTAATCCGATTTACCAACACTACCCTTCACTTCCTCAGCCGACCTTCCATCCGTTGGCCTAATTCATTCTCTCTGTGCTGAACTCGCCCAAGCGAGTCAGCCAAATTGGTTTTCGATGGAAACAAAAGTCGGATAGAATACAAACCTTTCATTATAGGATTATAATACACTACAGACCTGGCGGCACGTAAGAGTCTGCTCGTCCAGTGCAACAGCACAGACAGCTGCGACAAGCAAGCTTTGTGCATCTTTCAGCATGGCCCGGTGATAGCATTGCGTCGGAGTTCTTTTTTTACCTGTTTTTTACTTGGGTGGGCGGGAAGTAAGGCGTGCAGAGCATTGCAATACGGTTTCTGCTCTGGAGATAGGCGGATAGAACGCCGAGTCGCTGGAGGCGGCGTCTATACACAGCTGTGATGAGGGATGGATGTGGATAGGCTGATGAGCTGGGCATTGTGACCTGGTGTTGGGCGGAAATACCTGACACTGCGATGGATTCGGCCGCATGAGGCCATCATAGATATAGACTGTAGTGCAGGTGGAATATAGGTGCCCCAACGGCTGCCACCGCAAACCTTGGATGTGAACGTGAGATCTGTGAATTGCGTGAAAAATTGCGTGAAAAATTGCTGCTTCGCCATTATAATCGCAGCTCGGAACGACGCGAATTTATCCTTGGCAAAAATATTTTAGATGGCGAATATAAAATATTAATTATTTGTAATATGATCATTTCACAATATTCTTGAACTTGTAAATTGGTCTAAAGATCTTTTTAGACATTTAGTTGAGGATCAAAGATTGGCGATGGACTCGAATCATCCCAGCTCTTCGCTCGCGCTCGAGAGTTTCTAGATAGAACGTCCCTATCAATGTACAAAATACAAAAATCCACCTTTTAGCCAGTGCCCATGCTGATTTAACTCCAGAAGCCTCTGAAACGCTCAGATAGATCGCGCTCATGAAACGTCATAAATGCCCTTCCGGCATGCAGTATCAATACAAATTCAACAACCTACTATTTTCAGTCCACACTATCTCCATCCTCCCCGTCTCCCTCTGGCTTCTGTGCCTGGCCAAGACCCATCTTCATCCCTCCGAATATCCGCTGCGCGCCGAAACCACTAAAGTGCTGTACTAGGCCTGGCCGCGGCGTCTCTATTTCATCGCTACTCGTATCATAATCATCGTCGTCGTCTTCTTTGCCAATTCTGTTCCGACTCAGATTCTCCATCCGCATATTATGCCCATCATTGGGCCCCTCGAGATAACTACCCGGGTCTCTGCCCAACACACTGTCGGCTTTGGTAGGGCTGCGCTGCCCCGAAGACATTGTCGGAGACGGCGCGTTGAGATAGTGCCTCGTGATCTGCACGGGCTCTGGTTCCCCCTCCCAACCACCACTCGCCGTCCCCCACCCGGCATTCCGTTCCCGCTCTAACTGTTCGTCACGCTCTTTGCGGATGTATTCTCGCATCGCAATCCACTTTGGAGATGGTTCCCAGCTCCAGCCATCACCAATGCTGTTGCAGATTGGTAGGAACCAGAGCAATTTCCTTGGCCCGAACAAAACATACAAGTTGCGCCGCCAGCCGAGGTCAAAGGCATTGGGGAGCTTTTCTGAGTCTTGCTCATCGAGGTATTCTTGATACCTATCTCCAGCCCGCTGACGCTCGAGGTCCTCATATGTCCTATACCGGGGTTCCGCAGGAGGCGTGGCGCCCCCTTCAGGCCGAGTCACGCCCGGTAGAGCGTTGGTGTATATATCGCGCAGCTGTTGTCCGTAGATTGGCGGCTCATGGGAGCGGTGTTGTGCAATGTGTTGGTGCTGCATCGCGCGCCGAACGGGCGACAGATACCTGGTCTTTTCAAGGCACTCAATGGTGGTTTGCCCACGACTCGCGAGCATGATGTGCCAGCCAGTGAAGAATGCAAGAACAAGCCCAATCATTCCTGAAATAACAGCAAGCATCATGTAATTTATGGGAGTTAAGTTATCCTCGTACTGTCCATCACGCAATATCTCTGTCCACACCCAGGTTGCGCTCACTCCAAAGCAGACGAAGCAGAAGATTGTCGTGTAGGAGAGGAAAAGTAGGAACGCCTTGTAGTTCCTTAGCCCAACGCAAGCTGCGAGCCAGGGGCAGTGGTGGTCCATCTTGAGTACGCAGCGGTTGCAAGTCGAGCAGTGATGGGCGCGGTCGGGCTTCCGTGCCTGACACTTCTTACAGAAGCGAAGCTCACCCGTTGATTTGACGGTGAAGGAGGTGGCAGCAGGGGCTGCTTGGGTGGGAAGTGAGGAATAGCCATTATGGAGGTCGGTAGTCGATCCCGGAGAAGTGAAGACGGCGGTGGTATAGGACCAGTTGAGAAGGATGTAGAGGGCGATACCGAGAAATGAGGTTCCCGACCCTGTCGAGCGTCAGCAATTAAACCCTTTGTTGTTGAGAGGGTCCCAAGAACCAACCTATCCAGGCACTCTGGGAGGGATTGAAACCTATCGTGGCCTCAACCCATACTGCCCAAGTGGTAATGCTGTAGACAAAGGCCAAGGGAAAGTAGGTGAAGGTCAAGCAGCAATACCGCTCGCACTTCCGGATCATTTTGCGAACGCCCGCCATGTTTAAGAGAGATAGTGGGCTCGTGGGTGGTGCTGAGGTTTCGTCCATCACATCTTGTTACCACAAGCACTACCGCATGGCATAATGAGGATATTTGAACGAGGGCTTGTTGATTGGGCGTGGAGTTGAGGCGGCAGCCACGACGTATGGTAAGCCTCAGGAGGCGCAGCCTTACCCTGACTGACTGACCTCGGTGGATCGTTCTTCCCGAACCCCCGACGCCCACTGGTGACGAGGCTACCATATCACGATTACGATTACAACGACGACGGCGACGATGATGATGATAGACAATGATAAACGGCTCTTTGCCCTACAATCCGAGAATCGCGGGCTTTCCCACGTTGGTGATTGACGAGAAAACGTCTTTCCACCCGTCCGATTGATTACAGGGCCTCTTGTTGATGTGGACTAAGCCTGCCTTTGAACACCAGACTAAGTAGTTCCAACTTTGAGCCTCCTCCCAATGTCTTATCGACGTTGAAATCCCGTCATGAGCTTTCGTGTAGTAGCAGCGGGATATACCAGTGTTATACCAGTGTTAGTTCACACGCATCTTGCCCCATGTCATGTCTTTGGAAAGCTATTCTATCAGAAGGTGTAGAACTCCACTGCTTTGCCCAGCCTTCATTCTCTCTGTGTTAACAGTTACGTGAACTATATATTAGTTCACGTAACTGTTAACACTCTGAACTTCTTCCATGCTCTGAACTTCTTTTAACACACGACCTATCGTAAACGGCTCTGACACTTTGGCGCTGCGGTTGATGTACTGTATAACAAATGAATTTAAGGTGCAACGAGCGCTGCTCCTTGGGCGCCGACTGATATCGAGCAACGCCTGTGGCAAGCCTGAGGCAAGAGAGACATGGAAGCTTGACACCGAATTCATTCAGGCTTACGACAATTTCTTTGTCCTGGTTGGCCTATTATCCCATGTGAACTTGTGCCATAAACAGGCGAATGTCACGTCGTCGCGCTTAGTTGCAACCTGTTTGACCTCAGTTACTCCAAGCATCTTCCTTATCAAAACACATCACCTACAATCTGTTTTTATCGTCACCTTCTTCACCTTCTTCACCTTCTTCACCTTCTTCATCTTCTACACCTTCTACGCTGCTTCAAATTCCCAATCTACCTTTCTTTCTCTTCACATATTCCTTTCTACGTTGTCACGATATTGGCCTTCTGCACCCGCACTCAACCTCTATATATCATCACAACTACCCCAACCGTCTTCCTTGTCACAATATTCTGCACCATACTCACCCTCTACACCACCACAACTGCCCCGATCATCTTCTTCTCAATATTCTACTGCTATGGCGACTCCTGCACAACAAACCGAGGTCTGCGTTCAATGCGATCAGGAGTTTGACGATTGGCAAGCCTATATCAGACACATGATCGTGAGCGGTAATCATCCACACGCTTGTGCTACTTGTGGGCAAGAATTTCAGTCTGAGGAGGGTAAACAGACCCATCAACGCCAGGTTTGGACCTCCCCAGCTCCTCTATAACCATACTGACAGCTTCAGGCGCATCCACCCGACCAGAGTCTGATCTGCAGCGGCTGCCACAAGGAATTCACTCGATGCGGGAGTTTAGTACATCATGTTGAGATCGATGGATGTCCCGTGTTTCGCAAACTGGCCTTCGAGAAGATCCGAGATGCAAATGATGACTATTACAAGAAGATGGGCTTACCCAAGAAGCGAAATACCGCCACGACTACTGATGTCATTGACAAAGCTCACACTGCTAATGCAAGTTGTGTTCCGTCGGAAGTCCTCGAAGCTTCTCCAGCTCCTGCAGGCACAGCTCGATCTGAAGTTGGCAAAGTTTCCGCTGGTCCCGCACGCCGAGTACAGTCTGAAGTTGATAACGTTTCCGCTGGTCCCGCAAGTCATGTTACGCCGAGGGACATCATGACCGATTTCGAAACCCCATGCAAGGAGGCCGAGTACGAAGAATTCAAGAGAAACTTCCCGGCTTTGAAGATTCAAAGGCGTGGCGTGGGCTCAACGGATAGCGTTGTCACCCCTATGAGACCTACAGGCGTGAATTCTCCCACGAAAGGCAAAGCCGAAGACGATTTGGTAGAGATGTCACCGAATAGAAATGTTCCCAAGCACAACTGGCCCAGCCTCGCCAGACTGAAACAATTCAACATTGCAGCCGGAGGCGCTGAGAATATGCCATGGGAGAAAGAAGCACCAAAGATTTCCCCACCACTAGCGCGTTCTTCGAAGTTTTCAGGCACTATTCCCCATCACTCCAGCGCATCAAAACAGCCATCCAACCTTCGATCCCCGATGCTTACACATGCCGAACCTGACCTTGGCGCACCGTCAAAGCCCTCAAATATTCTGCAGCCTGTTCAAGAACTCAAGCTGGGCGAGCAACAATTAACAGTTCAAGCTATTGAGTCGACCGCTGAGGAAACAGCCCCTACATATTACCATCAGTACGATCCGGACCGGCCTGGTTTCAATTTGGAACAGTATCGGAATCCCTACAGCAAAAAGTACAACTGTGCTTTCGCTGGTTGCTCGTAAGTAGCCACATTGCCACTCACTATTTCTTAAATACTAATACCTGTGTCCAGAAAGCTCCTCAACTCAAGCCAAGCGCTTCATATGCATCTAAAATCCAACGCCCACCTTACCGACCTCTGCTTGTGCCCATTCTGCTTTAAGCAGTTCCATAGCGGCTCCGCCATAACGCAGCACCTGGAATCGCAGACCAACCGCTGTAACGCCCGAGATGATCGCCGCTTCAGTCAGATTATGGACCAGGTTGCCGCGGGTATGATCAATACAGCGGGAACCCATGCCGACAACACCCACCGCTATTACACGGCGCAGATCGTGCCAAAGCTTCAGCTTGATACAGTTCACGAGGCTAAAGGAGAGGTTGTTGTTAACGCTGTTAACGACCCTGAGTATCGGTTAGCCAGAACCCGAGAACGCGAACAAAAGCTGAAGGAAGAGAAAGCTCGGATCGAAGCATTGAAGAATGACGAGTGGGATGAGTGAACGGGAGACGTCGCCTGTGCCATGAAACAGGACTTACGCTGCTGTTATGCCAGAAACCTGATCTTGTCGTGCTGGTTTTGCCTCCTGATTTGAGGGTGACCGCCTAGAGGTATTATGGGTTGCCATAGTGTTTGGCGCCTTTGATGTTGTTCGCTCACTCTAGGCGCCTGGTATTGCACTCCGCTGCCAGCATCCGCATCTATGATTGTCCCGACGTTGGTGCTTCTTTAAATTGTGCTCAGTCGAGAATTATGCTGGGCCATCGTGATGTTTGGCGCCCCTCCTTTTGTTGCTCACTCTAGGCTCCTGACATTGCTTCTTCGTGTTATGGAGTTTCGAAAACTGGGATGATGCCACAAGGGGACATTAAGAGGTGGATCGTCCTTAAATACATACATGAGAATTAATGGAACGTACTTATCTCTAAAGTGATTTCTACTATAAATTAAATTCGTGGTGACCCGAATCAACCTTTCCATGAAGGGTGAGGTATGTAGGGCTAATCGATACACTACACCGATTTATTCGAGTAAGCCCCGCCCTCATAGGATATTGTCACGAAATCACAGGCACGACATCAACAAACAAACAACACCGGGTGTCCATACCAATATTGTATTTTGGTATCTTTCGTGGAGTTCATGTCTCATCAAATTCATAGCAGATAGGCCGCTGAAACTAATAAGTAGGTCCGGCGTCACGCCCCTCATCACGAATGTGACGAAGCTGTGGCTCGTAATCTTTCTCCACCCACTCCCAAAATGTTCGCCAAGTCTGGTGTTGACCAGTTGCTATGCCCATGTTTGAAGACGCCGCTGGGATGGCATTGTGCAACAGAAGGCTAACACGTAGAACCCCTTTGCGCGCCTCATCTTGCTTCTCAATCTCTTGCTTCACAGCATTGTCCTTCAACTTCGTGGAAAGGATCGTCCGGAAGCATTCTGCAATAGAGTCGAGCCTCCTGGCAGTCTCCTCCGAATCCAATACAACCAGCTTCGTAAGCATCAAGTTGCATAAAGATCGGATGTCATGCTCGTCGTTTAACCCGGCGATGACCCTGTCATAAAAGTCCAGGATATTGATGCGCGAGAAGGAAGTCTCCATAAGTGCATAGAGAGTCTCGTATGCGCTTTTGCGGACTTCAAGGCCGTCATCCACCTTGTGCTTGAAGGGGCCCATCATGACCTCCCGAATCAGCTCTGGTTGTATGACGGATGCTCTCATCACCAGCGGCATCAATTGTCCCAGGCGCGGAAGAAGTATATCCGACTTGTTGTGCGCAGCAGAGTTGAGGGTTGTCAAAGCAAGTCTTCTATTCTCGAGTTCCGTATCGTTGAGCATTGTCGTGAGCATGTCAATCAGCGAGTGCTTCAAGATGGCATCGAAAGTTTCGTCGCTATCTGGCAAGGTGTAACGGATGGCCTGGATACCCATGGCACGGATGGACGGGGAAGGGTCTTGAAGGTAGGCCTACTGACGGTTAGTGTGAGAACTATGGGTTGATGACTTGTACATACCTGCAGCTTTGGCATGTACAGCTTCGGATCGATAATGGCCAATCTTCCAATGCACTCGGCGCCAACTGCTTTATTATCCTCTACCTGGGAGGCGAGAGTTAATCTATCCCAAATGGCCTTTGACTGAGAACCAATATCCATAGAATTGCTACCAGCCTCTAGCAAAATTTCCTTGATAGAATGGAGTAAAAGATACTGAGTATTCCCACCTTCGTTCATCTTGTTAAGGATGGCAGGCAAATACAACGCCGTATTTCCAGCCCCAGCACGTCCTAGAGCGACCGCTGCAGCCAGCGGAAGTTTGGTGTATTCAGATGTGAAATGAGACGTGAAAGTTTCGGGTTTCAACGGCGAATTTGGTCCCATACGAAGAGTTGTCTCGCCCAGGACTGACAGGGCCAGACTCTTTCGAGTATCGTCAGAGCTTCTATCAAGCTCTTGGATGAACATATCTATTGTGACGCCAACAGAAGGACCTCCATATACGAGAAGTGTGCCGATGACTTTGCCAACGACGGTTGGATCTCCATTTATGCTGACTTCTTGAAGGAGGCCGCTCATCAGAGGCTGACCGGAACCCTTGCCGGCAATATTCTTGACCAGTACGAGCAAAGCATCGAAAACGGCTCCTCCCAGAGGCGTCATTAGAAGGTCACAAAGAGCCTTGTTCAACCCAGGAGAGACGACAGTCTTGGCATCATCCTCAACCAAGTAGGCAGTGACAAGCAGAGCAGGACCTAATAGGTGGAGGTCGTTTGTGTTCAGCAGGGGCAAGAGAGATGCGACAAGGTCACTTATGGTGGAATGGTCCATGCTATTTCTCGCTGCTGGCGTGACGACCAGGTTTTTGAGGGCAGCTAAGCTTGAGCCACGAAGAGAGCGGTCGGCCTTTCGAAGCTGGACTGCTAGCTCCAAGGATACCTCCCGGACCCAATCCGGCTTCAACTGATCCTTGCCAGTGCTCAAGGCAGCAACAGTGTCGATGGCACGCACCGATGCAATCCTGGTAGTCTCGTTCTTCAATCTATCCTTCAGCAGCTGTAAAGCCTCATTCCTATCATCCTGGGAGAGAAGCTTGGCACCCTCGCCACTGGTAGTGCGCGCAAGTAAGATACCGAGAGCGTGGATAGCGCGATATCGAACCTCCAAGTCAGCATCGTTGGAAGAAACGCGGTTTATGATGACATCGTAGAGATTCTGTATATCGGTTTGATGTTTGGCTCCGACCATGCGTGACCGAGGTGGCGTCAAAGCCTTTACGAGCTGCTCAACTGTCACGATAGCTTCTGCTGAAATCTTGTAGTATCGATCCTTGACGGCAGACACAACCCCCGGAACGATCTTTGGGAGGAAAGGCTGAAGGACGCTAGAAGAGTGTGTCTCGCAAAGGTCGCTTATGAGTTTGAGAGCAGAGACGCGCAGTGTGCTCACTGTTGCTGAAGCAGAGCCGGTAGTGATTACGCCAGAGGATGGCGCGGAAGAAGCACCCGTGCCCTTGATGGCATCAACTATGGGGTCGACGAGCTGAGCAAAGTACTCTGAAAGGCCACCATGCCGCACGGACACGAGGTTCGCGAGAAGATTGATGACGGCTTGCTTCGTGGGAACAGAAGTGCCCTTGAGTTGCTTCGCCACTGCCTTGACTAAAGTTGGGCTGAGCCTGGACAGGTCTGCTCTCGGACCCGATGGAGGGAGAGGCTCGATGATGGGGGAAGTAAGCCCAGCTGACATTGTAATCAGAGGCCTGGTATCAAAGGTTATCGAGCTGTCCCGTCTACGCTTACGACTCGTCGGCTGGGACATGTAGTCCAGATTCCCTTCGTTAGCCTGCAGAGTGGCAGAGCCTTCTCCTGTCTTTCGAATAAGCAGAGCCGTGGCCGAAATGACCTCCAGTCGAACGTTCTGTTCCCTCTCATTAAACCGGCTAACCAGCACGGGTGCAACTTGCGAGTACAATGTCCCATCTTCGAGAAGGTCTCCACTAGCTCTCGTTCCGATCAGAGTGTATAGAACCTTGGAGGCGCAACGCCGCACTTTCCAGCTTGCATCGTCATCGTCGTCGTCAAATCCGGCATCACCATCTTCGAAATCATCGTCGCCGCCAATGCTGTCATCGTCATCGTTGGACTGTGTTCCGCCCATCTCCTCATCATCCTCATCGTCATCGACATAATTGGGGTCGTATTTGAGGAAGCGGATTGCTGAAAAAATTATCTCTTCAGTGTACAATCGCATCTCGTTGCCACAAGAGGAGATGAATGCCTCGAGAGCCACAAGCGCGGCCTCCCTCACATCGTCAACTTCTGGGTTTTGCTCACCATCTTCAGCTGCATCCTCGACTTGGTCATCGAGCTCTTGCTGGCTCAGCGCAGACAGGACGAATGGAGCAATACCCTTCAGGTAAGGGCCGAAGCGCAGGGGAATTGATCGAGCCATCGAGCCGAGAATGGTGATGTATAGTCGTCGCTGGATGAGAGTTATGCGGTCATTGCTGAAGCTCTCAACAAGATGTTGAATGAAGGCGCTGAGAGAGCTGTCCGAAAGGTAAACCGCCAGAATAGAAATGGCCACGACGGCCCGTTTTTTGACGACCGAGCTGGCCTTTGCATTCTCGATTATTCCAACGATTGCTTCTTGCAATGCCGCAACTTCAGGTTGCTGCAACATGGGACCAAAGCACCTGACAACTTCGATCAAGACGTCTACTGCCTCAGCGTCCACCTCCTTATTGGAGCCGATCTGTAGCATCCCAGGCGGCGATGGCTGGTTCGAACGCGCGGATGGGGTAACAACAAGATGTCCAATCAGCCTGGGGATCAGAACACGGCTCATTGCAGTATATGCTTCAATGACTTCTTTTGTAGGAGCCACACCCCGGACTGGGCGAGGGAGGGTAATGACGACCATGCGGAGGGCAGTGGCTGGGATAGAGTTGTCGACGGAATTCTCAGTGGTGAGGTTGGAGAGCTTCTCGATAAGAGGTGCCAGCATCGTGTTTGGGATTTTTGTGACGAGGGGAGCAAGGCTGCCAATAGTGTTAGGATGTAAATGGGTGTTTGGGGTGGGGGGGGGATCTCACCATTTGATAGCCAGGTTCTGGACTTCGCCATTCTGGTCGTCTAACGTATTGATGATGCCGTCTACTGCTCTGGCGGCAGTGTTATAGTCGTTGTATAGGAAATCTGGGCGACCTATGGTGAGGACTTGGAATAGATCGTTCAGCGACATGTATCGATAATCCGGGTCCGGATCTTGGAGCTTGGGCAACAACGCTGCCACGGTCTGTGCATTTGGGTTTGCGGGAATAGTGCTCGACATGATGGTAGCTTGTCTTGAGGCTACAGGGACTTGTAGAGCTTGTATGGAGCTTGTCTTGAGGCTGTTATGTTACAGCTGTTGAAGTTGGAGCTGTGAACGAGTGGTTGCTTCGCCAAACTTCGCATTGGTCTGTAAGGGACCAACGCAATCGTACACCGTGAACAAACTCACACTCAGTAGTGTTTGTGTTCACGAGTAGGTCTGGTGAAATCTAACCAGATCCTGAGCGACACCAAGGTGAAGAAGTGAGGTTAAAATGTAGAAAAAGGTGTAGAGGGGGGGATATGGTAGGAGAACGAAGACCCCCGAAGCATGTCGTAGTGGGGGGAAATCGGCGGCGGTCAGGAACTACAATATTCCGATGCCGTGCCCGGTTATGTTCCCTCCTCCCGACCTCTTTCTTCCTCACAGCTCAATCGAGTCCACGACGTGCACAAATCCAGTAAAGTCCGTCTGAACTTGCATGTGACAATCAATTGATACTGATATCTACTTTAGGTACTTGTTAATAGCTCAATTGCTTCAATCTCTCTGACAATGTCTTTCGCAAGATCCGCCTTTGGAGCTCTTCGCTCCGCACGCCTGTCCGTCGGTAGCGCAAGAGCCCAATTGGTGCGCCACTCGGCCAGACGCGGATACTCCAGTGGCCATGGGCCAGAGGCTAGCAGTGACCTGCCATGGTAAGTTGCTCGCTGTACAATTGGAGCTTCATGGGGAATGGCAGGCTGACAAAATTTGATCACAGGGCTGCCGGAGCTGTCACCGTCACCGTCCCTGGTTGCTGGTACCTTCTCAAGGAATCTCCCGCAGAAGCTCACCACCTTCACGTTCCCCACAAGATAGAGGCACACGCGGAGCCTGAGGCTGAGGCTGAGGAGGAGGTCAAGGAGGAGGAGGTCAAGGAGGAGGAGGTCAAGGAGGAGGAGGTCAAGGAGGAGGAGGTCAAGGAGGAGGAGGTCAAGGAGGAGGAGGTCAAGGAGGAGGAGGTCAAGGAGGAGGAGGTCAAGGAGGAGGAGGTCAAGGAGGAGGAGCCAAAGGCAGAGGTCAAGGCTTCCGCCACCGACAACGAGGAGGAGAAGCCGAGCGCCGATGCTTCCAAGTCGGAGGACGAGGGAAAGGATACTACTGAGGTTACCGAGAAGGTATTTATAGATCCAGATATTGTCTAATATTTACTAACCTATATAGCTAACTACGGACGCCAAGCATTCCACGGATGTTGGCGGAGACTCCGATGTCAGCCAGAAGGCCGAAGGAACCCCAGAGACATCGAAGTCCAAGGATACCGTCGATGTGTCCAAGCCTTCGAATTAATCGTCTCGTCAGGTTGCCGTGGCTCATAGATAAAGTTGGCCATCCTCCAGAAGCAAGGAGACCGAGTGGGGGCATTGAAGGTTTGTGGCATTGTCACTTGGCGGCGGTCTATTCCTTGTACATACTGTATAACTCATATTTGAATCATGTGTGCTGGAAAGCGGGTGGCCAACAAAGATGCGCTTGAAGTTCTGTTTCTCTCTCACATGCTTTGTCAAATTCGTGATACTTGCGTTGATGAGTTTAAGGGACCGTCAGAAGCGCTGGTAGAGCTCTATCCATATACATATGAGCACGACTGGTTTACTTATCTCCCTCGCACTTGCCTTCTAATATTTTCTACCTCCATCGCAGCTTCCGTTCATATCCAACACCATCCTTCCTCCATAGTTGTGACGGGCAGAATAGCCGCTGTCGTGGACTATTCTCCTTGCTACGAACTACAATGCATCAACATATTATATATGCTGCTCGTTGCTTAGTGCTTCAAAAGCGATATCTTTATTATTCTATGGTAGTTGAAAATCAAACAACTTGCCAGCACGAGTACCAGTCCTGTTCTCGTTAGGCTGAAGAGATGGACAACTTCTTGTCTCCCATTACCCACCGCCCGTCACTATCATACCCGCTCAATGCTATAAACCCTGACGCTGCGACTGGGCCCTACTTTGACCGCCCGCGATACTTCCAACAGGTGTCAAGCTGGGGGAATACAGCCTATAATGGGTTTACTCGCCGCAAATCTGGTCCTTGGATAACAAAGCTCTTCCGGCCACGGAATCACGACATCACCACACTGTGCACAGGCTCCTGTATTCCATGTGTTCTTTACGGCAAGACTCAATACCGGCTCAAGCAGATGGCCGAAGGGGAAGACCCTCTCGATTTGTCACGGCGACACATTTGTAATGGGCCGTGCTGGATGTTTGGGATGATAATGTGCTGCGTCGGATTTGATTGTGAGTATCCTGTCTGAGCAGCTGGCTTTGGAAGTACTGATGGTATCATCAGGGTTTATAGTGATGCTACAGCACTCTCGTATCCGAGCTACGTATAATATCGATGGTACGGCTGGTGGGGACTGCGTCCAATCTTTGTTTTGTTCGAGATGCACTCTCATGCAGGATGAGTGGGAGATTGTTGCCCGCGAGGAGAGGATTCTTTTGGAACGAAGGGAAACCGAAATCACCAAACAGCCCGGCCAACAACAGCAGATGAGATATTCCACATCGAACTTGTTTGAGGAGGTGCCAGAAGTTTTCAGGCCAGTGACTGTAAGTGGCCATAAGATTGAAACAGTACATCGAGTTTCTTCTCCCAACCCTGGAGAGCAAGAAACGAATGTCAACGAGCCTCTTCTACAAGGTGTCGGCCACCAAGAACATCCGCAAAACTCAAGTGAAGGTGCAGCTTCCCACAATAAGCCTCGACAACCAGGCTACGCTCCCCTCAAATTGGCAGTGAGGAAATCATCGCCCATAGGTTCTGCCTTGAATCCAATCACTAGGAGGAGCAGCTTGGCAGATCTCGGGGGAAGGTCGAGCGACTCAAAACTCTCTCAAAGGAGTGCCACAAACCCAGCCCGTCCGAATGCTCTAGTTTCACCAATTAGATACCCATCGCCTAATTTCTTGAGCTACAGGTCGAAAGAAAAGGAAATCGACGGAATACTGGAGATGCCAGCGGGGTTTGGCACAATAAAAGAAGAAGCAACGAGTGAGGATTTTAGTCCATCTATCCGTTCGGATGTTGGGGTAAAGTCTTTCGGCTTGGGATCCATATACTCGGGCTCTTCCCTTCGTCAAGGACGCAGTGACACCAGGGCCGACGAACCTGTCAGTGTTTATTATGGGTACGAGGATAGGCCGCAACATCATCGGCTTTCAGACTTTTCCCGGTCTCGTCCATTGACGCCGGAGCTCAATGGCACTCAGGTGGCTAGATTGGACGGTGTTGCAGGAGGGCTTGATAGTGTCGATGAAGATGATGGAAATGCGGAGGACTGCAACTGTGGTTTGAATACTCGACAGGCAGATATTGGGGAATGTGGAGATCAGATGCATGGCCAGGAATTATTTGCTCAATTATCAACACCAACACCGGTACTTCGGCGCTTTTCCATTAGCCCCTCAGAGCATGACAGCTGCAATTCCCAGGTGCCAAATTCTACTTCGGAAATAACACATCAAGATGATGGCGTGAAGGCCCCCAGGCCCCTCGGACGAGCTGAGTCTTTGATAAGATACCTGGTTGACGTTGATAAGTTTTTGAATATTCCGACAGGATGGGCCAAAGATTCATCCAATATTCCGAGAGGACAGTCCACCGACCCGTCAAATGACTCGTTCAAGAGTATCATAGAGGTCTCGAGAGGTTCGGATGTTGTGAAAGAAGATGTAGTCGAGGACTGTTTGCCAAAGGGTTGCACTGATCTGTCCGACAACAGTACAGGTACTCTTGAAGGTGCCAACAGTCCTATCGTTGAGGATATCATGGCTCCCGAGACTGCATACAGTTTGCAACGCGGCGAATCTTCTGCCACCGAGTTTGCTGGCTCCACCTCGAAAACCCTCGATAGCATAGCTGATGATTGGATCGAAGTAAGCTCCCCAGAGACCTTTCCAGCCAGCCTTGGATCGGCCAACTCAAGGGCTGCTGGACAATCTACGCCTGATAAGGATTTGCTGTCATCAGAATGCGACTTCATCTCCGCAGAGCAGCACATGTCGGATGTATACCATGTTACACATGAGACCATGGACGAGGGTCATGTGTTAGTATCGTTGACACCTGAAATTGAAACGGAAGCTGGGAATTCTCATGACCAGGAAAGCTGTAGCATACCAGACGCCGCAGCCGCCGAAACCAAGGCAAAATCCGACGAGCAAACAGCCGCCGAAACTACGACGCAGTCCTACCAACCAACGACAGCCGCCAGCCCTTCGAATACCAAAGTGGAAGACCAAACCTCCAAGGTCTCTACTTCGCAGCCGACTGACAAATTTGAAAATCCAATGGGGATGAGAAAAAGGTCAAAGAAATCTCGGAATAGAAGGAACCGAAAAATACGTGTCGCGTCAGAAGCAGCAAAGGCTAAGCCGTAGGTTGCGAGTATAATTGCACCCGAGAAAGAGGCATCGATGAGAAGAAAACTTTGGCAAGCTAGATGCGGGTTTCATTCTTTATCAATGCACACTGATTGCAAGACAATGAAACTGTTTCATTGTCACAAATCTCAGTGAGAGAATACATACTGTTTTATTGAAACATACTGATGTATTCTCTCGTTGAGATTTGTGATTACTGTTACATCCCAACGGACCATGCAATAACCTGAGCTATCCCCTATATTGCTGGACTAGCTAAAACTCCATTGACAATGCACCCTTGCTCGCCATAGAATACAGAAAAACGTTATCCAGAGAGAGACGCGTTTTACATCCATCCCCGTGACTTACTATTTTTGTCAACTATTTCCAGAGCATCCACAGGGCCACAATAAAGCCAGTCAGCCATAAATCATGCTCCTCGTTCCTCATCCCTTCGTATATCGGGTCGTTTCAGCCATGATGAAGCATTTCACGCATCCAATCGTCTCTTCACCGGTACTAGGCCATTCAACCGACTGATTGGTAGATGAGGAGTGGCTCGCCGATATTCTCAATTTCGGGAATGGTGCACTTCAGATCGAATGCCTTGGAAAGAACTATTTTGAAGATCTATGCATCAATTAGCGCTGATCACCGTGACGTGTCAAGGTGGACCTACCTTCTGAACATTGATGCTGTGGCTTGTGCTGCTGAAGATGAGACTTGCACGCATTGCCTTTGCGAAACGACGGGCCTGTCTGCGGTTAGATAGGGCAAATATATGCATCAGAGGAAACAAACCTGGTTAGAGATCTCCTCTTGGTCTTCTCTGGGGAAGTTGACGAAGTGGTCGTACTTTGTTCCCACCAAGAACGGAATTGCCGTCTTGTTAAAGCCTCGACCCTGGCGATACCATTCTTTGATGCTGTTCAGCGTGCTCTTCCTTGTCAAGTCGAACATGAACAAAATTGCCACGGCGTCGTTACACACGAGGGGCAGCATGTTTACGAACTCTCGTTGGCCTCCCAAATCCCAAATCGAGAACGTAATCTCTGTGTTGCGGATTGAAATCGTCTTCTCCATAAAGTTCACACCCAGCGTCTGAATGTAGTCCTCGTCCCAGGAGCCTTCGACATACTTCACCATGAGGGAGGTCTTGCCAATCTGCGCATCCCCAACCATTCCGACCTTGATCACCACGCTGTTCTTGTTCCGGCCCGTATCTGTCGCAGCGGTAGATGAACCGCGAGAGTTTTGTTCCTGGTAGGTGGTTCCCATATTCCCATATCGGTCACCCCCGCCCGAGAGGCCAGAAGTAGGGCGCGGGATGGTGTTTGCCGGGGCCTGTGGAGCAGGGAAGCGGGGTTCGCCAGGGTCGGCATTCATTTGCTGTTCATAGAGCTGTTGTTGAGGCTGGTAAGATGACTGGAATGCCGAAGGGTCGGATTGAGATTGTTGATGGCGAAATTCGTGGCCCGAAGGGTCAGGCTGGGATTGTTGGTGTCGAACATCATGGCTGGACTGTGGTGTTGATGTCTGTGATTGCTCGAGACCCCCCATGGAGTCGTCTTGCTGCTCGGGCTGTTGAGGTTCCCGAGCCGTTTGGTAGAGATCGTGGCCCATTGTGTCAACGGCGTCGCAATATTGAGCTGGCAACCCAGCAGAGAGACTTGATGAATCCAGATTGACGGGCGAGTGGTTGGAGTGTGATTGGGTGTTGTTCCACAGGGTCTTAGGGTTACCACCGAAGTGTTAGGGGCTCTATTCGGAGACCATGAGGATGATGAGGTGAGATGTTGGGTGACGAGTGATTTGGCAGTTGTTACGCCTCGTCTTATTGACAGTCGCGGTACAAACGCCTGGCCCAATCCTGTTCCTGTTACGCGGAAGTTCAGCTGGCAAGGTAAACGCGATACACGCGACACACGTGCATATTAAAGTGTTCCCCCTTTGGTACTTTCGCGATCAGCCATCGGGTTCTTGTTTAGGGCCTACTCGCGTCATACTTGGTCGGCAAAAGCCAATTAGACGCGCCAATCCGCCCCGTCGGGGTTGAACTCCGACATTGGCGATATATTTCATGGAATAGTCGCCTTTTATATACACAATCCCCGCATACAATAAAACATCACTCTGATCAATTGATCTTTACTTTTTGCTCGACGTTTCACTCATTTTGCCGCCACATCGTCGTCATCGCAACGTTGTAGTTTTTCATACGCATCCAAAATGGCTTCAATAATGAGATCCCTCCGCCCAGTGGCCTCGAGGTTTGCTGCTCGCACCAGCTCCGGAGTTCGCACCCAGAACTTTGCAGTCCGCTCATTCTCCGCACGAAGCGCTGGTTAGTTATTCCCTATAGTCGGTCGATTGAAGCTCACGATTCTAGCACCTGCAAAGAAGTTCACTACCGAGCACGAATGGGTTGATGTGTCGGAGGATGGAAAGACTGGAACCTTGGGAATCTCCGATTACGCAGCGCACGCCCTTGGCGATGTAGTCTACGTTGAGCTCCCAACTCTTCCAATGGAGGTTGAGGCCGGCGATACCATCGGAGCCGTCGAGTCGGTCAAGTCTGCTTCGGACATCAACTCCCCGATCACATGCACAATCACAGAGGTCAACAACATTTTGGAGGAGAAGCCAGGAACCATCAACAACGCACCAGAGGATACTGGCGCCGGCGGCGGATGGATTGCAAAGGTTGAGATTGGAGAGCAGGGACTTAAGGATTTGGAGGGGCTGATGGATGCGGCTGCATACAAGAAGTTTTCGGCTTCGGAATAAATAGGGAGATGGCTTGGGTAGATCAGTGTATATCTGTTGGACAGTCGACAATACAAAAGAGTTTTTGGCTTTAGCATTGGGTTGATTTATTCATTAGAAGTGTGTGACGTCTTGGTGACATTGAGGCATAAGCTCTGTCTGTAACGCTATGTATCTACAGGTAACCATCAACAACGCACCAGAGGCGGTCTCGCACACCCGGCAATCAGTTCCTGAGAAGCTACCTCCTTTGCAATGACCGGTCTATGCAGCCGGCCCATCCACGACCACATCTTTGGTGAGGTTGATTGCCTGCAAAATCTTGGACGCACCCTTGGCAATCAGATCCTGAGCCACAGCCAAGCCAAACTCCTCGGCCTCCTTCACCGTAAGGACCTCGGCGAGCGTCTCCGCTTCTACGGCCTCCGTCCCATCCAAGCTAACAACAATTGACTTCATCAGCAGCTTGCCCTCCTCAATCCATTCAGTCTCCACGCCTATTGGTACGCTGCAACCACCTTCCAAGGTTCTCAGCAAGCTTCTTTCAGCCAGGCATGCCAGCAGAGCATCGTTATCTATTAACTTCGTGAGAAGCGACTGAGTCTTTTCGTCGTCACTTCGGATCTCAATCCCCAGGGCACCCTGTCCGACGGCATGAAGAATTCCTCCTCCCGGGGTCTTCGAATCGAGATGCTGCGTGATTCTATCGGCGAGGCCAACCCGCTCCAACCCTGCCGCCGCCAAAATCAAACAGGCGTATTCGCCATCTTCGGCGTCGAGTTTGTCCAGTCTCGTCCCCAAGTTACCCCTCACGTCTTTGAATTTTAAACTTGGGAATTTCCTCGCAATCTGTGCGCTTCTCCTCACGCTGCTCGTCCCCACGACGGATCCAGCGGGAAGTTCGGCAATGCTCTTGTATGGGAGGCTTGGCTTCATGACCACCACATCTCGTGCATTTTCGCGGCTCGTGATGGCGCCGATCTTGCACTGTGGTGGAAGCTGGGTCGGCATATCTTTCAGGCTGTGCACGATGAGATCCAGCGAGCCGTCGAGGAGCCCATGTTCAAGCTCAAACGTCCAGAGGGATTTCGCGCCAAAACTGTGAAGCGGAGTTACTTGGTTCTTGTCACCCATTGTTGCCATGGCGTGAATCTTGAACTCGGTCTCGGGGTAGGCGGCTTTGAGGGCATCGTGCACAATCTGGGCTTGTATGAGCGCGAGCTTCGACCTTCGGGTGCCAATGTTGACCGTGTTGGTTGTGGGCATCGTGATGGTGGGGTCGAGTGGGGGGCGGGAGGAGGTAGACGGGAGCTGCTCGTGAGTTGCCATGATGTCGATTGTTTGCGTGGATGGGGAGTATGGATTCGTGGATGTGTTTTGGAAGTGTTCTGGATTCTATGTGGCAACCCCACGTCCTAAATATTACTTCCCCGCTAACAGCTTAGTAAGCATAACCCCGGGTTTTGTGGACGGTACCACGTGACATAGCCTTAGTTTATGTATTTCGCGTAGTATTCAGGATCTTCGGATATCATCAATATTAACATCAGAAAGAGGGACATTGTTATTTGAACTATTCTTTTTCCTCGCGACGTTACACAATTGTCACCGTCGTATTGTTACTGGCAAATCGTTGCTCTGTCATGCCAGTATTGATACTGGCAAATGGTTGCTCTGTCATCGTCGTATTGATACTGGCAAATCGTTGCTCCGTTGTCAGGTTGTGAGTTCAGAGTTCTAGTACATACCCATATTACATAACGCCCCTACAATCCTGCCCCTATACCCCCTAACTAGCCATTTAGAGTAGACTGTTTCTATAACTATACCTGTATAACCTCTATTTCCTAAAGCTTTTAAGTAAGCAGGGTTAGAAAATCAATTATAATCACGAGTATTGTCGAGCGGCGCCGTGGGCGCCGGTTTGTAAGCAGCCTGCCGTGAAGCCACGAAAGCACGTGATTGGGCATTGGTCACGTGACACCAACGCGTCAAACTATGTGGAAATATTCGCATCAAACGCGAATATTTCCACATAGTGTAGTGCATGCATTACTAAGCTGCAGCGCATAGACTACTAATGCGGTCCACTATAGCATCTACTGAATACAAAAGGAATTGTCACCAGCATTGCCAATGTTTCTAATAATGCATAGAGTTTGCAAGGTAATGACTGTCGGTTGGCGACTGCTTTCTATTGAACTTCATAACGGTACTAGTTCCTTCTTGATCAGCAGCCTCCATAAGGGTAAAGCTAAATACATAATAAAACAGCTGTGACTCTGATAACTTCAAAAGAAGGTCGAGGCTGTGATCTGCCCTAACTTCTCTTCAACAAGACTTCAGCCGATAATCCGGTACTCCGTCTGCGGCGAGTCGAGCTCTGACCTCCTCGGCGTCTTACCAACAGGCGGGTCGGAGGCGAGAACGACGCGAGTATACGGCTCCCCGGACGGCCGGTAGAGCGGGACCTTGACGTCACAAGGGGCTAATTTGCCCGTATGACAAAGGTTATAATAGTCGATGAACTGTTGGCATCCCAGGATGGGCTCCACACATTGGGCGATAGTGTACTTGCTGTTACAGTCGAGTCTCAATTGTTTCACGCATAGCCCAGTATAATCGATATAGAAAGCCCAGGTCTCAATGCGGCAGCGGTATCCAGGCAGGCACGTTTCCTGGTAGGAAACCGTTTTGGTGAACGTTCCGCCGTTGGTCCTGGTGTCGGAATATGACGCCGAGACCTCGGCACCAACGCCTTTTCCCTCTGCAGAAAGCTTTGCGCCAATGGTCCAACCGACAGTCCGGGATTTTATGATCGCTGTCGAGTTTGTCGCAGTCAGTATGCTGTTGGCTGGGTTAAAGTTGTCCATATTTGCGTCCTCATTGACGGTGTATTTGACGGTTGGTTTTCCCGATGACAGCAAATAGCGCTCAAATTTCCCAATTTTGGGGCACTTTCCCCAGTTCTCCAGGCAGGTTGATTCCCAGCGCCTTGGTGATTCAAAGTACGGCGTGTGCTCCAAGTCGATTTTGAAGTTGTGTTCGATCTGTGACATGATTTGCATAACATCATTGGCGTACTCTGATCCGATGCTATAAGCGCGCGCAGCGAAGAGGGAGACGGAAACCAGTACTACGGGAATCATTTTGGTTGGGAGGAGGAAAGAGTTATGAGTGTATTGAACCTGAGTCGTGAGAGCTTAGAGAGGAGGAAGTGACGACGTCTTTATATACCCGGCAACGCTACGTTTTCGGACTTGTTGAAATACCTCGTCAGGGTTGGGTATTGTGAGCCTATAGCTGGTCTTGGTTCCTGCCATATCCAAACAGGAGTTGGTGAGCCAAGACTCGGCGTTCATGGAGCCAGGTGGAATACGCCTCATTTACATAATATCTAATCAAATTCGGTATCACGAAGGACAGACCATGATTTAGCGACATCTGTAAAAGAAAAAGAAAAAGAAAAAAAAAAGAAAAAGAAAAAGAAAAAGAAAAAGAAAAAGAAAGTACGTCTGTAAACACTGATTCCATGCTAGATAACGTGCTACAGATGATTGGCTACGAGATGTTGAAGCATTTTGACAGCCCATCTCTCTGAATTAGTGTACGTGAACTTTACTAGGACTACCTAATTTTTGTATGAGGTATGGTTACAGTAATCCACTGTAACGCGTAAGCCCAGGGTCTCACGGGAGTCCAGGGAACCAGGTCAGAAGGCAGGAATTGAGATCGTATTGCAAGATTCAGAGTGGTCACTACATATTAGACATGATAACGTGCTACAGACGATTGGCTACGAGATGTTAAGGCATTTTGACAGCCCATCTCTCTGAATTAGTGTACGTGAACTTTACTAGGACTGCCTATTTTTGTATGAGGTATGGTTACAGTAATCCACTGTAACGCGTAAGCCCAGGGTCTCACGGGAGTCCAGGGAACCAGGTCAGAAGGCAGGAATTGAGATCGTATTGCAAGATTCAGAGTGGTCAATACATATTAGACATGAAATAAAAGATCATCAACATTGCGCTTGTGCTAAAATACCAGGGTCCATTGAGCACCTTTTTCAAGCCCTTCTCTGAAGCCTACCAATCCAACGATAGCTTCTCGTTGGATTGGATTCCGATTTTCTCCTCGGAATCGTTCGTGTCTCGCTCTCGGTTATGCTCATACGCAGTTGCTGTCGGATGTATCTTAACCGTTATATAGAGGGAAATACAACGTCCGTAATTTAGTTCATACTCGTCGGGTGGTCCCGCGTGGGCCTCAGGCACCAGCGGGGTTAACAACATTTTAGATTAAGTAGCATGATGGCCCGCGATCGACAGGGGTTAACCACCCTTAACTCCGTCCACAGCTCCCCACTTCCCCCCGCTGAAACGCAGCCCTCTGCCACTAGTGGCACTAGTGGCATATCGTTACCATTGAAATGCGACGATCTCGCGTTCCATCCACTAGTGGCCTGCCAAGCTTTGAACCTGCCAAGGCTGGGTTTGGCCCGTGCTCCCCCTGGCCCCCCGGCCGCTGAGCCACTCATCGATCCGTTTTGGGATCACTCGACCGGCAGAATGCTGAGCAGTACGCCCTTACACTCGTATCCGCTGCTGCCACCATGTAGATCTCGACGACCCTTCTTGTCTTCCCTATCTCAGCTGTTCGAGAAGGCCCATTAGGATGCTGCTCAAAATACAAGTTGTAGGGATAGCTAGGCAGAAGCCAGCCACATCGTCATGAGGCATATTTGCGATTGGCGAGGTCGTATTGCGTAGAGTCGATTGTGCAGGCTGAGCCTGAGTTGTTGTAATCTATAGATGGCTTGGTTGCGGAGGCTATGATGATACGATGCTAGGCTGAGAACGCTTGAGTGTATCCCTTTAGTATCCGGCGCTTGGCCAGGCAACAGCGTTCAACCTTTGTGCCAGTTGAGAAATCACGGATCATCTGGAGTCTGGCGCTTGCAGCTTTACTGGATTGCAGTTGGCGCGTGGCATTTATTCAACTTCTATCCATGTCTCCTCGACCATGATAAAGATCGGCAAGCTGCATTGGTTGTCGTCTATCAGGACTAAATAATCGTTGGTTCTCAAACCACCGCCTGGAGGCGGTTGGCAAAAGCGAACTGGGACGCGAAAGCGATTGTGGGACACTTCGGGAGCGGACTCGCGACGCGACACGACCGACCATGAACACGACTGACAACGTAACAATGCTGTAAATATATATAAGTTATAGAATTAAATAATTAAAAAAGATTTGGATCAATATTGTCAGGCAGTGATTGATCATCACAGCCACCGTCACTTGCATCGTGAATCATGTCGTAGTCCAAGCCTGCAAAGTTCACGTACCCACTCTCCTCGATGGCTAACAGTCGGTCTGCCTCCTCCTCCTCCTCACGTTTCTTCTGTGTAACGTCCGGGTCAATGATTTCTGTACGTAAGCCAATTGGTGGCTCCGTGTCTGGGTTACTTTTTTGAAATTCATGTAGGTCCTTTTTCCGTGTACGTTCTGCCTTCCGTGCATCGATGCCAGCACGGAGCTGCATCTTACGCTCAACGTTCACCATGCGTGTTCTCTCTCTTTTCTCCCGTGCTTCTTCTAAAAGTTGCTCCTTTACCTTCTTCTCATAAATCCTTTGCCGTGCATGTTCAACTGTAATAGCACCGCCTTTTTGAATAGATTTCCGACTTCTAACCTTCCGCTGTCGTTGCTCAGTCATAATAGTAGTAATTTGTACAAGCTCTGACTGGAACAGCTCAGCCTCTGTTAACTGAGTTTGGATTTCAGTATAAGAAGATGCCCACTTTTGCCGTGACGGTGAACTAAGGATCTTATCAAATGTTTGACTCCATGTTGAAAGATCATAACTTGCTTGAAATGCGCGTTGTGGTGTTTCTAAAACTTCTGGTTTTGCATATATAGCAACCTTCTCTTGAATCTTTTCATAGTTAGGTGGCCAAATACCTGCATCTCTAAAAGACTTGATACAGTTACCCTTTGTAAATGTCTGCTTACGGATAGTAGACAAGTCTCTAAAGAAAGATATAACATTATAATCTGTATCAAAATTCCGGATTGCTTGTTGAATTGCACGTCGGTGCCAATGTTTATATTGTGCAAACACAGTAACATCTAGCGGTTGTAGAATATGCGTAAGATGAGACGGAAACACATGTAAGTGTATATTGTGTTGATGTGCAAGTATTATAAACTCTGGAACTTCATGTGAGACATGAGAGTCCATTATTAACAATTTCGTTCTTATAGACGGTGTATGTTGAATAAAATGCTGTAGATATTCCATTGCAAGCTCAGAGTTTGTATATCCGGAATCGGATACTGCAACTTTCTCATCACCGTGTAGATTGTCATGGTACCAACTTTCCATGTGTAATTTTCCTTGTATAATAAGGAACGGTGGAAGTGCAATGCCAGCAGCTGAAATTGTCTCTATAACTGTAAGACTTTGTCTGTTCTCTGGAGCTTGTATATAAAGCTATAAATATTAGAATAATATAAAGTAAGATAAGTAGAAACAACTTACCTCCTTTACTGCAGATGGTACCAACACATGTTCACCGGTGCTCATTCCTACACGGAATCCAACTTCATCAAAGTTGTAGATATCACCTGCAGTAATATCTAGTTGATTACACACATCTTTAAATTCATAAAACCATTCTTTAATAGCTGATACTTCATGAGATGCAACCCGTGCTGCTTCAATTGGCCGGGTTTTTATTGTATGGAAGTTGTGTTGTTGTGTCTTAATCCATGTCTGGAACCACCGTTGTGATGGTGGTGCACGTGTTGGAGTTTCTGCTGCACGTAGTTGGCAGATGGCACTGAACACCATAGGCTTAGTTGCACCGTACCCATTTTCGTACGAGCGTTGGATGTATCTTTGTATAGCTGTAACTTGTACATCAGACAGTACTCTGTTCTGGCCTCCGCGTGGCACAGCGGTGCGTTGTGGTGATGCGCGTCGTTGTCGTAGTCGTATAGTCCGGAGCGTACTTGGGTTTACTCTGTACATCCGTGCTACTGTAGCACTCTTCTCTGTTGGGTTTTCATTTAAAAATTCAATGGCATTTAAAAGAGCTTCATTTTTATTTACTTCAACTACCGGCATAGTTGTGGTTGTAGTTGTGCTCGTTGTCGGTCATGTTCATGGTCGGTCGTGTCGCGTCGTGAGTCCGCTCCCGAAGTGTCCCACAATCGCTTTCGCGTCCCAGTTCGCTTTTGCCAACCGCCTCCAGGCGGTGGTTTGAGAACCAACGATTAACCAAATCACCAAATCTTGTAAATTGCACCTGTGAATAGCAGAGTGCAATACAGGGGGAGGATGAGCATCGTTGACTGCAGTTATTGTAGCTACATAATAGTTACAGCAGTAGAGAAGAACAATGCATTTGATCGGCGCCTTTCACAAACTTCTACGAATTATTGGAACTCAAAATGTGAACAGTCTGAGCGTAACTTGTTAGAATTGTCACACCGCAGTATAGGATAATATTACAAGAAGACCCTACTCTCGAATCCAAGATTGCCCCATGTCATATCCCACAGGTATCTATAATCCCATCTATTACCCAACATTCCCAAATTCTATAACCCACTCAAATTACGCAATAGAATTCATCACATCCCATCTCGACACTTTGGTCCACCACTATGAATCGTTCAAACGAAATGTCTCGCCAAGCGTCCCCTGGGTCTGTAACCCTTCGCATGATCCTCAGGTCCCTCATTCCCATAACCATACACATGCACCGGCAAGCTAGTCGTAGGTACTGGCGGCGTGGTATAATGGATAGCTGATGTGGAGATATTGTAGCTGGATGTGAAGGTGCTAGTTGTGATGGTGGAGTTGTAATTTCCTGGTGGTTTGCCGGGGCCGGGGATGAGCTACCCCTTATGACGCGCGATGCCGCAGGTGCGGCATCGATTTTGCGCGACGTGGTTGGTCGAGAATCGGCGAAAAGCGGGTCAGACTCTGCGGCATGTGTCTCTGTGGCATCGATTCTACACAATAGGTTATATGACGACATATGTGCTCCTCAGGCGTGCGAAACTCATGAAGTCACTCCTAAGTCGATAGCTATTGAGGTACAGAAGTTATTTAATGTTGAAGTTCTACGTGTTGGAGGTTTTAGTAGGGTGAGGGTACATAGGTACATAGGCCGAAAAACCGAAAATGCAATTACACCTATATACCTATGCTAGCCATTTAATCAATTGTACTGCACTAACTAGCGATCCAACTTGATTGTATATATACATATTTACGTGCTCTAGAAGTGATAAAATCGCTCCCAAGTTGATAGCTATTGAGGTACAGAAGTTATTTAATGTTGAAGTTCTAGGTATTGGAGGTGTTGGACTTTAGTAGGGTGAGGGTACATAGGTACATAGGGCCGAAAATGCGAAAATGTGACACCGCTCCCAGCACCGGCCATGCCGCCTACACCACAACATGCCTGGCTGGAGCGCATAAGGTACCAATAAAACCGAAATGAAGTCCGTAGCTCATCAGGTACAAAAGTTATCCAATGTTGAAGTTTGGGTAGGGGTACATAGGTACATAGGGCTAAAAAAAGCGAAAATGGGGGACGACCCCAAGTGAGCTACCCGGCAAAAAAGTCGAAAAAAGTCGAAAATGCAAAACAGGCCCCGATGGAGGCCAGCTTCCTAGTAAATGACTCAAAAGTCGAAAATTCCAAACGCAATTAATTTATTATAAATTCTGACCAGAATAGGTTGCTCAACATTGTGTATAGGGCTGTTTTACCAGCAGAAGAAAATGGCTTCTTCAGAATTTTGATACAACTTCAAATGAGAGAGATATATTCCAGATTTGGTAGGCAGGAACAGTGTGGCCAATAGTTTATCAGTTTATCAGTTTAACCAGTCCAGCCCAGTCCAGTGTAATGGTGGGTGCACCAGATGTGAGAATCTTGCCACCCAAGGAAGGGATGAATTTACTAAGACAACACACTGTCTTAGAAAACAGAGCCAAAGGGTCGTAGCTTAGACTATTCCACAACGCAGCAATCAGGTGTGTGATGTAGTGAAGTGGTTCAGACAAGTTGCAACAAATGTTGAGTCTGGGAACTCAGGGGTAAGTCAGAGGTTAACACCTCACTGACTTTTCAGAAACAAGGAGTAACAAGATGAATGCTTGGAAGCTTGGAAAAGACGTGGAAGTATGTGATAGTCGATTTACTGTATTGTCTGCTTGCCCTTTCTTAAGGAAAGGGCAATCCTATTTATGCTAAAGGAGTGTAGTTCTCTCATTTTCCAAGACTTTCCATGATTACCAGGCTTGGTAACTGTAGTCGACGTAAGAGAATCCCATAGAACCATCTCTTAGGTTCGTAGCCTATAGGAAGTAAAAGGAGGTCCAAGGTCAGAGTACCCCTATAGACAAATTATGTCATAGACAAATTATGTCATAGACAAATTATGTCATAGACAAATTATGTCATAGACAAATTATGTCATAGACAAATTATGTCATAGACAAATTATGTCATAGACAAATTATGTCATAGACAAATTATGTCATAACTTAACCAATCTTGTGGGTAACTAAAGAGCGATGACATGTAATGAATCATAGAGGTTTGTAGAGATATGCTATGTGGTAATATCGGCCCAGTAACTAAGGAGCGATGACGTGTAATGAATCATAGATGGTTGTAGCAATCGTTGAGTAGTATTGCTCTTGTTGTTGGTGTGATAAGCCAAAATATGTATAGTGACTTGTAGGTTTGAGGAGGAGATTTCCAAGTTTGCTCTTGAGTTTGATAGCAAACTGAGTGCAACGAATGTCAGTATGACATCCAGTTCAGTCCAGTTCAGTCCAGTTTAAGATTTCAACAGTTCAGTTCAGTTCAGTTTAGCAAAATTTATATCAGTTCAGTTCAGTCCAAACTATTAGTTCCAATCACATGGGAAGTCAAGTGCTAGGCTTGTTTGGAATCGGAACGGGAGCTGAGGGATTCCGGGTTTTTGGCCTAGAAGTTTGGTAATCCCCACCAAGGGGGCCAGCGTTCCATGGCCCTTAGCGGGGCAGGTGAAAACTCTGTACCCAGAACAGTGGGCATACAGAGTATTACAGTAATTACTGTAGGGCCCCAAAACGCCCATAAATAGTGAGTAGGCCATTAGAATAGTTAGAATCAATTGACCCGAATGCTGTAATCTATTGTCGAAGCCTTCTTGCCCATTGCGCAAAACCTGAAGGTCCGACTGACCTATATACTTATTCCTTTGCTAATAACCGCAGATGTCATGCTGTCCTGTACATGACCCCTACCCAGATCTGCCAAGATGCAAATGCTGAGGCTCGATTCCTGGAAGAACTCGAGACCACACGCGATAAGGTCACCACCCTTGGGCGACTGAATCTTCCAAAGTCTAACAGGGATATCACCATGAGGGAGATCCCATATCCTGGCACCCCAGACAGAATGCTCCTTCTGTACCCGCGGTGGAAGTCCAGTTGGAGCAAAATGGCCTCTTCAGATTTTGGATACAATGTCAAATTAGAGAGATATTCCGCAATTGTTAGGCAGGAAGCCATGGTATGAGACATGGCCGAGGTCTTGCAGCTACTCTAGTAGGGGAAATAGCCTTAAGGTTAGACCTTATAAGTGTAAATTTAAATATTTCTAAAAGTAAAAGTTAGAAATATGTATAATTAAATAAAAACTATATATCTATAGCTCTTTTGTTAGACTATATCTATATTTATAAGAGTTTATATAAGACTTAGACGACTTATAATTTCTATAGGATTTATAATTTCTCTAATTTAAATAAACTCTATTATTCTTATAAACTTTAAAATAATAATATAACGTACATGTATAGCGAAAGCGCCAAACAAGCGAAAGCGCCAAAATGATGCGGTGACCAAACCCCCCAACTAAATGTTAAATTCCTCAACAACAAAACATGCCCCATAAAAACGATGAAAGCCAATTAGTGCTAGCTATCCAGGCTATGCAAAGCGACCCAAAGTTACGCCTTCGAGTTGCTGCTAGGATCTATTCTGTGGACCACCGCAAGCTAGGTCGTCGTCTAGAAGGTGTACCTTCACGACGCGATATCCAAGCCAACTCACGGAAATTAACTAACCTAGAGGAGTCCGTCCTTGTTCAGTATATACTCGACCTAGCTGCCAAAGGGTTTCCTCCTCGGCTGTCTGTTGTTGAAGATATGGCAAGTCGACTACTTGCAACACGCGACGCGTCACGCGTTGGGTCGCGTTGGGCTTCAAACTTTGTTAAGCGGCGTGTAGAGCTCCAGACACGCTTTCAGCGCAAATACGACTACCAGAGGGCTAAGTGCGAAGATCCAGAAGTTATTAATGGCTGGTTTGAGCTTGTGCGTAACACAATTGCGAAATATGGTATCGATGAAGCAGATATCTACAACTTTGATGAGACTGGGTTTATGATGGGCGTTATCTCAACTGCTATGGTTGTAACAAGCTCAGACGGGCGGGCAAAAGCAAAGAAGGTACAGCCTGGTAATCGGGAATGGGTTACAGTAATCCAAGGCGTTAGTTCTCAAGGTTGGGCAGTACCACCATTTATCATTGTTGCAGGCAAAAACCACCTTACATCTTGGTATGAGAATAGTGGATTTTCAAGCGATTGGGTGATTTCTGTTACTGAAAATGGCTGGACTACAAACGGGAGAGGCATGGATTGGATTCAGCACTTTGAGAAGCATACAAAGGCCCGGAGTGTTGGTGGTTATCGCTTGTTAGTCCTTGATGGTCATGAGAGCCATCACTCAGATGAGTTTGAGGAGTACTGCAAGGAACACAACATTATTACGCTTTGTATGCCTGCTCACTCTTCTCATCTACTCCAGCCACTTGATGTTGGCTGTTTCGGCCCGTTAAAGCAGGCCTATGGTCGGCAAATTGAAGATATGATGCAGGCTCATATTTCTCATATTACAAAGGATGACTTCTTTCCTGCCTTCCACACTGCATTTAACACTACAATGACGGAAAGTAACATTCGAGGCGGGTTCCGAGGGGCAGGGCTTCTTCCATTTGACCCTGAGAGAGTGATATCTACACTTGATCTTAAGTTAAGGACACCAACGCCTCCAAGCTCCCGCCCAGGTACTGCTCAACCTTGGGTTTCTCAGACACCAAACAACCCAATTGAAGCTATGTCACAGTCTACATTTATTAAAACTCGGATTTCACGCCATCAAAATAGCTCTCCAACCTCAATCTATGCAGCTGTTGACCAGTTTACAAAGGGTGCATCGCAAATAATGCATCAATTAGCACTGCTAAAGGGAGATAACCAAAACCTACGACAGGCAAATGAAGTACTAAGCAAGCGCCGGAGAGCTAGGAAAACACGACTACAGCAAGGAGGATCACTTAGTCAACAAGGGGCGCAAGAGCTACAGGATGAGAGGGATGTTGTGCAGCAGGTAGAGCAGGAAATAAGGGCAAGCCGTGGTCAGAAGCCAAGGGAAGAAACCCGTGCCCGTCGCTGTGGCAAGTGTGGTGAGACTGGGCACAATGCGCGCACGTGTCAGATTGTAATAGACACCTCTGAGGAAGAGGACTCCGAGTAGTTTCAATTGATTTCTAATGTTGTGGTAGATTTATCGCAATGTTTGTCGTGAGGGTAGATAATTTTGGCGCTTTCGCTTGTTTGGCGCTTTCGCTATACATGTACGTTATTGTGTTATATTTTGCTAAATTCAAAGCACAGAGCCCTTGGCATTCTTATTTTTGGGGCCTGTAGCAGGCTTTCCTACAGTGACAGTATAGTAGGAAATCTAAGGCTTCACTCGCTGCAGAACCAAATAGTGGGTCTGTGTTTCCGACTGCGCTGCAGAACCAAATAGTGGGTCTGTATTTCCGACTGCACTGCAGAACCAAATACTGGGTCTGTGTTTCCGACTGCATGTAACGCTGACTTCTAAACGATAGAAGACACAGAGGTTCTCTTGCATAAAGGTTGACTTATCAGAGGAGGCAGGGGATCAGACACAAAGGCTTCAAGTAACACGTTACTAGTATATAACAAATACTGTATTGAGTTGAGCACGAAGCTCCTATCTAAGGAAATACTATCTACTTATATAGTGGCGTCGTGCCTAGTGGACTCCTGGGAACTCACTCGAGTCCTCGGAGTCCTGGACTCTTAGGATTCTTCTCATCATCCTGCGAGTCCGTCACGTGCCTAGTGGACTCCTGGGAACTCACTCGAGTCCTCGGAGTCCTGGACTCTTAGGACTCTTCTCATCATCCTGCGAGTCCGTCACGTGATACTTTCGGAACTACTATTCCCCGCTGCCCCTCCAGGTACCAGGGCCGGTCTCATGCGACCTCCCTCCTTCCTGTCCTGTAGTTGGCCAGCCTTCTTGTTCCGTCGTAACACTGCACTGCAGAACCAAATAGTGGGTCTGTGTTTCCGACTGCGCTGCAGAACCAAATAGTGGATCTGTGTTTCCGACTGCACTGCAGAACCAAATACTGGGTCTGTGTTTCCGACTGCGCTGCAGAACCAAATAGTGGATCTGTGTTTCTGACTGCACTGCAGAACCAAATACTGGGTCTGTGTTTCCGACTGCGCTGCAGGACCAATAAAGGGTTTATGAAACCCTCAGTCGCTTTCTTTTTCGTTGCGCCTCGGATTTAAGTAGGTCTCCAAGAGATGGGCTTGCGGAGACTTGAAGAAGATCTTGATATAGAGGTTGCTGCGAAATGGGTGTTGCTTTGATCACAATACTCTTGCCCAGTTCTTCATTTGTAGGCGTATTGTTGCATAAGGGTTCGCCTCCCCTACTAGTCGCATCTCTGGAAGCCCAAGCTTCAGTGTTACACACATCTTGGAGAGTATCTGGTGGGTTCTTGAAGCCTTGAAACGTGTAAAGTCGTAGGACCCAGGGTCACACGGGAGCTCAGGGAACCAGATCAGTAGGTAGGAAGTAGGATTCAATGCGTAACAATAGGTCTACGTATATACAGCGACTATTGACTGGAGGCCTCACTCCGAGCCTCCAGCCCCTTATATACAGGAACCCGTAGGCCCTAATTTACCGAGCCCGCCAGGTCCACTGTAAGAGCGTGACACCTCACGTGCCCTCACGTGAGGGCCGCCTTACAATTACCTCCCCCTTCTAGGGAATTGCCCCCAATTCCAGGCATAGAGATCAGGGCTGATTGCGCCCTTGTTTGGGCTTGTTTGGCTTGTTTGCTCGCGCGTAGGGTGGGTTGTTGTTATCGAACTCGCGCCTGTCAGGGGGGTCCCGTGACCCCCCTTGTTGTTGTGCCGCGGCCACCCCCAGTTGTTGTGGGCATCGCGCTTAACTCCCACTTCCTACCCAACTTCCTACTTTCCTCACACAACCTCACACCAAGTGCCCGCTCTTCTGGGTTCTTGGGTTCTTCCTTTTGATCCTCTTCCAAGGTTTGCTTCAAGGATTACTCCCTCTTCGCAAGGTATTTACCTCCCTTCCGTCCTTCGTCTTCAGGGACTGATCTGTGGATTAGTTCCGTCAATCATGGCTCCGCGCAAGCAGCCCAAGAAGACAGTGGCGCCTGTCACCACCCCTCTCAAGCGCTCTTCCGCCCAGATGTCTGGGTCTCCCGAGTTGGAGTCACCTGCCACCCCTACTCCCTTCGGTCCTGCTTCCGTTGCGTCCACCTCTCGCCCTCGCACCGTGCGTCCCTACCGATCACCTTCGGTTGAGGACGCTCCAGAGGAGGAGGAGGAGGTCGCTGCTCAGTTGGCCGCCAAGGAGATGCGTACGGCGCTGGGGTGGAAGCTTTCTGCGCGCCGCCCAGTTCCAGAGTCTGTTGGTCCCCTTCGCGCAGGCTCCCGCGACTGCTGCGTCAAGTGTTCAGTCACCTATTACAACTATCCTGGACAGATCTGCTGGGTCCCTGTTGGCTTGGACAAGTGCGGCGACTGTCTCCAAGGAAACCACCACTGCGTTCCGGTAGGCCTCCTTTTCCTTCTTAGTGGGATATGCTGACAACCAGGCAGGTCGGTCCTGATCAGAAGGATGCCCTCACTGCCCTGCAGCTCAAGTCCGACGCCTATTTGAACTGTTGCGCTGACGACGAGGACGCTGGGCTGGAACATAATTCGGTCGCCACCCGTGAGGCTCTGGCCTCCCTCCTCTTTGCCCAACGCGAGTTCACTACCGCTGATAAGGGCAAGGAGCCTCGCACCCTGAAGGTCAAGAATAAGGGTAAGAGAGCTGCTACGTCCTTCCACGAGGAACCTGTTGCGCCTCTCCCTGAGGCTGGGGGCCCCGTCGTCCGCAACCTCAACGACCCACGCCAAGCCCTTCTTCACCACGCTGAGACCCTTGCTGAGCTGGATCAGGCCAAAACCAAGGCTCTCAAGGCTGCTGCTGCTATGTTCCACGCCGCTACTGATGCGGCTCTAGACGCCTACCAGGTTGGCCTCAACGCCCACGTCGCCGCCCTGAAGTTTGTCGTAGGTTTGTGATTCCCATCCTTCCTGGACGTTTTGCTGACCCTGTGGGTAGCTCGAGTGAGGCCTGTCCTGCCCTCCGCGCCCTTGTCGGTAGG